GGAATGTCCCTGAAGAAAAAGATGATCTTCTCTCCATTAGCAAGGCTGAGGCTTACAGCAGGCTCTGTAATGCCATTCTACCATCTCCCTCTGTGTCTCAATGCTGGGCTTTCCTTCGTCTGTTTGCTAGATTAGGGACTCTAAATGACATCACAGCTGCTTGTGGTCTCTGTAACAAGCATACACAACACACACACACACACACACACAACTCCCCTGGGAGATGGTTTTGATGGGGCAGTCTGAGCACAGTCGCATTGGCAGGGAGGGATGGGGGAGCTTACAGAGGGGGGCGAAAGGATGATTAATAAGGAAGGAATAAGGAACGAGGGACAGGCATGTGGTCAGGAGCTGATGCTTTCTTAACTAGCCTCCTCAGGCTGCGTGAAATACATTCAGTTTGCTGCAATTAACATCATCAACATAACAGACTTTTTTGTTTAGATGTAGCAGTTCAATATTTTTACATTTTCTTTTTGCTGTTGTCGGATCAAAACCTCATATCTCCAAAATGGTAACTTTACAGGAGAAGGAAAAAACATACTCTACCTTTAATGTAAGTTAATGGAACCATTTTGAGTTATTTATTTTGGTCCATTCATCATGAAATTTACCCATAATATTTAGGACCATGGGTACTTTCAAATTATGTCAGAAACTGAAAAACAACTAAAAAAAATGGAAATATTAGGTTTTGTTTTGACAGCAGCGTTTTAATACTAACTAGAGATCCAGAAGAGAACAAAGGTCAAATGTCAATCAAATGTCAATACTTAGTAAAAATTCATTGAATATTAGCTTATTGGCTTTTTTAATTTTTCTAATGGCATGTTAATAAGCTTACAACCTGAAGCATATTATACTAATGTAATTATGATATATGAAATTAAGTTAAATAATAACTACTAGTACTGCACATCTCTGACTACATGGTAATTTCATTCCAATCCTTTATGAACTGAATTAGTACATCATGAAATCTCAAATTTCACCACAATTTGAAATAATTTAGTACAATTCAGTACTTAAAAAATACACTGAATACACAAATGTAATTAGAGGAACTATTTACAATTTATGACAACACAAACAATGCATAATACAATACATTTAAACTTGAAAATAGCCCAAAGTTTTTTATTTTATAAGCATATACTATATTGAATATTATTAATCAATTATTATCGATAATATATTTTAAAATGAATGCAATTTAATCACCACTCTTAGATCAAGGCAAGAATGTATTTTTTTTTTAGCGTACAAAAATGTAAAGAATTTAAGCTCAATACTTCAACTTGATCAGTAATACCAGATTTTACATCCATACCTTGACATATTTGAGCAAAAAGCAGTATCATGAAGTGTCTCTGAATAGGGGTGGGCAATATAGCAAAAAAAAAATATCATGATACTTCATTTATATTTTCACGACACACGATACATGACAATATGTATCTTTTCTGATATCTGATAGTTAAAACAGACAACAAAAGAACCAGTAGTGCCACATTTAAAAGTGCTATCAAAAACTATAAGTACAAATGATATGTATTCAATACAACACATACTGCATAGTACTAAATCCAATTAACCAAGCTTAAATATGTTATCTATGCAATAAGACATGTCACACATAGTGATGTAAATTATTACAATAATGATAAATCTAGTCATATTGCCAAGCCCTATCTCTGAGCTAGCTGAACATTTTCATGTGATGATCAGGAAGGTGGTGGATGTAGGTGTAACATAACATAATATCTCAGATGTTTTAGAGGTGAGCAAAAGCCATTAGATTTTGATTAAATATTACAGAAAATAAGATTTTTGTCTTTTAAAAGGTATAGTATGATAAACTTGCTTAATATGACAAGGCACATGATCCAGTTACTGTTCCAACTAAAGCACACCCACTTAAAAATGTACACAGTGATGAAAGAACAGACTTTATTAGTTCATTTGTCAAGAAGTCAGAGACATTTAAACACTCAAATTAACTTGAGTCAATAAGCCTTTACAGCAGCACTAAGCTTAGAATTTCAATTTGTTTAAATTAACATAATTAGCACAACAGACTCTTTGTTCAAATGTAACAGTTCAATATATATATTTAACATTTTTATTTTAATACCAGCTAGCAAACCATCAAGTTGTCCATGACTGGTCCACATTGTACAACAGTTTTAACCTTTCTGCTCAGTAGAAGGAAACAAATTACATAAATAAAAATCAAAATGAGACTACATATTTAAATATGCATGTTTTCAACATAGATCAGACTATCCATAAGATCAAGCTGATACGACAGCAAAGGGTGGCTTGTATTTATGTATAATCCAGCCAACACCCACTGCTAACCTTAACTAACACTATGGTACACAGAATGATGTTTTATGTTCAGCTCACAATCCTTTGTAGTCAGACCGTCTAGACTTAATCACTGTTCAGACTCATCTCATTCACTTCATTGCACATGCCCTTAATTGACTGTGTAGCTTATTAACAAAAATCATAACTACAGAAATGTCAGTTTTGTGGTTGGTGTGTCCATCCAGTGTTGTACTTTGGTGAACTTCAACTGTGGCAGAATACTGGGAAGGATTTGTTGACTGAATTCTTTCCTAACTCCCCCCTCGTCACTTCTACTAGAGGTCTATAGGAAACCAATTTTTGCAGTTGTATGTTGGTTTTCTTTAATGACGCAGTAAGAGCAACTCATGAAAATAACCAATGGTGCTGCCATTTGACAGTCACTTTAAAACATAGATATCTGAGCACTCCTATACTCTACAGAGGTTCATTTTCACAACTACATTTAACTTACAGAACTGTGTATTTAAAGAGGAATTCTGTAAATTTTTCTAAATTTCGGCAAACATAGAGTGATTCAATGTGAAGTACACCATTCTGGAGATACCGAGCCAGAATTATTAACAACAGTGGTGATAGGAACCAGACATCTGAAGTGTTTAATGCCTCTAAAAAGCTACAACACAGAAATATATTGCATTAAATTTTCATAAATTAAAAAAACACAAACAGAACCAAGTATCTCCAAAATGGCAACTTTACAGGAGAAGGCAAACTTTTAATGCAAGTCAATGTAAAAGAGATTTTATTCCAAGTCATTTTCACACAATATAAAGGACAGCTACTGTGTTTAAATGATGTAGAAAAAATTGGACATTTTTTTTTTGGACAGTGACAAAAGATTTTTTTTTCATCATGATTTTTTCTCATCACAATTAACATTACATATAAAAACACAGGAGATATGCACAGGTTCACTGGTTATGTTGGATAGTAATTAAATTAAATCCTCTTGTAGACGTCGTGACCCTAAGGGTGTGTATGAATTAATCTTCCTTTCCTATCTGCTTTCCTTTATTTTTCCTGATTATGGTAGCCTTGTGAATGCACAAGTTTAGACACTATATTTAGTAAAGCCATGGCTACTGATCAGGCACAATCAAGGAAAGGAAGTTTCATTCAACTATTCAGACCTAGCCCTGGTTTCTGTCACCTCACTGTATATAATTCTGGGCTGCTAAGTTTCTCAACAGTTAACTATTTTACGTCAAACCACTCTGAATGACTGTTTAAATTACAACCATTGAAGTTTGTAGAAATTTGGAAAAATCTGTGGAATTCCCCTTTAAGAAAACAATAGGTCAGCTGACCCCCAAATCTAACTATGAGTAAAATAGTATAGAAGTGACAACTGTAAGGAAAGTGGCCTAATATGAATCACACCAGACTGCTGTTGACCTACTAAAGATGGGATATGATATGACAACTTCCTATACAGGACACCCCTTTGACTTTCAACGAAAGCGCAAATTAACAGCCCACATCATGCATGTACCTTATCAACCAACTTCAAGTAAGAGCAAGAAATAGTGTGATGAAGTAGACATGACTAGCATTTAATGAGGAAATATTCTAGTATGATTTTTTTCCCTTCAGAAGCTAGAAGTGATTCTATGTAAGCATTTCAGACTCAGTGTTACTCGGAATGAATGAAAAATGACAAATGTAGCCAGTTAGCTCTGACTCACCTTGAGAGCAGGTAATTAGCTACTGCCTACAAGGAAGATACCATCAGAAACAATAACAATACTGAAGTCGTCATTATGAGAATGTGGACGATCAGACGTGTTTTGTGACTCACAATGAGTCAGTTTACTCCCGAAGTCAAAGTAAGCTGGCCTGGAGACTTAAAGGATTACTCCACATCTGTACTGTACTGTCATAAACAATCATTTTCACACACACTTCCCTGTACTTAGTAAACAACAGAAAACATGCTGAATTGAAACTTGCTTGTAAGAGGAGCTACTGGGCAGGTGCTAAATTCAATGAAAATATATATGAAATATGTGACTATATAATGTAAATTAGAAACAACGTTCAAATATACAAATACAGTACTGTGCAAAAATAAAAAGACCATCCTTTTTTTATTTTATTTACAGTCAAAACAGCCATTACATTATTCAAGTTTCAGGAAGAGATTATATATATGCTAATCCACTTGCATAAGAAAGGGGAAGTCAAAGAAAACGAAGTTAAAAAAAAAAACAGGAGTTTCCAAAACTGGAGCTTAAAAGATGAGAAAATGTGACTCTTAACAACTATGCAAGACCTGGTAGACCACCGAACCTGTCAACATCAGCTAAACAGCACTTAAAGCTTTCATCTTTTGCTTCAGTTCTAAAAAAGGTGTTTCTGTCCATCCTTCCACTGTGAGAAGACAACTCAATGCTATGGGTCTGAAAGGATGTGCCGGTGTCAAGAAGCTGTTACTGAGAAAAAAAAGGAAGTAGACAAAAGTGGTGCTGTCAGAACAATGGACTGGCCACCCCAGAGTCCAGACCTCAACATTACTAAAAGTGTTTGGGATTACTTGGATCGTGAGAAATGAAGGCAAGTCTGCCAAACAGAATAGAAGCTGTGATAAAGACAAAGGGTGGACACATTAAATGCTGGGGGGAAAAAAAAAAACAGGTGTTCAGGCTTGTGTGCAATTTCTGTTGAATATGAAATCTGATACTTTTGCACAGTACTGTAGATCTTAGGATCAGAATTGACAAATCTGTTCTTGTGACGTTTTACCCAACTTTTGAACACTGGAGCAACAAAGTGAAAAACCACTTACACTCACCTCTCTAAAGTTTTCTGCTATCTATGAAAACTCAACCCACACCACTACACTAGTAATGAAATCACCACTAATTCTTCTCTTTATACAAAATTTACAGCTTTATCTACAAATACCTTTGACTGAACAATTTAAGAAATGTTTACAGACAGAATTTAGCAACTAGCTTTTACTGTAAATGTGTTTCGAGTCAACAGGTTCTCTGTTCCTTTATAAGTACAGGGAAACATGCTACATAAGCAGCAGATATAGATTAGGTGGAAAAATATATGGAGTATTCCTTTAAGAGTTTGAAAACATAGAGGAACTATGTTGGTTGATTTTAAATGGATTGGGTAGGATACTGTGTTTTCTTTTAAATGTGCACATTCATGGCAGTATAGACTTATGTACAGTAGACCTAATGCTACATTGAGTAATGCATCACCACCCCTGGGAATTCTGGCCTGCTAAATCCCCCTGACAGTAAATATCTACATACTACAGCCTATTACATCTTGCTTAGTCCACATAAAATGTGTAAAGCTTTTTCTTTTATAAGACTTTTTTTGTAAGACAGCTTGGCATACATCTATAACTTGAATTTTAGGGAAATAAGAAAGTTTAAATGTGCATTTGAGTTTGTGGGTCAAAGGAAGTAGGAAAGTCACTCCCCCAACTGCAAGACAGTGGCTAATTCTACATTAGTTCGATATGATCGACAGACCTTTCAGCCTACCAACTCTGCGCTACTAGACCTCCATGTCTTCTATAGGGAACAGATCATGGCATTGGGTGCGCTCACAAAGTGCTTACAAGAAAGCAGGCGTAAACATGGTGCAAAAATGTTCAGCCACATTCAGGACACCACCTACATGGGAGACAAATTACCATTAAAAAAAAGCAAATCAGCAGCAATATAATTCAAGTACAAAATCTATTACTTTTAAACAGAGAAAAGTACAGCACTGTTCAAAAGTTTGAACACACCAGACTGTATGTTTTTCATAATCTCAAGACATCTTGATTTGTGTTGCAGACACTCTATTGCCACGTAAATACACTAGTATGGATTCAGATGTCAAGGCACACTGTTTAAAATTTCAAGTCAGACGCCAGTTTGTAGCAAAATATCCTCCAGCTTTCATTGTGATATCAGCGTTTCTCAACCTTATATTACTCTTCAGTTTGCATAAAACCACAAATATATAGCATTATATTACATTTCACTTTGTCACTGCTGTTACATTAATAGCCTGCACCCTCTTGCAGTCATGTAGTTTGTATAATAATGAGATAAACTTTAAATGGACGGGCTCTCCCTGAAAAGGCTCTGACTGTCTCTCATTGTATAGAGGAGATAATGATAGAATTGACTTGACTTTTGTGAGCATCACTGAATTAGACATTTGATTAACTGAAATGGACAGAAAAATATATTAAGTAAAATGAAATGAACTAAATTTAACTAGTGTTTGGGCCTCCATTTTTGTTCTTTTCACTATAGTTTCAGAAATTCAATCAAGTCAGTTTCAGAAACGCTACAATAAGGTTATTTTGGCATGAGAGTTCTTCACTAGTATGTAAGCTATTTCATTTAGGATAAAACTGAACCTGTTTCGCAGTAAGGAATGGTGTTTACTGACAACGCTATGTCCAAGTATTCTTGAGCTCATGTGGTGATATCCATGATGAAAACATGCTGGTTTTTAATGCAGGGCCGCAAGAGGGATCAAACGTTATGGACCTTCAGTTGTGATTTCAGCCTTGTCCTTTACACACACAGATTTTTCCAGACTCCCTGAATCTTTTGATGATATTATGCGCTGTAGAGGGCGAAATACCTAAACTCTTTGCAATCAATTGTTGAGAAATGTTGTTCTTTTGGCAAAGTGGTGAGCTTCAACTGGCAAAACATTAAATATTTTGTCTTTGTACTGTTTTCCATTAAATGTCCCAATGTTATTTATACAAAAGACACCCATTCATGAGCACTGTTTTTACTTTAAATTTTTTCCTTACTATTGTATCATAATGACTAAGAGTATTAAGTCAGGTCTTGCTGAAGTCATACTGTGATTGTTTGCGTCTAAGCTTGTTGTCAGGTTTGACTCAAGTGTTCATTTAAGGTACCGTTGCTTGCTTACTACATCTGCTGATTGCTTAAGTACAGCTTGTGTCCATACCATTTCCTCTTGTTTCAATAAATTATAAAAATAGTTTGTGTCTTGGATTAAGTGGAGCAAAAGCTTTGTATATAGGTCCAGAGAGGACCTTTGCCACTGATGTCCATATTAGTGGGCGGAATGTTTTTGTATAAGACCTGAAATATGAAGTATGCTCCTTTTCATATGTCCTTGATACAAACAAGCCACTGCAACTGTGTGTGTGTTTCTTACTCAGAGTGCTCTAGTTTCTGCCTCTATCTTCCTCTCTCCGTGTGTGTCGGGGTCTGGAGGGCTGATGCTCTGCCTCACAGCGATCTCAGGACCACCACCGTAAATTCCTACCAAAAACTGCCACGTCTCTTCAGAAATTTGCCCATAGTCGGCTCCTGTACATATACACGCCATGCACACACACATTAGTTGACCAACCAAAGCAGCCCTCAAAATTACAGCAATAAAGGTGTAAAATATTTCAGTCTCACTCATTTTTATGGTCTCATATAACTATAAATGCTCAAGTTGTTAACTATTTGGTAGAGTCAGGTGAAGTTATTGGAACATATGAACTTATGAATTCATTTACAACCCCATTTTGAAAAAAGGTGGGACGCTGTGCGAAATGTAAATAAAAACAAAAGGCAATGATGTGCAAATCATTTAAACCCTATATTTCATTGAAAATTGTACAAAGACAACAAATCAAATGTTGAAAGTGAGAAATTTTATTGTTGTTTAAAAAATATATGCTCATTTTAAATTTAATGCCAACAACATGTTTAGGGCAACAAAAGGCTGGTAAAGTTGTGTAATGCTAAAAAAACACCTGGTGGATAATTGGCAACAGGTCAGTAACATGACTGGGTATAAAATGAGCATCCCAGAGAGGCTGAGTCTTTCAGAAGATGAGGAGGGGTTCACCACTCTGTGAAAGACTGCGCAAGCAAATAGTGCAACAATTCAAGAATAACGTTTCTCAACATAAAATAGCAAAGAACTTTTGCTTTTCATCATCTACAGTATAGAATATCATTAAAAGATTCAGAGAATCTGGAGAAATCTCTATATGCAAGGGACAAGGTCAAAAATCAGTATTTGCTGACCATGATCTTTGGGCCCTCAGGTGGCAATGCATTAAAAACAGACATGATTTTGTAGTGGAAATCACTGCATGGGCTCAGGAACACTTCTGAAAACCACTGTCTGTGAAAACAGTTTGTTGCTGCATCCACAAATGCAAGTTAAACTCAAAAATGCAAAGAAGAAATAATATATAAACAGGATCCAGAAACGCTGCAACCTTCTCTGGGTCCGAGCTCATTTAAAATGGACTGAGGGGAAGTGGAAAAGTGTCCTGTGGTCGAATCAACATTTGAATTTTTTTTTTGGAAATCATGGACACTGTGTCCTCCGGGCTAAAAACCACTGAGCTTGTTATCAGTGTACAGATCAAAAGCCAGCATCTGTGATGGTATAGGGGTGCATTAGTTCACATAGCATGGGTGACCTGCACATCTGTGAAGGCACTATTAATGCTGAAGGATATATACAGGTTTTGGCAGCATACGCTGCCATCCAGATGATGTTTTTTTCAGGGAAGGCCTTGCTTGTTTCAGCAAAACAATGACAAACCACATTCTGCATATATTACAACAGCATTGCTCCGTATTTAAAGAGACCGGGTGCTAAATTGGCCTGCCTGCAGTCCAGACCTGTCACCCACTGAAAACACTGGATGCATTATGAAATGGAAAATATGACAAAGCAGCCCCCAAACTGTTGAGCAGCTGAAATCCTGTATCAAACAAGAATAGGAAAACATTTCATTTTCAAAACTACAGCAGTTGGTCTCCTCAGTTCCCAAATGCTTACAGTGTTGTTAAAAGAAGAGTTGATGAAACACAGCAGCAAACATGCCCCCGTCCCAACTTTTTTGGAAAGTGTTGTTGGTATCAAATTGAAAATGGGCATATATTTTTCAAAAAACAATGACATTTCTCAATTTCTACATTTGATATGTTATCTTTGTAGTATTCTCCTTTAAAAATATGGTTTACATGACTTGCACATCATTGCATCCTATTTTTATTTACATTCTACACAGCGTCCCAACTTTTTGGAAACAGGGTTGTACTTAGATACTCCAATAAGGTTTTTAATTGACTGTGCAAAGAAAAACTGTAGTGACACAAGTAGCTCAGACTAAATCTCACATTACACAAAATGGTGCCATCTAAGTGGAGTTATATAGGGAAATATTTCAAACAAAAAGATGACAAATTTGGACAACATAAGCTATCCAAATTATCATTCTGTAAATCCAGTGGTAATATGTTACATAACATTTATGTAAACTCTAAAAACATGAAGATACAGTACTGTGCAATAGTCAGAGACCACCCTTTTTTTAATTTAATTTCCAGTAAAATCAGCTGTTGAGTACAGGTTATTTATTTTTCAGCATCAGGAAAAAAGCACAATACATATATTTAGCCAAACCGTAATTAATAATATTAAAATGAATACATTTTTCAGTATTTAGTGTGTAAAGTGTCAGTTTTCCCAATGCAATTTTCTCTGTTTCTTGTCTATTTCCTTTTCTAAATAATGGCTTCTCAACAGCTACACAGTGCTCCATACCCAAAGTGTTGAGTTGTCTTCTCACATCAGAAGGACGGATGGAAACACTCGATGAGTTTTTTTAAAATCTGAACCAAAAGTGGAGCTTTATTTTCTTTATTTCTCAATGATGAAAGTATTGTTTATCTGATGGTGACAGTTTTGGTGATCCATCAGGTCTTGCACAGTTAGTTAGTTTGTTAGTTTGGGAAACCCCTGTTTTTTCCTCAAAAACATCTCCTTTAGATAAACATAAGGTGTGTTTGGGTAGTTGCTTGTGTGAATGTTAGTGTCTCTTTGAAGGGGAACATAATATTTAAATAAACAAACGGGTGGTCTCTGACTTTTGCACAGGTAAAAGCATAGACGAATTTAAATGAAGTAAGGTCAAAATGAGGCTGAATTTAACATATATTTAGTTAAATGTCAGTTAAAGATAAGCTCATCTACAAATAATAATTAAAGTGGACCAACAAAATGAAATATTGATATTACCAGATTTCACACTAATCGATTAACCTCACCCTGTTTAAGTTGGACATGACCTCCCTTCATCACCGCAATCTTGCTATTGTCAATTGGACCTGGAGGCTCTGGAAGGACAGCAGGACACAGAGAGAAAAACAAGGCTGAGGAGTGCAGAAATAAAGCATGAACAGAATACAGTGATGTTTATATTTAATCAAAAAGAAGGAATAAGACGTGGGTGGTCTTGGCAAACTTTTGCTGGTCTCAGAATGTTTTTATTACAGAAAGGGTGTATGTGTATACAGTGTATGTGTGGGTGTGCCAGCGCGAGAGAGATCCAACAGGCACTGAGAGTTTTTGGAGCTCAGAAAGTGTGTTTGTTTACAATTCACTTCAGAGTTCTGACTCCTGAGTGCAACTAGAATACATGACATTTCATAGCGCACACAACAGCAACACAAGCCAGTCCCTCTCCAGAGCCTTTCCATTAGGGCTTCTTACCAAAAAGGCCTCAAGCAGAGCTAAACAGATAAACATACAGCTAACGGTTTCCCTTACATCAGAGAAAAACTCTTTACAAATACTGTGCAAGAAATCATTTGCAAGAAGTAATGTATACAGTTAAAAGACTAATCGGTACATTGGAATCCAATCCCATGTGACTGTGCACACTTTACTCTGTATTTGAGAGATGCCTGCTATGAATGTCAGCTACTGAGAGACTACTGACCTTCACTGAAAAATCAATTTCAAACTATATTCACCTTATCACATGGTTGGTGTTGTAGGTGTGTGTCTTTAGTTTTGCACAGGATCTTTGAGGCTAATGTAGCTAACAAGTGATGGAAGTCTGTCATCCAAAATAATTTAGGTGAATGGTGAATTTCTTCCAATGTGGGCACAATCACAAGCAATAAATAAATAAATGAAAATTAAAGAACTTACATTCACTACAGAAAACACACTTCGGCACATTGTAATGCGCAATTACTGTTTATTTTTGGCTTTTAACAGGGGAATGGGAAAAAAAATTCTGGTATGTTTTACATTTTGTGCTTTACGTTTTTTTAGTATGTTAAACTTTGCAAATAAATAGAAATTATAGTTAAATTATAGAAAAAATAGTTTTAATATTTGTCTGTAAAACTAGATTTTATTTACAGCAACTAAGAAGTTTTTGTAGTGATTTGTGCCAGTGAGCGTCTGTCACAGGGCTCAGGGTGTTGGAAAAAACATCCTTGACTGACTGGCCATTGCTAGGTCAAATTAACACATTGCTGTAAAATGACAGACCATAAATATTCTCTAAATCACAGCGTCTGTCTCCAGCTTCAGCAAACATGACTAATGTAACACAGCCTGCTAATACAGATGGGGCACTGCTTTTATATTCAACTGAGAGGACTCATGTTGGAAAAATGTAAAGTTTAGCAGGACAAATGACAAAGACCAGTTTTGGTAAGCATCTTCAAATGGGTTTTATAATCGCTCTAGCATTTTCACATTACCAGTTTGCTTTATTACTGCTGTATGTATTTTGACTGTTCTGGTTGTTAAGATCTTTCGCCTCTGTGGCTAAAGATATTGGCGTGTTATTTTACTAGACTTCAGCTGTCTTCTTTTGGAGATTTCATACAGTATTTAATGTGCTGACAGTGTTTTTGAAGTCTTGTGATATGGTTCAGTTGGTCTTGTGCTGTTTATTTCTAGGTTGATGTGCTTTATGCTGTTCTGCACTATCTAGATGTTGTGTCATGTTTACATATTATGCTCCAATCTGTCTGCTGCTTTGCCTGTAATTTTGAACAAATAACATCTATAAAGCAATGTGCATATAAATAAACATGGCAAAGTTTGCAAAACTGCATCACACCAAAATTTGGGAGTCCTGGGAAGCTACTCTATAACCTGAGACAAATTCTCAGCACGTACAAACATCCCTGGCCTTTTCCTCTTGATTCTCTTTTGGTTTTGAAATGACACTGTTCAAATAAATTAGCTGTTTTTATGTTAAACTTTCAGATCAACCTCAGGTGTCAAGTAAAAGTGTGGTAAATGCTACTGCTCATTGTAATAATTCTAAACATTACTGCAAATTAATTATAAAATGAAGCCCAATTCCTGCTTAATAACACTAATGAAACCAGGGCTCAGCAAAATATTAAGGCAAATTAGCCAGTGTTTGTTCATTCTGTCATATAGGCCTCCACTATTTGGGCTGATCTACAGTAGATACATGCTTAAACTGTAGACTTACAGCTAAGTTTATCCCAGAAAATTCTAATATGCTCATTGAGACCTGATGCCATTTTCAGCTGCAAAAACACCTTCTGTAGTTATGTACAAAACAGATCTGTTTTACTTATAGACAGATAAACAAACAGAAAGTATGAACAGAATAGAGAGATGTTTCATATGTAGCTGCAAAAAAGTAAAGTGTATTTTTATGTTGATACCATTGTCTTTGCCCTTGACGAAGCTTTCCCATTCTCTGAACCACTGCATGCTGATGCACAAAATAACAACAGGAGCTTCCTCTGCCTGGAACTCCTTATTCAGCTACAGAGAGAGAAAAAGAAATTACTACTTAACATTTGTCGTCATACCACAAGAGACACACACAATCACATTATAGTCTGGACACACCTGATTAACTGTGTGTTTTATTATCTTGAAGTAATAGTTTGGCAAAAGGTTTGGAGTCCAAGTTTTGCTTCTGTAGTTCAGAGCTGGAGCTGCGAGGCTAATAATGTTAACAAACACTAGAACTCAGTATTCAGCCAAACAAACAAACAAACAAATAAATAAATATCAACCAACCTGCTAAAACCACATCCAGGTTTTCATTAAGACTGCACAGACTTGTCAATGTGGTTTAGGACACAATATAAATAATAATAATAATAATAATAATAATAATAATTTTTATTTATACAGTACTTTTCATGTCGCTGTCAGTGCTTTACAGGTGATAATGCTTAACTGTAATACATGAAATTATGACTACTAATTAAGTATGACAAGTATGACACTGTGAGCTATAAAAATTTATAAAACACTGTGGGCAGCACTTTTAGACAACGATTTATATTCACAAATCAGCTTGGGAATGATGGGTGCTGATCTAGAATCAGTATTTGTGACAATGGCTGTCATTTCTATGGAGGAATCGGATTCAAGATCAGTTCTCTTATGTACGACTGCTTTGTGAAAACCAGCCTGTTGGTGTCTGACATGTCAGGCCATTGCAGATAAGTTTTATTCATTTTCAAGTTCACAGTAAGTCACACCCCCTCCTAAAACACACTGACTAGTGTGCGCAACGTTGTTGAAGACCTGAACGTGGTATGAGCAGGTTGGGAGAAACTTTGTGATGTATTTTTACTGAATGACTTGGGCCATCTGGGTGACTACTGAGTTCTTGTGTTTGTTAGCGACATTAGCTTCATAGCTCCAGTTCTAAACTAAAGTACGGACTCATGTCTTGGCTGACTGACTACACCTAGGATCAGGATTCTGATTTAAAGGTTTATGCATAAAATACTTTTTGTATTTCTTTTTCTATGACAATATAAAAAGTATACAAAAAAAGGCACCCCAGGAGCTGCTGATAAAGCTGCCTTAGAGAACGCCAAGTATGTGCAAAGCAAAGCTAGGCATGCCAAAGAGAGGCCACTTTGAAGAATCTAAAAAAGAAGATAAACTCTAAAACGTGGAAAATAAGAAAACTGCTTCTATTAGGACTAGACAGTGAGGTGTAAAAAGCTGAAATTCAACTGCATTTATTTTGTAAGATTATAATCGATTTACAATAATATATAACAAAGTATGTACTCAGTTTTCATCTCTGGCTCTTTTCAAACATAAAAAAACCTTGATGCATTGTTTTTATTGTTTGTATTTCACTGCTCTGTAAATTGTTTCTTCAGTTGCACTGTTCAGTGCATTCAGTGTATTTTTAGAAATTATTCTGAATCCTCCCAAACAGAACTGACCAAAACTCTATCTAGTTATGATGTAATTTGAAATGTCATGAGACAAAGTCATTAATCATTTGCTAGAGAATCCTAATTAAAAAATAGAATTGTGAGGTCAGAGACTTACACCCCTAATGAGCAGGTGTTCCCATACTAGCTGTATGTATTTATTCTCCAGTCATGTTGATGTTGACATCCTCACCTTAATGAAAGTGTCAATCTCCATTTTCCTGCGTTTGGCTAAGGCCTCTATCTCTACTTGACAGATTGCACACACATACAGGTGATTCACGGCTGGACCCCCTCCAAACCTGAACCAAGGAGAACATACTGTGTAAACACGTTCCTTTCAGATTATGAATTAGTAAAGAAAGAGGGTACATGCTGCACAGTGGGATGACACTGTACTGACTGTGTTTAGACAAGACCTGGTAGAATGTTCTGTTTAATGGCTTCCATCTTCAGTCCTCACTCGCTGTTTGGATGTCCTGATTGTAGACTGAAAAATTCCATCCAACTTAACTGTTGCTTGACTGAATTCTGTCCTAGGCTTACTGCAGATCGCAGATCAACAGAATTCTGCCCTAATCTGACTGAAGTCTGACAAAATTCTGTCCAAACCACACTGAAGCCAACAAAATTATCCTAACTTGACTGTTACTTAATATAATTTTGCCCTACCCGGAATGCCCCAGGTCAGGTCTGAATCTAAATGTAGATTGATAAAATTGTTCTAACCTGACTGCTGCCCTAACCAGACAGAAGCCTGCCAAAAGTATGTCCTATGTCCACTGAAGCCTGACAAAATTCTGTCCTAACCTGATTGAAGTCCAACAAAAATTCTGTTGGAACCTGACTGTGGCCCAACAAAATTCTGCCTCAACTCGAACGTAACCTAACAAAATTCTGTCTCAACTCGACGGTACCCTCACAAAATTGTGTCCTAACCAGACTGTAGCCTGACAAAACTTTGATCTATCCTAAATGTAGCCTGACAAAATTCTGCCCTATCCCGAGTGTAGCCCAACAAAATTTTGTCCTATGCCCACTGTAGCCTGACAAAATTTTTTCCCAACCAGACTGCAGTCTGACAAAAGTCTGTTCCAACCCGACTGTAGCCTGGGTTGTTACCATAACCAAACTAGAGCAAAAATTCTGTGTTAACAGATTGTAACTTGACCATATTCTGTCTCAAGCTGACTGTAACATGCCAAAATCCTGCCCTATCCCAAGTGTAGACGAACAGAATTCTGTCCTCACATGTCTGAAGCCTGCTAAAATTCTGTCCTTGCCCAACAGAAGCCCAACAAAATTTTACTTAACCCAAACAAAGCCTGCCAAAATTTGGTGATAACCTAACTGAAGTCCAACTGAAGTCTGACTAATGTCTGACAAAATTCTGTCTCAAATGTTACCTGCCAAAATTGTCCTAACCGGACTGCAGTCCAACCCAACTGTAACCCACTCTAAATTTCTGCCCTAACAAGACTAGCCTGAAAGAATTCTATTTGATCCTAACAGTAACTCAACAAAATTCTGTCTCAAACTAACTGTAACATACTAAAATTCTGCCCTATCCCAAGTGTAGCCTGACAAAATTCTGCCCTATCCCAAGAGTAGTCCAAGAGTCCCGCATTCTCTACTGAGGCCTGACAAATTTTTTCCCAGCCATATTGTTTTCTGACAAAAGTATGTTTTGACCCGAATACAGCCCTCAAAAACATATTATACACAAATCAGACTGTAGCCTGACACAATCCTGTCTAACCCCAATTGTAGCCCAATAAATTTCGTCCTAAAAAGACTGTAGTGGGACAAATGCATGCCATAAGCAATTAAAAAGGTAGGCGACAGACTACATGAGACATCAACGTGAAATCTGAACCTGAAACATATTTGAAAAATAATGTTTGAACCTGTTTAAACCCTACAGTGAATAGTCAGGGCCTATTAGGTTAAGACAAATACTGCAAATGCTAAATCAGTGAAATTAACAGTGCTCTGAATGTTCTGCACAACTCACCTGTTGTAAAGATATTCCCACACGTTCTGAGGCAGGATCACGACCAGATCGTCTACATAGTGATACTTAGTTGGAGGGATTCCTGCCAAAATGGCAACTCAAGTGAAAACCTTGTCAACATCACAGAAGCTGCACAACAATGGTCAGAATTAAAATATTCCTCACCCCACTATGGATGGAATTCATATCAGTTTTCCACAACCAAAGTTTTAGATCTGAAAAACTGACACTTAATAGGCTAATACCTGCAAATGGGTGTGGGGCTTGGAGGGGGCTTAATATTACATTTCTGATATTTTGCAAAAATATTTTGGTAGTTTGTATTAAACAGAATAGAATTAATTATGACTGGGACATGAGTAAGATAATAACTATGTACGTGTTTCCTGGCATGTTACATTTTTGACATTTTACATTCTGACATTTTATTTATTTTGGCATTTTGTGCTAAAAACAGTAGAGATAAGAGTGATGCACAAGTGTGAATATCTCTGAATCATTAAACTTAGCAAATAGCAAATGGGGGGAAAAATAAACTAATATTACATTACAGTGTACTTTTTGACATTTGAACACTGTGTACTTTGACATTTCATCCAAATATTTTTGTGTCATTTTGCATTAAAAACAGTGGAGAGATGTCTGTATGGTCGTGAGTATGGATGTATGTGTACCTCCATGCTGACAGAGGAAGGTATGGTTAGTGATTGGTCCAGGCTCAGTGAAGGTGTTGAACTTGTTGAGCCATTCTCTTGAGATGTAAAATTGCAGGAGACTGGGCTCCTTTAGATTGGCCAAAGCTACGACCTTCTGCCTCTCTCTCACTGACTCCTCACTGCTCTTCCTGAGAGAGAGAGAGAGAGAGAGAGAGAGAGAGAGAGAGAGAGAGAGAGAGAGAGAGAGAGAGAGAGAGAGAGAAAGAGAGAAAGAGAGATACAGAGTCATGGGTTTATCTTAAAATGACTATGAAAGAGAATGAAGGGTTGTTGCTCAAAACATTGTAATTAGGAAAGTCTCTGTCATGTTCTTACCGGTAAAAGAGCACATAGGCCTCAGCGTTTTGCACTACAGTCTCATGCACCTCCGTCACATACTGGTCATCAAACTCATACCACTGCCCATTGATTACATTCTGACAGTACGCTATATAGTGGCCACCTAACAAAGAGAGAAGATGCAATCAATTACAGATGCATGACATACACTTCCCATCAAAAAGAAGGGGATACTTAGCTCTTCAAAATGTAGTGAGCATGCTTTTTTGTCACTTTGTAATATACTAGCATACTAAGCAGACATTTTTCATTGTTTTTTTGGTGTGGAGTACATAGTCACATGACTAAAGCTCTAAAGAAAGGGAAACATTAAATTATTTGTATTCTAATAAGCTTGACTGTTACATTTATATTATGTTCACAGGAGATGTAAACATGTGAACAGCCACAAATGTGACACAGTGACTGTCACTTCTGCTGCTGATTATACTTTCAGCTTGACTTTGTCTAAAGTTTTAGACATGCTTGAAGACAATGAAAAGTAGAGACTAAAAGCAATATTTCCATCCTTTCCATCAGTAAGCTGCCCGAGTTTTGTTTTACATGGCTTATTAATATTTAGCAATTCATTTATTTAACAATTACAATTTACAATTTTTTCTTGTGTAATTAGGTCTAACTGATTAATTGATGCAACTTCTGACTGTGTCTGACTTTCCTGCCAGTTTCAACTGTGACCCAGAATAAAACAATTTCATAACAACTCATCCAGCAAATCACAAAAGAACCACGAAAGAACCACGTGTTCACGATTTGACCATTAGACAAAAAATATGGTGTCCATGGGAAAGTTGCAAGGCGGAAACAACTGCTAACCAAGAGGAACGTAAAGGCTCGTCTTACATCATTTACAGTTGGTGTAAAGCTAACACAGCATTTCACAATAAGAACATCATACCAACAGTGAAACATGGTGATGGTAGTATAATGGCGTGGGAGTGCCTTGTTGCTTCAGACCCTGGGCATCTTGCCATAATTGACAGAACAATGAATTCTGCTCTCTACCAGAAAATCCTGCAGGACAATGTCTGGTCATCAGTCTGTGATCTGAAGCTCAAGGGCAGTTGGGATTAAAGCAATTCTGCAAGGAAGAGTGGGCCAAAATTCCTCCACAACAATATGAAAGACTAGTCTCCAGTTATATGAAGCATTTGATCTTGTTAAGGGTGGCACAGCTAGTCATAAGTTTAGGGAGACAATTATTTTTTCTTTTTTGCTTTGATAAAAACTGCAAACCAGCACCCTCTAGAGTTTGTGTTTTACTGATGCCCATTACATCTCAAAAAGCTTTAATGACTAAGACATCCGCTTACACTGTTAGAAAGGTACGATGCAGGTACATTTTTCATTTATCAAGTTACAAACAATGTAAATGTGCCCTCAAAGGTACAACAGTGGTTTAAAGGTCATGTATCTTAAATAAGTTTTTCCAGGTGAAAAGTACATATTTGTACCTTTTTGTAACCTAATGTTTTAAAACAGAACAATACAATAAAAAACCTGTAGACGGGACTGGGTGTGTGGAGTCAATACAACTTAGAAAATATAATTTCAATGGATTATGGTACAGTTATGTCCCCTGACTAAAGGTACTGAGATGTACCCTTGAAGGTACCACCCCAGTGACAAGAGGGGTACTGCCCCAGTGACAGTTTACTACCTTTATTTCTCAGAGTGTATGACGGTATAAACCTTTTAACTGAATTTTATTTTACACTGCACTGAGTTACACGTCATAAATGCAAGGTGTTTAGATAAAATAATTGGTTATAAAATATTGTGGTAATACAAAAGTTATTGTCAGGTTTCAATATCAGAAATAAAAGTAAAAGCATTTGATGACAGTGAATAGTAGGGATATCATTTTTCCTGAGCCTGTAAATGACAAACATTGTGTGTGAAGGTGCTGACTCACTGCCTGCAGTGCCGTGGTGACAAATGACTGAGAGCAGGTCATATGTAGTGATCTGAGATGGGCTGTCTTTGGCCAGGAAAGGCTTTAGGTCCAAACCCTCCAATGGAAAAGAGACATGGCTGCTGATCTTAAAGGAGTACATCACTTCATGTCGGAATCGCTTCAGGTGAATGCACAAAATCTGTAGGGCAAAACATGCAGACGCAGCATGGGACAAACAGAGAGCGATATTACATCAAAATGAACCTTTTGAAATGGCATGTATTGCCAGCAGCATGTTCAAGAACTGTAATCAAAGACATGATTGGACTGCAATCATAAACATAAAAAAATACAATTATTTTAGGTATCAGCACACTTCACATTTGATTTTAAACATGAGAAACTGATATTTCTAATAATGTGTGTAATATCGTGTTTTATTTTCCTGTGTAATCCCAGACCCAATCTACATATCATCTGCAGAGTCCTTTTGAGTGTCTGAGCTCTAGATCACAACATATACAGTACCATGAAGACCACCCTTTTATTAATTCAATTTCCAGTGAATTCAGCCATTGAGTTATTCATTTTTCAGCATCAGGAAAAAAGCAGAAAAACTATTTTCAACAGAAAATCATCACTTAAAAAGTAAATATAATTCCAAAATTATCAGTATTTAATGTGGCCACCTTTTTGCCTTTATTACAGCTTCCATTATTTTCAGGAGACTCACTTACAGCTTTTACTACAGAAATCTGCAAGGATCTTTTCCCTCACCTCCAATGTTCAGTATTAGAAACTGGTTGCATTTTCTACTTTTCATGATCCAAACAATCCCAAACACATTCAGTAATGCTGGCCTGGTCTGGACTCTGGGGTGGCCAGTCCATTCCTCTGAGTAAACCAGCAGCTAATTTGTTTGATTTTCTTCTTTATTATCTATTTACTTTTCTCAGAAGTGACATCTTGAAAGCTTCACATCCTTTCAAACCCAGAACGTTGAGTCTTCTCACATTATTGGAAGGATGGACAGAAATACTTGTGAATTTTTTCAGATCTGAAACAAGACTGGAGCTTGTTCTTCACTCAAAGATGAAGGCTTTAAATACTGTTTATCTTAGAGTGACAGTTTTGGTGGTCTATCAGGTCCTGCACGGTTGTTAGAAAAGGATTCACATTTCCTCTAAATCCTTTAAATAATATTTTTTAACTCTAGTTTAACTCTCATTTTTCCACTTATTTTCCTTGGACTTTCCCTTTCTTTACGGAAGTGAGTTCTTATATCTCCTCAGAAATAGCTCCTGCAAAATGAATACTTTGTACTTAATGGCTGTTTTGACTTGAAATTACATAAATGAAGGGTGGTCTGACTTTTGCACTGTACTGTAGATCACTGGTCAACAGCCATTTTTAATACATACTTTTTTGGTCAAAACTTGGCAGCCAATCAGGGTGTTAAATAATATACTATCCAACACATTCAGTTTTGGGTATGTGAGGTGCCAACGTAACAGATGAGCTGAGTGTGCTGAATCACAGAATAGAGATCACTTTAAAAAGCATAGGAGACACTTGCTTCTGGTAGCCGTAGAACTTTACAATACTTGACACCATTTCTCAACCTGTGGACAAAACAAAAGCATTTTATGTTTACTGTGAGGTCAATAATACAGTAAATGATGAAATTATACAAGTAGGGTGACTCCAAAAAATATTTAAACACTTCAACTCCTGGTAAACTTTAAAGAAATTCTTCAGGTTACTTTGCAAAACGTTAAACAAAATTATATTTGTTTCAGAGAAAAACTTTTAGCACAAGCTGAGGGTTTACTCTTTGTGTGGAGAATTGCTGGAGAGGAATTTCAACCAGTTTGCACCATAGGTTTGTTAACACAAAGGTGGAAACGGCAAAGTCTGGGGCTGTTTTTCATACAGTGGTGAGCTTGTGTTCATTGATGGGATCATAAACTCAGAACGTACAAAGGCATTTTAGATGCAAACCTGCAAAAGTCTGCAAAGAGACAATAATGATCTGAAACACACCAGTTACCTTTGAAAAGAATACTTTACCAAAAAGAAAATTACAGCCTTGGAATGGTGTGTTTGCAATAAATGTTTGGTGTAACATTTTTCTGATGTGGTAAACTTAACTCAATTTTAAATATGGCACAAATATCCAAATACTTTATATTACAAAATCTACTTTCTGGAAGTGCTTACTTTTTGCATCGTTCACAGCTGTACATGTTATCCCCTGAGAGAGAAAAAAATACACAAAACATATTTGTTATTACAGCTGTGTGGCTTACACTCCGAGACCAGACGACTGGAAGTTATAACCATTTTCATGCAGATATTTTGTTTCTGTTTTACCTTTCAGTTCATCTGCAGCAAAGAAGGCAGCAAGGCAGTCCTCTAGTGTCACCATGGGACCCCAAAACCAGCTGGGGATACAGGACACAACAAATCTGCAAAGACAAATGCACACAATCATTATTTTATTCATTGCTATATATATTTATGGATTTTCTCGCACTATTTTTATCAGAATTTTGCTATCTGGTGCAGCTCAGAGGATGATCAGTTCCCTTTTAAAGTTTTGCTTCCTCTCAGTGGTTCTTCCTCATGCTCTTAGTTTTTCCTACCACTGACGCCCTTGGCTTGCACATTAGGGGGCTTTCTGAATTTCTATAAACCTGCCTTGGGACAAAGTTTCAACACTCCTGGTCAAATTCCATGTTTTGGTGATTTTCTAAGTGGAAATAAGTACAAATCCTCTACAGGGAACAAACTTAAATTGGCTAATTTTACTGCACAGTTTCTATTTAATTGCATATAAATACATTGGAAAAAATAAAACTATAAAAACATGCTGTAACTTTTATAAAAGCATATTTTATGTTTTTTTCCCCTCAGTAAATTAAATTAAGCTAATAAACAGTAATTGCGCATTAAAATGTGCAAAAGTGTAATCTCTGTAGAGTATGTGTGCTTATTTTCACTTTAAAAAAATTAACATGTAATTTGACAAAGGGCTCCCAAACTTTTGCATACGATGGTATTTATAAATAAACTGAACAATATTAGGCCTGTGCCCGTAACAGAATCGTCTTATGTGGAAAATAAAGTAAAAGTTGTGGTTAAAGTATATTATCATCTTTAATTTGACCATAACTCTGTAATGAATCCAGCAAGAACCATACAGTGCTGTGGTGCCTGTAGTGAAATGACATGCATGTTCTTCCCTGAGTCCTGAAATGTGACCCTGTGGCCTAAGGATGTCCTAAAATGTACACAGTACCACAAAGGAAGTTTTTGTACTGGCATAATATCTGCCTGCAGCACCAAGCACATTTGACCAGCGCAACTCAACAGCCATGTTTCTAGAACTCATCCATGTTAGGTACAGTAAATACAGAGTTAATCACCCATGTTTAACAATTCAATTATGTTTATGTGTGGGAATACTAGTGTCTTCCTATGGGTTGCATGAAATAAATCAATAAATGAATGACGGGTATTTAAACTGCTGGGAAGAGTTTTTAACCATCACAGAGGGCTGTTACCACAGTGACTTCCCTAACCATCACCGGGCACAGGCCTAAACTGAACTGAATTTCCATTCACTTATGTTTTTTGTAGATAAATACTGGTATGTGTAGTAAGACAGACAGACAGACAGACAGACAGACACACACACACACACACACACACACAAACACTTAACCCCATAAATCCTAGTATTATTTTTAGTTTTTAAGCTTAAATCTTATTATTCAGAAAATACTAGGAATGATCCAGTAACTACTATGAAACTAATATGGAAGTTATGTAGCTCACAGAGTGAGGAACTAAAAAATTGGCCTACATACAGACCTTTGTGATCAAAGAGGTAAAAAGAGTAACTTAAAGGGGACTTCCACCAATTTTACAAAATTTCTGCATAAATCAATCGTTAAGATGTAAACAAAGACATGCTCTAGAGAACATTCTAAAGAAACTTACAGAGTCAGTTCACAATGGTGGTTAGAGAAACCAGATGTTTGAAGAGTTTACCAGCTCTAAAATGTACCTCACAGAAAGCTAAAACATGAAATGTAATATTAAAAATTGTTTCATGATAGTTTTGAAATAAGGTTTAGGCTTAAAATGTCCAGTCATGTCAATGAGCAAAAACAGTATGCAACTTTTCAAATGTTTTCATAATTATACCATTACAAACATTACGTATAAAAACTCTGAAAACACATTTTCATGTTATAGACGTTGCAACCCTTACTTACTATCACCACTATCACACCAAGTCAGAGTCTGTATGTTTCTCTCTGAAACCACTGTGAATGACTTTGCGATTAAATAGCGATACAGCAATTGAGTACGTTAACTGAGTCACAAAAGAGTTCCGTTCATCAGTTCACTAATTTCAGTCCTGGGCTAAAACATTCTTCAAGGCACAAATGAGTTAATACATTAACTTGTTGTTTGAATTAATATATTAATGCTCTCTCTTTTCTACCTGCGGATAGACTCCATAATGTAGGAGATCCAGCCTTGGGAAGCGTAGGTGTCTGTGCAGACGCCCGCCTTTGCTGGAGCGCTCTGGTGGATGGACGAATGGAGCTTAGCCAGGTCCTCTTTACCTGGGATGGGCAATGATAAGTCCTGAAATGTCTCGACTGTTGTAGACACCTAGGGAAAAAGGAAAGCTTCATTAACGCCTCAGAAAAACACACAGAAGCTAGTACAGTGTTGCTGATAAAAATGGAAAAAGATACAGACCAACTTCAGACTTTAAAAGGCTGCTGCTCTTTTTAGCATTTCGCTAGATAACAACATAAGCACTATGTTTGGACAGTGGAGACTTTGTTTTTAGTCCCATCCAAAAGCGCCATGTCAGTAATTTTTAAGGACTGTGCACTCAAATGTCAGTAAGGATTCAGATGCCTTTTATCTTCATCAAATAAGCCACAGAAATAAATTCATGTTATATTAATCCCAAGTAAATCAAAATGTCAGTAAAACATCATATGCTGTTTCTCAGGTACTTGAAGATAGCATTTAATTGTGCCTCTGTGTCTAAAACATCTAAAATTACAGAAAACAATTTGTTTTTATGCTGTGAGGTTGATTGTTGGCTGTGAATTCCCAAACTAATGGCATTGCTAACGGCACACTGCAATTACTAAAGACAGCAAGACAGATAGTTAAAGGCGAATTTCACCGATTTCTCAAAATTTCTGCATAAGTCAATCATTTGAGATCTAAAGGGTCATTCAGAGTGATCTGATGTAAAATAGTTCATTGTAAAGAAACTGGGTCAGATTTCTTTACAGCGGAAGTGATAGGAACCAGGAGTCACGATGTCTTCAACACAAATATAGCAATTTTATTTCCTATCCAGAATCTCTCATGAACCCACAAGGTCTTCTGACCTTTTTTAAATAATGTTGTAGGGCTGGGTGATAAAACGATACCGATAATTATCGCGATATAACTTTTCCTCGATAGAGCGAGATGACATGTTCGATAAATTTTCGATATAATACACCATTCTCACACTTCCACGTTCTGGCGAAAGCCTTGGTGGCGTTTTCTACTGCAAGGAAAGCGACACTACTCTGCTGTCGCCAGGAGAGGGCGCACTTCCGAGTTTTTCTACATGGTTAGAGAGGGAGGGGGCCACGAGTAAGAGGAGTCTTTAGCAACAGCTGAAACGCGGAGTTATACATTCCTTGTTTGAGTGGAGTGACCGGCGATCTGTTCTCCTGTGACCGAGTGTGAGGGACGAGGTCAGTGGTGTAACTGTACTGTCCTACAGCGAACTCATACTAACATCCTAACAAGCTTTAGCAGCGTTAAATCACAATCCTCACAACTACAGCGCTGTTACTGCGCTCGGACAGTCATATTTAAGTATTAGTGCATTCCCAAGCAACGAAAGTGAAAGAAAGAAGTGGGTTCATGTAAATTACAGCCCTGATTTAAACGAAAGTAAACTGAGGAAGCTGTGAGGCATTGGAGAGTGGGAGAGCGCTAGCTTTCCAGGCTAGCCGTTTTTAGCAGCTGGCTAACTTGAAGCAGCGCTCCGTCACTTCACAACACAGCGAATTGATGATACTGTAGATCAAACACGACACAAAAGCACCGCTTTCAGTTTAAACGTACCTAAAAGGAGTTTGTCTGGTGTTAGATATTTTGCGGTTCAGCACTTAAACTACTAGCTTACGATAGTATAGAGAAATCCAGTCGTCGCTAGCCGGTGTCTGAATACTGTGATGTCATTTGTAGCGGGGTAGCCGAGCACTCGTCACCAGCTAAAAATAATCTATTTTCTTTCTTAAATTATGACTATTACAAAATAGCCATGCTTTTCCAGCTGGTAAAAACAGCTCACCAGAAACTTTCTCCCACTCTCCCATGACAGATCTGTGAAATGTTCCACTGTTTGAGTGTTTGTCGTGTTCCGACCATAAAGGGTAGTTTAAAACAGCAATTAACCACCCAGGAGCAAAAATCAGCCTTCAAACTTGAAAGAAATTATGATTTGACATGTATCGCGGTATGTATCGATATCGAACAATATGAATTTTGTTTATCGTGATAACATTTTTGGCCATATCGCCCAGCTCTATAATGTTGATAATGGTAAAATAGTGAAAATTTGAAAAAAAATGTTTTCTTTGGGTACTATTTTGCCTTACAATGCTCTGCATGTATCTTTTCACTATGAATGTATTTAAATATATATATATATTTTAGGCCAAAACCATCGTAAAATAATGTCTCAGACCTTGGGCAGTGCGTTAGTGACCATTTTACTTTCTATGAAGCAGCTTTTAGCGGCATTAAAGTCTTATGGTTTCTATCACCCACACTGTGAGCAATTCTGACTTGGTAAGCTTCACATCAAACCACTTTGAATGACTTTGTTTACATTTTAGCAATTTATATATGCAGACATCTTGAGGAAAAAAAAAACAGACCAAAAAAAAACAGTGGAATTCCCCTTTAAAGTGAACAGAAAATTGGCTAAACTAAATGTTTTGACATGTTTTCTATTCGTTTGGAGAAAAGACAGTGCTCATTTATACCAAGGCTCTGTCATTTATACTAAGATTTGAAATTCCATGCGAATTAGTGATAAGCTTTACAGATGGTGGTAAATTGGCACCACCCAACCTCCCTATAAAAAACTAATCCGGCCTGAATAGTACTAGTTAAAAACTACATGACCAAGTCTACTTGAGGTTACAAAACAACCTGGCACAGTCTGACTAACTTTTGAGGCAGTTTGAAAATTGTTTAAATTCAATTTCTGACCAAACCATCAATTTACTATTACTGCAGATGCACGGTGTAGTGTTTAGAATAACTTTGGAAGGTCTTGGACAACTGAATGGTACATCGCCACAATTGCTTATACACAGTGCTGATGCTGCCCTCTAGTGTAGACAGCTGCAAACACCCTCTCTTACCCGGTCACACGTCAAGCACTGGACCAGACTCAGAATGGAGCCGTCAAAGATGTCCGAAATAACACTGCGGAAACGGGACTGCTTCTTCTTCTTGGCACCCAAGAGCATCTGAGCTGTAGACAGATGACAAGTTGTAGGCTTTCATTACTGACCAAAATAATTTAGAACAAGCGCATCTTATGATGTTGATGCTTGTCTAATATGAGACCAGGAAAAACTGTAGCTAGTTTACGTAAAGGCCAAACCTTTTTTAAAGGTGTAGATAGGGCTGGCTCTGAGTGGGCTGGACCTGGGTGGGCTGCTGGACAGTTTAGAGTGAAGTTCCTGCACGCTGTGAGTGGGGCTACAGGGCCGAGATGAGGGGAGATGCATGGAGGCCTCATTATCAGGTTCTGAGAGACAACAGTCATGAAAAGGGAGAAGTAGAATCAGGTTCTATAGGATTATGATTAATCAAGTACACCAGATACTCTTACACTTGGCCCAGGAATATCAGGCCAGTTTTGAGGCAGATTTGGCCCTCTGGTCGACTGCAAAAGGTTTCAGGCTGATCTTTAAATTTATCTTCCCATATTATTCTGTGGTGTGGTGTATATACATGGGCAGTCAAAAAGAATTGCTGAAGATCTATGTTTCTGAAGAGTTTGGTTCAAACCCGTATCTAATACGCTGCCCCTCCTCATACCTACACTAATGCATCTGATCTAGCTAATCAAGGAGGTCTAAAGAAGTTAATAAGCTGGAGCAGACTGTGGTTCTAACTAGAGTTCAGAGGAAGGTAAATGCAAAAGCAAGGGTTGGTGACCACCAATGTAGTGTTTATAGCCAGGATCCTCTAGTCTTAAACACAACCCCAAACAGACATACTGACTCAATATCCATTTCTAAAGTTCTTTTTTAAATTATTTAAAGGAACTGCTTCCCACACATTCTTCACTGCTGTCCACAATGTTTGAATTCTTATTTTCTATACATTTCCCCATATGTAGCCCAAAAAAAAATCATTTAGTTTTAAATTGTGCCTAAAAATATCTGTCATTTGTTGGAATTTTACTTCTTTAAATGAACAGACAGGTTAAACACATCAAAACCAGTTGCTAAACATCAGCGTATGACATATGTGCAAGTGACAAATCCATTTTGATACAATACAAATTTAACCCCCCTGATCTACTCACAGTTCAGTCATGGCTGCCATTCTGTGTACTGTGTATTTGTTAAACATGTTAAATATTTATGACTCAACAGCATGAAGATTGCGGAGAGCCAGACTGTCTCACATAAAACACAAGACTCAAGACTAACTCAAGACTAATTCTGCAAGGTTCTGAGCATCAAGACCACTGGTCAGAACTCTGGTTCTTAATCTGAAAGCATGTGGTATTTTGCTCTGGGTGAATCTTGTAGTGTGGGGTATATGATGACTCAAGGACAATCAGGAACAAAAGATCTGCGAAATCTGTCATGACATGAGGGGTCTCCTAGTATAAACATCAGGTATGATTTTATAAATAGTGTGGGCCAGGCAATTAGAAAAGACCTCAGTCATTCACATTTAATAGAACCGAGTCAACTGGTCCTTGTTCAAAAGCTTACAAAAATGGTGTAACTGCTATTATTATGACAGTGGATCCTTCCCCTAGTTTGTAAAGCTTACTTAAAGTGTGTTAAGCAATCCTGCAGTAGCAAGAGGAACTTTGGTGCAGTAGGGCTAACAGCTGATCAGAGGAAGGTGGAAGCTGTTCTCTGCAGTGTACAATTGACAATTCCCTTATAATATACTAATGATTATTAGTGTAGGTGTATTACAAATGTGTAAAACAGAAGTTTATCCAAGCATGGCATTTTCTGTCGATAAACTCCCACGTCTGCGATAATCCATCTCTGTTAGCATTTGTGCGTGTGAGTGGGTTCGGGCAGGGTTCAGGTATCATGTTTAGCAGTACCACTAGGGCCTAGTCAGGTTGGGCCCCAAACTCAGGGGTGCGGGTTTGGGCTTCAATTTCATACCTATGCAGACCAGTGCTGTATTACTAACTGATGCACAGCTGTTTTTCTGTACCTGTGTTACCCTGAGTCTGGACGGTCCTGGTTGACCCCGTTTGCTCTCCTCCTCTTTCGGTCTGTTCCTCCTGCACCGCTGTGTCCACATCTGCATCCTCGTCTATCTCTTGTGTCCTCTCCTCCCCCTTGTCTTCCTTCCGCCTCTCCTTAAGCCTCTCCTTCTCAGAGATCCCTCCATTCCCTCTGGCTCCCACGCACTCATCCTGAATAAGAAGCTCCGTCTCCCCTCCTCCTCCAGTCCCGCCTCCTCTTTCCCCATCCCCCCTCTCACTCCCTGAACCCGAGTCACAAGACAGGAAATCATCCTCAGAGGGGCTGCGGTCGCCGTCGCCAAGGTTACGGTTGTCGAGGTTATGGTCAGGGTCAGCATCGCCGCTGCTGCTGCTGCAGTCAGCTAGAGGCTCCTTCAGCTCCTCATGGAGCTGGTCCATCAGACAGCGCAGGAACTCCTGAGTGTCCTGGAGAGCAGAGACCACAGCAAAAATTGTGTTTGTGTCTTCAAGGGAAAGAAAATTTGAGGAACAAGATATTCTGATACAGTCAGATAGGGAGAGTAGCTAGTAGGGCCTAATATATAATATATAGTCCTAATTTAAAATCACCACAAAATATTTTTAAAATATCCCTTAATATGAATGATTAGTATGATTGGCTGATGTTATCAGGATTTTTAGCACCTCAACTCAATATTGCACAGGCCACAAAAAATTGTATTGGTCCATCGCTAATATAAATATTATACCACAGGAGCTTTAGCCTCTTTTTGCAGTTATGGTTTCTGTTATTTAGCCCTTAATTTTTGCTTAATACAACAAGTTTTCAGAAGTTAGTGGTTTCTGGTGGTTTTCTTTATGTTACAATAAGTGTTACACACTTATTATCTGTGCTTTACTGGAAGGAACTTCACTGACATCAATACATCAGTGGGACCTTATTATGGTGCCTTTTGTGAACATGACAGTTAGTTATATCCACTATTTATGTGCACATGTATAAAGTTGGTGAGTATCGTTGCATTGTAAAAATAATATCGCTGGTCAAGACAAACCTGCTGGGCATAGCCTCGAAACATAGGATTCACAAGTTTGATGCCATGAAACAGACTAGTAGGGACCACATAACTGGGCCTAGGTAGAGAGAGGAAGAGAATGGTGGGGAAAAGAGAAAGCAATGCGGAAAGAATTAGAACATTCCGGCCTGAATGTGGCAATACCCATTTATTATTAGGAGTGTACTATTAGAAGGGCCCCAAAAATAGACAAACCTTTTTCAACCTTGGCGAATCACATTACTGAAGTGTGTGTGTGTGTGTGTGTATGTGTGTGTTTTATTGTACCGTTTCTTGTGCCAGAGCTCAGAGATGAGTTTCTGATAGCTTTTGCAGAGAGCAGGTTTCTTATCTGTGCGCACCAGCCCACTGCAGTCCAGGAAAAACTGAGTCAAAGGAGGACTAGAAAGAAAGAAAAAGGGAGGAAGTAACCGATCCAAATACTTTCTTGATAATGGCTGAACGATACTGGGTAAAGTACATATTCTGATAGTTTAAGTTTTTCCTATATATATATATATATATATATATATATATATATATATATATATATTATATATATATATATATATTTGAGAAAACAAAAAAAGATAATTTTTTGAACAGTCATGAATATCCAAAAATAATTCAAGTGGAACAAGGAAATCACATCATCCAACAAACCCAATTTAACATCTGTGATTGGTCAGTATGCTTATAGGAAACCACAGAACATTATTTTGGTTATTAGATACTGAATGGTTAATGTATTTCAAATCTACTCTCTTCCAATAGTTATGTGATTTTTTATTGTTGCATTCACTTGATATGATTTAACAAAAGGTGAAGATTCATAGATATCTTTACACCAGTCCTATTTTACTGTTACTGTCTTAATAATTTGTTAGTTTGTGTACTTCTGTGACCTGTTTAGAATGTTATGTGTCATGCAAGTGTGCATTGGCCAAGATAAATTCCTTGTATATGTAAATACTTGGTGAAATAAAGTGATTCTGATTGACAGGGTTGAACTCACCAGTTAGAGAGGGCCTGCAGTGCTGCATTCATGTAACATGAATTCCCAATGTTCTTCATCCCTGTGAGCCCTGAGAAAGGGAAATACAGCGAAACAAAGATGTAAAGATAAAGAAATTTAACTAATTTAAAATTTCAATAACTTGATATATGGAAATGATATAACACAACTCAACCTAAGCACACTAAACGTAGACATTCAGACATTGTCTAACAGGCTCCCGAAAACTACAACTGAAGAGGAACCACTGGAGAGCAGTCTGACCAAGTATCAAGGACACCACATTTCAGCAAGGACCATGTACTTTTAATGGAGTTTAGGTCTCTGGAGCCTGTTTGAAGGTACAAACCAATTTACAGCACTAAGAGCTATAATTAATTAATACCATTCATAGATTTAATTTGAAATCATGACAGGGGCTCTCCTGGGGATGAGGAAGGGTAGATATAAATCTACATTTAATGTATCAGAACTAAATGACAGTTGAAAGTGTTGTAACAACCCAATGGCAACATGATTTTCAAATAAATTTGCATGGATATGCTTGAAGTTTTGGACATGTCCATATCTTTCAATAATAATCAAGAAAGCATAACATCAAAATGAAGTTTTAATAAAATTAATATCAGAATCTGTTATATTTGAAACGTGATGAACAAATCTTGGATAACTTGACAAGAAATTATTATAATCATATAATAAAAGTATATAATTATTATTACTAGTACCACAATGCTATATTATGTTTATCATTTTTTTGTTGTTACCAATATACTTTGAAAACTGAAATATTAAATAAAACATCTAACAAGGACGCAAAGTGTCAGCGATTCGAAGCACCAAAAGCTACTTATGGTACTAATGGTGCACCCTTGTGGAGAATCTTCTGCTAAATGCGAGCGAGTGAGCGAGCAAGTGAGTTTCATGCAAGGTCCATGAGGTGATTTTCAGCTAAAAATACTTTTGAGTTTTTTTTTTTCATTGCACAGTACACTGTATAGGTTAACAACAATGTATTTATGATAGCTAGTGTGCTTGATCATTTACCTCTAGGCTTGAGCTCATCTTCTTCAGACTCTGAGCCTTCCTCATCTGCCACGGCAATCGGCACTGCCTTTAATGGGTGACAAACACTTCGTGGAGAAGCATCCTGGAGAAAAACAAGACATTGAAATGTTAGCTTACAAAGTCAATTTTGCACAACAAATACATGAAAGGCTCTCATTTAACAATTATTAATATGGATCTTACACAGCTTTTTTATGCTCCAGAACAAAGAATGTTTTCAAGCCTCTATAATATTTCAAAAAAATAAAAAGGTGGTCTCCAACAGGTTTGCCAAACCTTCTGACAGGAATGGAAATCGTCAAAGTGATAGGTGTCTCCTTGTAGGTCAAATTCTAAAAGACCTGCTTTTCTCAAGTGTTGAGTACTAAGATTTACAAAGTAGTACATGATGTTCAAAAAGCCCCCTGGTGCCACTGGGTTTGTAGCACTGGTGCAGTTGTGCATATAAGGAATTTATATCCCCCTATGAGGATACTGATTTACCATGCACTTTTTTGTGTTTTCTGCTTGTGTTCTTTTTTTCCCTGCTGCTGCACTCTACAGTTACTGATAAAGCCCAATAATGTAATACCTGCTACACATTAACCAGCTGATCTAAGGAATGAAACATAAACATCAAAAGAGATCAAAGCATATTATTTATGCTTTGAATTTATGAAGCTGAGCTTAACAATGATGGTAACATCAACAGACAATTGGGACCCCTCAAGGCCATCTAGTCCTTCAAAGGAGACCTTATGAGTTTTGTGAGAAAAAAAAAAAAATCATAGTTGCTGTAAGTAATATCTGCATTTCATTTTTATGTATTAGGCAGTACAGTGGCACGGTGGGTAGTGCTGGTGCCTCACAGCATAAAGGGCCTGGGTTCAACTCCCGGCTGGGCAACCAGGGTCTTTTTCTGTGTGGAGTTTGCATGTTCTCCCTGTGTCTGCGTGGGTTTCTTCCAGGTACTCCGGTTTCCTCCCACAGTCCAAAGACATGCTGTCAGGCCAGTTGGACATGCTAAATTGCCCCTAGGTGTGTGTGTGTGTGTGGATGTGTATGTCTGTCTGCCCTGCGATGGACTGGCGACCTGTCCAAGGTGTTTCCTGCGTTCTGCCCAATGACCGCTGGGATAGGCTCCAGCACCCCTCCGCAACCCGGAAGGATAAGCGGTTCAGAAAACGTGTGTGTGTGTATTTTTATGTATTAGTTAGAAACAAAAGGTTAAATTCTTCAAATGCCCAATAGAAAACTGTCCAATTTTCTCTGTGGTATGTAGGTAGAATTAGCTAAGCTAGCTCTTTAATTAATTAAGCCACCTGGAGCTGAACTGAAGGTCTAATATGTCAGATTAACCACTAACATAATTAGGAACTGACAGTTGAATCAACTAAATCACATTTGATTTACAAGCGTTGGGACCAATTTTGTGAGAAAAAAATTATTCCAGGTCTTCTGGAAATCCTAAATACGTAACTGACTGACAATTAGAGCTGCAACAAACGACTAATTTGATAGTCAAATAATCTATCGATTACTGAAACGAATAACAGATTATTCGGATTATGAATCACTACATTACCAAATAACTTTTATGTAGCTATTAGCTTTTAAAATTAGCCTTCAGGTTGTTTTATGCATTTGCTAACTAACAATGAAGACAATAAAGATGAATACCATTCAAGAATTCACTGTTTTAATGAACTTTCCTGCTAATACAAAAGATAAAAAAATAAAACTCCAATATATTTTTCCTGTCAAAATGTATAACTAAGGACGTGCAAAGTAGCAGCAATAAAATATAACTAAACTAAATCAGTTTTCTTTTAATCAAGTAAATAAAAAAAATCAATCTAAATTTAAATGTTAAATTTTAACAGTGCAGTCTGTGCATTCTGCTGTCTGTCTACACTCTGCTGCAACTACATTCTACAATCACAGGTCTTTTACTGAAACGGAGTAAAGCGAGCATCTCTCTGCGCTCCTGTCAGAGTCTCGCTCTCCTCTCCTCCGCTGCAAAGGAGACGCGCTCTGAAGGAGTGGATGGGAAAGTGGCGAATGTTTGTGGCAAACTTCTCCATGAACAGTTAAATTTGAAAGATTTTGTGTAAACACTTTATTTTATCGATAACCCTTTGTCCAGCTGCCCTGTGTGTTCACGGAGAACTACCTCCTTTAACTGTTAGGGAGTGGAGCCAAACGTTCACGCTCTCCTGTGTTCGCCGAATCTGACCGCACCGGTGGCCTCGACGTTAAGACGACGATGCAGCGTTTAAAACTAAACGTTATCTGGAAAGTGAACAGGGTCGCTGTGAATAACAGTTACTTGCTTCCCTTTTCCAACTCCATTAACGATTCCAGAGAACCTGCACTTCGAAACAGAAAATGTTTAACATTAACATTAGCTAACTAGCTCGCTAGCACAACTCTCGCCGCGTCCCAAACCACACACTTTGTACTTCACGCACTACATAAATGAGTGCACTTCTAATGGTATATGCAATATTTTTACACACTATTCAGTGTGCTAGTAACGTTATGCGGTTTGGGACGCGGCGTATCTTACCGAGATGAATCTTCATCTAGTGAGCCGAAAAGTTTCCTCTTCAGATGATCCTGCTTGGAGGATGTCCTCCCATGTCAGCTAAGCAATAACAGTAATTATCTTATAACAACAGTGCATGTCAAGGTCTGGGATGTATTAGACAGTAAGCCTACTGTCAGTTCTCATAGTCGACATGTTAGATGAGGGAGAAATGGGCAAGCGCGAAGACCTTAATGACTTTCACAAGGGCCAAATCGTCATGGCCAGACGACTGGGTTGGAGCATCTCTGAAACAGCAAGGCCTGTGGGGTGCTCCCAGTCAGCAGTGGTGAGCAGTGCCTACCGACAGTGGTCTGAGGAGGGACAAACCACAAACTGGTGACAGGTTGTTGGGCATCCAAGGCTCATCAATGTGCAAGGGCAACGAAGGCCATCCAGCTTGGTCTGAACCGACAGTGGGCATATGAGAGTAAAAACTGGACCTTGGTAATCCCCGATGGCCTCTTTCAGCAGGATAATGCACCTTGCCACACTACAGACATTATTCGGGAACAGTCTGAGGAACATAATAAAAGTATTGTCATGGCCTCCAACTTCCTCAGATTGCACCTTGCAACTTCAAGGATCTGCCGCTAACATCTTGGTGCCAGATACAACAGGGCACCTTCAGAGGTCTTGTAGACTCCATACCTTTGCAGGCTATTTTGGCTGTTTGCAGAGGATCAACAGCATATTAGGCAGGTGGTCATCATCATGTGAGTTAATAGGTCAGTGAAAAGCTTCAGATAACATGGAATATCTTTTACAAGCTTCAACTGTCAAAAATGTTCATGTGAATTGCTGCCATTTTGAGAAATCAACATTATCGTAATCCCTCATTTTTGTTTTCACATTTATGGCCCAAACTGAAGGTCTAGCACTACTAGTCACATTTCACCACTACTAACAGCCATATCCAGTCCAATTAATCAGTTTAGAGATTTCTTAGAATTTGGGCAACACAATATGATCATAAAATGTGATGTGTGATACAGTCAATGGATATTGCAATAATCGTGTGCAATGCTATAAAAGAATGTTAAATTATTAAAAGTTTAATTTCATCTGTTTCTTACTGAATTTACAGTAAGTACAGGCCCTAGAAAAAAAGAGTTTTTACAGTGTAATTAAGGTAATTTGTGGTGCATTGTAGGGCTGTAAGAAAAAAAAAAAAACTCAGCACCTCCCAACTTTTTCTATTTTACAATGACAATATAATTATGATGAACCCTCTCAGATTGACAATGTCATATGCAACATCAAAGCATGTTGTACACAAAAGAATAAATCTCAAGAATGCTGCATGCTAGAGATTTACTTTTATTTTTCCTGGAAGATTAGCTCTGTAGAGTTCCAATGAGGGCCGTGGTGTGATCGTATCCCTTTCAGAAGCTTTGAACTGTCTTTTTGGAGACTTTGAAAAATAAATCTATATTGACAAATACAACACTGAGTGTCTTCTGTGATTATTTATCATTCCTCTGTGCTGAACAGAGTTATTGTTGTTGTTAGCATGGATGTTGACCATCCACTGATGCCTTGGGTTAAGTCTGTCGACAAATCGGACGCTGTGTTCCTGACTTGTTGACCAATCAGAGACTCCAGTAGCATGCAACGTTCAGGAGATATTTATTCTTTTATGTACGTTGTTTGATGTCACATACAACATCGTCGACCTGAGAGGGTTAATTCTGCAACCCTAAATACGATATGAGTTTACAGTCAAGTCCATAAATATTTGGACATTGACAAGGTTATTGGTATTTTAAGCTTTCTACCACAGGATATTGAAGTTAAAAATAAATAATGAATATGACCTCAAAGTGAAGATTTTCAGTTTTAATAGAATGGTTTTTACATCCAAATCAGGGAATGGTAAACCCTGTGTATTTACTCTGGTGAAGTCCTGATTGTTGACTTTGACGCAGATACGCCTATGTCCTTGAGGGTGTTCTTGATCTGGCCAACTGTTGTAAAGAGTTTTTTTTTTCCTACCAGGGAAGAGGCTGTTAAGTCATTCACAACGGTTGTTTTCCATAGTCTTCCACGCCTTTTGGAGTTTCTGAGCTCGCCAGTGCGTTCTTTCCTTTTAAGAATGTACTATATAGTTGTTTTTGCCACACCTAATGTTTTTGCTATCTTTGTCAGCCTGTATTTATTAAATTGTTCAACCTAATGATGGCTTATTCACTGGAAGCTCCATGGACTTCAAAGTGAGAGTTAACAGCAATAGATTTCAAATGCAAATGCCACAACTGAAATTAAATCTAGACCTTTTATCTACTTATAAATGAAATAAGGAGGGAATAACACAGCCGACCATCTACTTTTGAGTGCCTAAAGAGGGTGGGGGGTGGGGGGGTGCTTATCTATGAAAATGGTTGTAATTCGTACACTATTCACCCAATTTGGATGTAAATACCCTTAAAGCTGAAATACTGTACTTTGAGCTCATAGTTCCTATTTAATTTTCAACTCCAACATGCTGTAGTAGAGAGCTAAAATAACAATAACTTTGTCGACATCTAAATATTTGTATTTAAAAAAAAGTGTTTACCAATCCTGGTATGATGGATAATGAGGTTGTACCTGATCGAGAGGTTTGTAGCGATGAGTTCCAGACACTGGCACTACAGGCCTCTGCTCTAGAAACACCTCTTTCTCACACACGTAGCACCACACCCTGAATGTGGTCAGATTCACTGTCAGATTGTGCTTCTTCGCCTGGAGAGAATGACAGGCAAACAGTTAAATCAATGAATGAATAAATAAATAGCATACAAAACAGATCTGACAGACCAATGACTGTATGTATGGAGATGGACAAATGCATGTAGACTTCAGGCCACTAGTTTAGAGAAACACCAACTTTCTAAAGATGAAAACAAAAAATATGGGGACATAGAACAAAAGGCATTGACTGGTTCGTCATTTGTTTTACTCCTTGTGATTCTCCTGCTGCTCTTGCAGCACAAATCAGATCTACCTGATTCCTCTAATGCAGATATGCTAAAATAAGGGGGTGTTCAGATGACGGCTGCTGAAACTATTTCAAGTGCGCTTTTCATAGTTGTTTACATGCACCGTGTTTCAAGAGTAATCTTCTAACCTGTGCGACGCACCTCGCATTTTCAAACCATGCATTTCAAGCTACACCATGTACAATTTGTGGATTTGGGGACCTCACTGGTGGAAATGTATAATTGCACAAAATGTGCAGAAGAACATTTTGTAATTTTGGTTGTTTTTCAGACTCGTTCCCCGAGCATACTGAATCGATGATTGTGAGCACGTTGAAAGAGTATCGTGCTCACAGTCACGATGTTCAATTTTTACTAAACACTCTCACATAGCTGGTTTAACTAGAAAAACGAGCGTCCACAAACAACAAAACAGACCCATATGACATTCACAGACAACTAGTCAATATCGAGGATGCCTTCTCTTTAGTTACCAACGGGGCAAAATGGTTAGTTTGGCCGTTTTCATAAACTGACAATGTACAACACTCAGCACAAAGATGATCACAATCCGAATATGAGAAGAGTTTATTGCATCAGGCAATTTCTAAATGTTTTTGCTCGTCTTTGTCTTTTGCGTTCTCTGAAATCGCTGTCTTGTGTTTACCAAATTGTTAATCCAAAGTATCCTGCTTCTTTTTAGTGTGAGATGTGGCGCGCCTTGCGTTTTAAAAGGTGCAGTCTGAAGGCCCCATTAGAATGCATCATTACCAAAAAACTAGAATGGAAAAACAAGCTAAACTGGATGTCAGTAACATGCTGTGCTTGCTGTTGGCAAACTGACTTAACTGTCAATTAACAAAATATATTCCACATTTTTGGCCTGTAGCGCAAGTTCAGAGTTACCTGTGCGTGTGTAGTGCTGTGGTCTGAGTAGGACTCTCCGCAGCCCACATAGGGACAATCGCACTGAAGAAAGGGAATATTTAGAAGGAAAAAAAATTAACAAAAATAATTTTCTTCCTTCTATGTTCCAATTGTGCCTTCCATGTCTTTTATCTATCTGTTTTTGCATGTTTTTATAGGAACTTTTTCATGTATATACTTTCACTCTTTTTTTTTTTTACTTCATGAAATAACTTTGGGTCTATGAAAGGCATTACATAAACAAAATTATTATTATTATTATTATTATTATTATTATTGTTATTATGGCAGATGTTAAGTTTCAAACTCTATTCAAACTCAAATGCTATGTTGTATGTAATATTCTGTATATTCTGTAGAAAGTACAAAGTATACACAGCCATACGCAAAAGTTTCGACACCCCTGGACAATTAACAAGCTTTGTAAAACACACACAACAAAAAAACCCTCACATTTCATTTTTTGCATTTTTTGTCATTTGCTGGGTTTAACATAAAAGATAACGTAAAGCAAAAAATAAACTGTGGCGCAAATAAATAGTAGTTGTGCATTAAATTGTGCAGAAGAATTTGGCTGGGACACCCAAACTTTTGTGTATGACTGTATGGGCATATCTTGGATATAGACTACTGTGGCTTTCCCATTAGCACTCCCATTCTGCAAAGAGAAGCATGTGCCAAATACAAGCCAGATATTTTCTTCTAGCAAATCAAATCAAAAACTCCACTTCCCTCCTCACCTGTAGACAGGCCCAGAGGTTGGGACCACCCACTCCACATGACTGACAAGTGCCCTGGTACAAAAAGCAAGAAAGAACATTTAAACATGCATCAATGATATACTACATGTTATTGTATTATGTTCACTTCACTAAATGCCCAATACTTTCTGAGTGAGGGATAAGGCATTTAAAAACCACCTGATTGAATAAGTGCTTTAATAAGTTCCACTGTCATGGATTAGAGTCTTACCTTTGATTTCTGTAGAAGTTCGTCCTTGGTCACTTCACCTATGGAGTCCAGATGAGGACAAACATCTCCGCTATCCGTCATCTTTTGTTCCTCGACTGACTCAGCCTAAAAGAAAAATAAGTCGCAGAGCTAAAAGAAGAGCAATGCGAGATTGTTCATCCATAAGAAATAATTACACTGCTTCATTTGGCACAATCATACATAATGCACGGAGAACAGTCTGGGGCCAGGTATCAAATGACAGCAGACCTCATATTAGGGGTGGGCGATATGGGGGAAAAAAATAATGATGTACTATATATCACCCTATTTTCACACAAAGATGAAATACGCTAGTAGTGTCGCATTAAAAACAGCTATCAGAAACTCTGACATTATCTGTTTAGCCTCTTCATCTGCAGTATGTACTGCACAGTAGTGTCTGTCCATATTGCTATTAAGCATTTCATTTTGTCCAGTTCCCAACTAGTGCATTCTCCACGATTATCTTACTCACTGACATGATTATGTGTTCAGTAACGTACTGCATAGGGAGGAGTTTCAGTTGTCGAACGTGTCTTGGAAAGACAGATGAGTTTACACTACTATAACATGTGGCTCAAATGCCTCTCAGACAGCCTCCTGAAGTGGTTTGCGCGATTGGATTTTTATCTGTTTTAAATGTGTCCTGGGTGCGTTTACACTTGCATTTTTATCTGGCTTTGCCTTATCCAGATACAATTTTGACACTCAAGACGCAGAAAGTGACCAGGTGTAAACAGTGTCTTAGACTCATCATTCAATAAAACCCTATTCCACATCTCAGATTTCTTTTTTTCTATTGTGTTTTCTTAGTAACAGCTTCTTTGCAGCTACACATCCTCTCAGACCTATAGCACTTAGTTGTCTTCTCACAGTGGAAGGATGGACAGAAAACCTGTGATTTTTTTCCCTATCATTCAAAGATGAAGTGGTGTTTATTTGATGGTAACAGTTTTGCTGGTCAACCAGGTCTTGCAGGTTGTTATGAGTCCCTCAATCTTTTAATAATTTTTTAACTCCAGTGTGGAAATGCCTGCTTTTTTACTTAGTTTCCTTTAGCTTTCCCCTTCCTAATGTAAGTTGTCACTGTCAGGACAAAACCTTGTATTTCTGAAATGGTAACTTTAACATTCTTAAGTTGTAATAGAAGTTAACTTTTTGATCATTTCTGTTGGTCTATGAATCATAAAATTTTAACCCAATGCAAAAGGTAAACTGGACTTTTCAAATTATGCAAAAAAAAGACAAAAATGGAGATTTGGCATGATACTGACAAAGTGGATTATCTTAATATTTAATCTTCTCAGAATTATCTCATTGAGCAAATTTAGATGCACACCAGGGAGAAATCTGTAAGGCTGCTAATGTTTGTTTGGGTAATTAATTGTATGAACGCTAGTGTCTCTTGGAAGGGGAACATAATGTCAGTGAAATTATGATTTGAATGAAAGGGTTAAAGTGGCAGTTGTTGCACAAAAGTAGATGAATTACCAATTTGCCAATTTTTGCAATTTTACCTCTGTACATGACTGCAATGGATTTGAAAAGAAGCAGTCAAAATGTGATTGAAGTGTATACTTTCAGCTTTAATTCAAGTGCTTTAACAAAAATATTGCATTAACAAATCAGGAATTACAGCCATTTTTACATAGTCCCTCCATTTTCACATTTCATAATTAAGTTTTTTGTGTATTTATTATTTATAATATATATAGTTATATTGTATATTATTGTATAGTATTTCATGCTATGCAGTTCCTTACTCTATTCTACTGTTTTTATCTTAATTATGTGTATTCTATGTTGCTGGAACACTCTAATTTCCCTTTGGGATTAAAGTGTTATCTCTTAAATCCTTTGCAGTAAGTGACTGCCTTAAGTCTGGAACCCATGGACATCACAAAATGAGTTTCCTCTCATCAGATGCTTTTTCAGCACCTTACTGCAGCCACCTTCAGTTGCTGCTTGTTTAGGGGTCTATCTGCCTTTCATTTTGTCTTCAGTAAGTGAAAAGCATGCTCAGTTGAGTTGAGGTCAGGTGACTGACACAGCCATTTCAGAACACTCCATTTCTTTACCTTAAGAAGCTCTTGGGTTGCATTTTTGGTATGTTTTGGGTCATCTTCCATCGGTACTGTGAAGCATCATCTTATCAGTTTTGCAGCACTTTACTGAATCTGAACAGTATAGCTGTACATTTCAGAATTCATCCTGCTACTTCTATCAGCAGTCACATCATCAATAAACACCAGTGACCAGGTTCCACTGGCAGCCATACACAATCATCCCATAACACTGCCTCCACCATGTCTGACATATGATGTGGTATGCTTCAGATCACGAGCCCTTCCTTTCCTTCTCCATACTCCTCTCTTCCCGTTAGGCCTGGGTAACAGAGTGATATAATCGAACATCATCGATGATGGACAAGTAACCCGATGTGTAAAAGATCATTGGGGTATTGGTAAAAAACTGAGAGGGAATGACTAGTTGACCGTTAAACAGCTTGCAAAATACGCTGGGAAACTGGGGTTCATGTTTAAGAAGTGTGTGGGCTACCACTAGTAGTGCACCACTAGTTAGCTGCGAAAGAGAGAGAGAAAACGTTTGCTAAGAAACTGCCAGTATTATTATGCTATACCCTGCAATGCTAGCTTTACAGTATGCATTCCCTTAACTCACTTTACGTGAATGTAATCAAAAATGAATGCCGAAATGCTTTGGAACTTCAGCTCTCCTCAAAGTGACTCACTGCAGAAAAAAAAAAACAAAAAAAAAACAAGCTAAAATGACAAGGTAAGCATAGAATAGCTAAGATAACTCTAACCTAGAGAGAAAGCTCCTCTAATCCTCATCTATGATCAGTGTTCTCTGAAAAAGGTAATACATAATGTTAAGTAAAATGTACACAATGTTTTTTTCATTTACTCTTAAAACATTAACAATGGGGCCTTTAAAAGCTCTGGTAGAATCAACTCCCCACTGTGTCTGCTGCGTGTGATTTACTGAGTAAAATTTAAATTACTGTACAGTTTAGTGATCAGCTGAATTCTGAAAACGCAGCTGAAATGTTTTTAATGTGGAAAGCAGGGAGCGCTATCAGCACGCAATTCGCTGTGAATCTGCAACAGAAGCAGCTAATCAATGCATGTGTTAGCAGTAATGTTATAGCATCAGGGCAGAGAACTTGTAGAGAGGAGAATTACCACTCTGTATCGCCTTCCAGGTTTCTCAAACGCTAGAGGGCACTCCCAAGCGAGTCCAAAATGAAAGGAGTTAAGATGAAGCATCTGAGCAAAATCATAGTTTATACATGCTTAAACATTTTTAATATAAAAGAATGCAATCGTTTTCTGAACACTAAACAGCATAAAACGTTTTAACACCAGTGTTATATTTTTAAGAGTTTCTGAACTCTAGTTACAGAAGTTTATAACGGCGCTTCATGACGTCAGTGAACGCGAACAGCCAATAAGCCGCTCCGCTCGCCAACCAATCAGCACTCAATAACAGTAATGCTAGCGTGGTACTGCCCAAAACACGTTTGCTGTAGAAAAAAAGGAAGCATCCAGGTCAGTTTTCTTTGTTTTTATAGTGAAATACATCCTTCTACTTCCTAAAATTAAAGGAAAGTTCTTGGCGAGTGATTGAACTATTTTAACTTTTCGTTTTTAGCCGTTTAGCTTCATTCACCCACATTCATTAAGGACTCGCTCACGGGCGCCCTCTGCTGTTTTGCAGTCATGTTTTTGATATAATAGGTAAAATAGGAAGTGATACGCCAACCTCCTCTAGAATGTCCTCAACTTGGTTAGATGTTGTGAAGGGGTTTTTCTTCACCACGGAAAGAATTCTGTGAACATCCACTTTAGTTGTCTTCTGTGGTGTTCCAGGTCTTTTGGTGTTGCTGAGTTTGCCAATGCATTCCTTCTTTTTAAGAATGTACCAAATTGTTGATCTGGCCACTTTACATCTTTCTGCCATCTCCCTGATAAGTTCATTTAGTTTTTTTTTTTTCAGGCTAATTAGAATTAGAATTCAGAACCACTAGCCAACTGTGTTTGCACATAGAGGAATTAGACCTCCGCATTTAACCCATCCATGCAGTGAAACACCCACATACATGCACACTAGTGAACACACACACTAGGGGGCAGTGAGCAGACTTGCCCAGAGCAGTAGGCAGCCCTATCCACGGCGCCCGGGGAGCAGTTGGGGGTTAGGTGCCTTACTCAAGGGCACTTCAGTCACGTACTGTCGGCCAAAGGGATCGAACCGGCAATTATGCAGTCGAGATTCCCGCATTTGGGGAATTCGCAAGGGTCAGCGCAACCGAAGTGCAATGGCAGAGCCTCGCCTGGTTGAACCACCTTTGTGATGGTGGAGGGACTACGTAAAAAATGGCTGTAGTTCATAAATTCTTTTGTTAAATTCTTTGAATTAAAGTTGAAACTCTACACTTCATTCACACTTCATTTCAAATCCATTGGTGGTGTATAGAGGCAAAACATTGTGTCACTGTCCAAATACTTATGGACCTGACTGTAAATACTGATAGATTTGATATTATACTGAGTGTTGAAAGTATTTGTGTGACTGTGTCTTAAATATGTTTCTCCCGTTTTTCCGTCACTGAAAAATGAATAACTTTTACCTAATGGTCATTTTGACTGGAATTTAAATAAACAAAAGGGCAGTCAGAAATTTGGCTATCAGCATTAGTCTACAACTGCCAAATCAGTGCATCCCCATGTTACATTTATATTATGAGCTTTTACATTTACAGGCTTGTGGGTATGGGTATGTGACTTGTTTTATTTATGTTTTATTGATTGGGCATATATTGATAAGCACTCATTTGAGTAGGTGTGTTCTTCAGCAAATGCAAACGCAATATCTGAGAGATATACTATTATACGATAGCAATTAGAGCAATCCATCCGTGTAAAAATCTATAAAAGGCAAATAAACATTAAGTTAGACACACAAAAACAAAAACTGCTGCTTCATTCGTCTGGCACGGCTATGCCGTGGAAGCAGCCATGAGCTCAATAGAAGCAGCTATTTAGCTCCTTTAGAAAACTAAACGCTGATTTTCAGAATAAATGCACACGAGACAAAGTACTGCATATGACACATCCTGTACAGTGTTCTGACAAAGGTGAAGGAAAACAAACATTCGTCTCGGGTAAATGAACTCAACAACTAATGCCACTGACAGTTTATGTACACCTAAGAAAATGTAGTAAGCTAGGCTTGTATTAGCTTCACTGTTGCTGCAAATTAACACCGTAACATGCAACTTTTATAGCTAACTGGCCAAATTGCGTTTATTTCACCGATACATTGCCAGTATTGCAGTAAAACCCCCTCGACGCCTGAACACAGCCGAGGCCATTTAATTAACTACCTCCCGTCAACGAAGCTGAAGTCACTCTTATTCGCCAGCTTTTAGTTCGAAGTTTCCCGTTCCACCTTAAATTGTGCAGCAGTTACATTCTGGCTGCACCGTTTAAGGTGGAACGAGAAAATTAGAACAAGAAGCTGGCAAATAGGAAGCCAACTTCAGCCTCATCCACCGTTACTTAGCGAAAGCCTCTGTTGAGTGATGGGGAAAAATACACCATGACATTCATAATAAGCAAAATTAAAATTAAAACCAGACATTTACCTCCTCAGCACGACCAGGAGAAATGTTGACAAGTGTTCATCTTAGGCCAAAATGAAATGTCACGACTGCTTTTAGCCTACTGCAACGCTAGCTAACCTAGCAGGCTAACGCGGACTAGCAATGAAAGCAAAGATGCCCAACCTCCGCCTCGTAGCAGCAAGCTTCAGAGCATAACAAAATCAGCAAAACTTTATCACGAGTGAAGAGCAGTCTTCCAGTCAGGCGAACAAAAACAAGGTTACAGTCGTTTGAGCACGCTGCTTTTGAATGTTTCTCCGAGTTATAAGTTACACGGTTTAATAGATCTGCATTCAGCTGTGTGCGTCGTCCTGGGATCGGGTGGCGTCTCTCCTGCTCTTCCAGTCGCAAATTAAGTCATGAATGTTATTGCTGTTCCGGGATCAGTCTGCAGCTGCTGCTGTTTTGGGGGACAAAAATACTAAGTGTTGGGCGGAACGATATTCTGTCAGCCACGTTTCTGGAGGGAGGCGGAAGGAGGGTGAACACTGTTCTCAACAGTTAGCAGCAACAGAAACGTTAGCTGTAAAGGTTTGAATAAAACAAACAAAAACACAGAAAACTGAACATGCCTGCGGGGAAAAGTTTTAGAAGAAGGAAAGAAGAGTCTTCGGACGAAGAGGAAGCTGAAGATGTAACCGCCGAAGTCAGGTGGGTAAGCGAAATCTACGGTGTTTTCTGTTATGTACTTAAGCTAACCTAAAAGCTAGCTTCTTAAGTTAAAGGGCAGTTTCACCATTTTTTTAAAAAAAAATCTGCATAATTCAGCCTGTGAGATGTAAACGAACTCGTTCAAAGTGGTTTAGTGTGAAGTGGCGCATTCTAGAGAAACGTACCGACTCGGATGCTCTTTACGGTGGAGGTGATAGGAACCAGGGGTCGATATGTCTACAACACAAACGTAGCTAGCCATTTTATTAATTATCCAAAACGACCAGTGACACCACACGTCTTGTAAGTTTTACAGTGTAATGCCGATAATGCTAAAATACCGATAAATATGAAAAATAACGTTTTCGTACAGGAACATTTTGTGTAGAGAGGAACTGGTGCTAGCTTGAAACACTATATCACTACAGTGGGCAGACATGAAATGCAATGCATACATGCCATTACTTGTCCATAGTATCAAGCAGAATACGTGACAAAAAAGTAAAAAACAAAATCTCTTAGTTTGTGGAATACTGAAAAATAATACATGCATGGAATGCGGTATTTATGTCAGGATTGTATACAGTCCATCTTGAAATGTAATGAAGGCACAGTTATATTACCTATATTGCTTTCCTCGTGCACTACTTTAAATGAATTTGCCTCATTTAAAAGCAATTATAACAGTGAAAACAGTGAAATACAATGCACATATGACATTACTTTTCATGTGTATGCGGCATATGTGCCAAAATAAAAAGCAAAACCTCTACTACAAGGTTTTCACGTTGCTTGAGTTTGTTTTTGTACGTCAAATGTACTTGCCTAATTGAAATGATACAAAAACAGTGAAATGCAATGGACACGAGATTGAATTTAAATAGCAAAATGTGAAAAAAAATCCAATATGAAAAGTAAAAGACCCATTACACTGATTTAATGTTGTTTGAAGTTGGCAGTTAGCTGTGTCTTTATTACATTTCAAGGTGGATTGTGTTCAAATTTGACACATTCAGCATTTCTTGTTTTAAATGCAAATCTGCATGTATTGTTTTTCAGTAAAGTGGTCAAGCAACGTGAAAATGTAATAGAGGTTTTGTTTTTCATTTTGCCACATATTCTGCATGACATTATGTAAAAGTAATGCCATGTGTGCACTGCATTTCCCTTTTTTCCATTGTAGTGACTACTTTTAAATTTGGCACAAATTCATCTCCATAATTTTGCCTTTTTGTCTTCCAGGAATGTATTTTTGAAGTTTTAGAAAACCTATTTCAAATCTATCATAAAACAGTGTTTCTGGCATAAGGTGACATATTTTTGTATGTGGGAGCTTTTAGGGGCATTAAACCGTTTCAATGTCTGCTTCTTTACTGTTGTAAACATATGGCACCAACTTTCTCTAGAATGGAGTAGTTTGTGTTAAACCACTCTGAATGATTACATCTTAATGATGTAAAATGCAGAATTCACATTATCCTTATCTTTATATTCTGTTGCTGATTAGAGCTTATTTATATAGAGAGCTTATACTTAATTTCTGAGAAGTTTGGTCAGTATAGCCAAAAAGTTAGGTTGTTGCCATTTATTAAAATCTTTCAAGGCATTAACATGTTAGAAATTATGAAATATTATGGCTGTAAAACTTTTAAAAGTCTCTCATTTGCTTTCATTTGATGTCTTGATGTCTGATAGATGAAAAAGGTATTCAGACACCACAAATGAATAACATTAGTACATGTTGCAAAGCTGTTGGTGGTAGTTACAGCTGTGAGATATGTACAGTAGGAAGTATTTAGCTTTTTGCAGTATTGTGGTTCAATTTCAGCCCATTCCTCTTGGCAAACCATCTTCAGTTCCCTAAGGCTACAAGGGTCCTGCAGATGGACTGGCAATTTTAAAATGCTAGTAAGGAAATTGGCCATGCAAAGACCTTCACCTTCTTTTTAGAAACCACTCTTGAGTTATTTTGGCTGGATTCAGCTTCTTGTCCAGTAAGAATATGTCCAGTATGTCCTGGAACATCACTCCATTCATGTTTACTTTGATGATGTATAATGCCCCAGTACTGTTTGCAGAAAACAGCCCCATATCATGATGCTCCCGTCCTCCGTATTTCACTGTGGTATTGTGTTTTGGGGATCATACGTGCAACCCTTATTTCTCCAAACATAATGAGCTGTATTATTGCCTAAGAGTTCTATCTTTGTTTTGTCTGACCAGAACACGTTGCTCCAAAAGAGATTTGTCTAAATTTTTATATGCAAGCCAGCAGAGGAGTTTTACGTGGGGTGCAGGAACAGAGGTGATTACAGCACAGTTCATTGCTTATTGTGGTTCCTGCTGCTCTCGGGTCATCCTGCAGCTCTTTCCGAGTGACTGCTGGCTTCTATCTTACCCTCCTTATAATTAGTTTGGGAGCGCATTGTTAAATCTTGTGTGGTGCACCGGGAAAGTCCAGGGTTCCATAAACTTTTCATTGTCTCTCTCACACACACACCCGCACACATACATATATATATACATATTTCAAATGATAGTAGGTGCCATACTGTTAGCTAACTTTTAATGCTTTACTCTTAATCTGTTATTAAAGTTTAAGTGTGTAAATTAAAAATGTAATATCATCTACAGAGCTAAACTGGATGAAGCAAAAGAACTCCAAAGTCTGCGGAAGAGACAGAGTGGTGTGAGGTGGGCATTTTTGTATTATATTATATTCAACTACCATTAACCCTTTGTGTGTGGTTATTGTTGGTGAGATCACAGTTGTGATGTTTACTTCCTGCTTTATGTTTCTCTACAGTTTGTCAGCGTTACTTGTTGGAGAGAAGCTACCACCAGAAGCGGAGATCGAGGTAACTGAGTCTTAAGAATGGTAATGGTTTTTGCCATTCCACTTCCCCCCCCATCAACTAGTAATTCCATTTAATGGATCAGAGTTTTCCGGATTGGGTATGAGTTAGACCAGCTGCAGCATTGTTGAGAACTGTTATAAGTGTGAGCCCCCGCTTTTTTTTTTTTTTCTTTTTCATTCTCGGTTTGTCTGTAATCCCCCCACCACCACCAAAGCAAAAGCCATGTGACTGTTGTTGACAGAAAGCCAAAATCAAACTTGTTCTGTGGTGTTTGTAACTGTAGTGTTTTAGCTAACCATAGCTTAATTAGCAGGCCAAGCATGCCATGCACCACAGCACAGGCTTGGTTCCTGCTAAATTATGCTAAAACACCTCTTTAGAGGGTATCTAAGAGCGCAAAGACAAATGACTAATATTAGAGTGAAATCTGAAATCTAAAGTGTTCTGTCATGTGTGTAGCTCTTAGCGATCGCTAAACTACTGACATGCTTAGCTTTATTATTAAGTTCCCATGCTATCAATTAGTGAACCCCTCCAAAATATAAATCGTGGAATGTGTTTATTTGGTCATTCACATGTGGACTAGAAATTTGATACATCATAATTTTGAAATATGAGCATCATTTGGAAATATCAGCATCATTTTCAAAAACTGCAGCATACCTTACTACCGTTATACTAATTACTACCTACTACTGCGTTTAACTAATATGTTAACAGCACTATAATTGAGTTTTGTGTTTTGTTTCACTTTAGTCTGATCCGTTTAAGCTGAAGACGGGAGGCATCGTGGACATGAAGAAAGTGAAAGACAGAAACAGAGATAGGCAAGTAAAAAGTGGATCAAAAATACTTTTAAATCAGGTCATGCTTGATCCCCAGGCTATACTGCAATGAATAAGTGTATATAGATGTGTGTGAACAACGCTGTTTTTTTTCCCCCCATTTCAGAACAGAGGATGAAAATGACCTGAACCTGGGAACCTCCTTCTCTGCAGAGACAAACAGAAGAGATGAAGATGCAGATATGTATGTCTACATTACATCTGATGCTCTTTGTTGTTTCTTTGTGCGTCTTATCACTCACTCCTTTTCCCGTCCTTTAGGATGAAGTACATTGAAACAGAGCTCAAGAAAAAGAAGGGATTAGTGGAGGCAGAGGAGCAGAAAGTGAAGGCAAAGAATGCAGAGGACCTTTTGTACGAGCTGCCAGAGAACATCCGCATTAATTCTGCCAAAAAGACTGAAGAGATGTTGTCCAATCAGATGCTTAGTGGCATCCCAGAGGTGGACCTGGGAATCGAGTAAGTGCACATTAATTTACCTGTTTTTCCATTATGATTCTTCTCTAATGTTTGCCTGCTTTTTTGAAGTAAAAGAGTTTGGTGTTATATGTAAACATTGCTAAAAGTTCAAAACACCCCATTCACTCCCCAGTCCAAAGAGTCCATATATGGAAACTAAGCTGCAAAAACAGACCATTTTGAATTCATTGTTCCTGTGATGTCATGAATGATATGCTTTACATATATATCTGGCTATTCAACCTACAGCAGTTTGCCCTGCCTATTCATGCTGAGATTATAAGGAGCTTTTCAGCCTGACTGCCTTTTGAATAAGGCAGTTGTGCCTCATTGTGTCTGTGTAATATATAGTCTTAAAGGAACAATAACAAAACAGCCTGTTTGATTGTAAAATGGTAATATAAAGATGTTTTGTGACTGTTTTTGGTATATAAACCCCCACAAGCATCTTAAGTGAAACAAAAATACAACAAACTGTAGCCTATTGGCCCTTTGCATCACCACCTTTTGATCAATGCATCTCAATCTCTTTACTCCCCTACTACTTCATATGTTCTTTTCCAAGTATCTATTACATCCAGCCTTAACTTGTACTGTAGGCCTATATTTGCACTACAAAGTAATCATTTTTTCTTAAAGTGTATGTTGTTTGATTTTCATGCTTCAGTGCAAAGATAAAGAACATCATTAGTACAGAAGAGGCCAAAGCAAAGCTGATTGCTGAACAGAGGAATAAGAAAAAAGACAGTGGCACCTCTTTTGTTCCCACCAACATCGCAGTGAACTACGTCCAGCATAACCGCTGTGAGTGCACAGAAACACCTGGACCACTTTTGAAACACTTTCTACTGACATTGTTTTTCTGTATATCTGAAAGCATGCTTGGAAGATGTCATTGCCTTTGGATTTGTTTTGTTGCTTATATACCACATTCATCTTCTTTAATAGTCAGCTAAACATTAATAAAGTTTGACTTGGACATACTTGCAGTGCATTCCAGAGTAAGAATGATGTTTTGTGCCATATATTAAAAACAAAAACTTCCCCTTCAGTCTACCATGAAGATGCAAATGCACCCCAGAGACGTCACAGAGAGGAGCCCAAAGCCAGACCACTGCGTGTTGGAGACACTGAGAAACCAGCACCAGAGAGTAAGAGCAAAACACTACAAAGATGAATGGATTTCAGAAGTCACACATTGATTAAAATCTTGATTTCTGGTCATTTTGTATACAATATATTTAGGAAACAGCTAATTAATGGTTTGTTTAATGATGTTGCTATTATATGGATGTTTTCTTCCCATAGAATCACCTCCCAACTATCGCAAGAGACCAAACAACGAGAAGGCAACAGACGACTACCATTATGAGAAATTCAAGAAGATGAATCGAAGATATTGATTCTACATTGCCATTACAAAAGTCAACTCCAATGCTGCACTTGGGTGACTGTCAGATACTTCGGTTTTTACCAAACAATCCACAAAATGTGTGTTTTGGAGTTTGAAGAGAACTGGGACAGTATGCAAGCAAATGTGCTGGACCAGCTCAGCCATAAAGATCTGACAAAGAATGGAGGCAAAACTTCTAGCTAAATCTAATATTTGGACAAGCAAATGCTACGTGCATCACCGCTTGTGATGCTGACTATTTGCCATGTGAAAAGGTGATAGTGAGATTTTACTCTTTTGTAAATATACAATACCAACTTACAAGTTGTAACTACCAGTTCGCCGTGCCCTTTTTAAAAGCATCAATACCAATTTTTCTGGACGTTCCCTTTATACTAAGAAGAGCCTAATTAAACATTTACAAATAAAGTATTTTTCTTATAAAAAGGGAATTTCACAGATTTTTCTACATTTCTGCCTAATTCAACCTTTATGATGTGTTATGAGAGTGTTGTGAAACTGGGTCGCAAGTCTAGAACGCACATATAGCCATTTTATTTACTTTCCCAAATAAATAGTGAACCTACACATGGCTTGTGTTTTTATGCAGTCAGTTACAAAAGTTTGGGTAAATCTGGGCAAATTACACGATCTTCTAAGGGAAAATAAGTACACACCACTAAACAATTTAATGCAGTTATTATTTCCTGCACTTAATATAGTGAAGAAAAAAAACCTGGCCTGTACAAAAGTTATGGCACACTTTACATTTAATATTTTATGTTAAACCCATCAAACAAAGAAATTGTGCTATAAATTTGTGCACATCCTCCTGCCCACCACAACTTTGTGTTATCCCTGCCCCTGATCCAACTAATAAACTCGTTAACAATGAGTTGAAGTAGTTGGGTTACAGCAACCCCCATGCAGGGCAGGGGTTAGTCCAGGAACAGGTTTGGGAACCTGTTGTATAATGTGTAGAGGATGTGCTAATTTATTTTCATTTAGAAAAATCAACAAAATGTAATTTGACCAGAGTTGTTTAAACTTTTGCACACAACTGTATGTAATGTTGATAATCACGAAAAAGTGGTAAATCTGAAAGAAAACAATTTCTTTGTGTTCCATCTTGTCTTAGAATTCCCTGCATGTACCTCTCTGCCATTAATGGCTTTATAAAATTCACTTCAGGTAATTTCTCAAAACAATCACAAATATTGTCTCAGACAACACATTTGTGACTATGTAATGACTTGAGATAGCTGGGTATGTGAGGAAGCTTTTAGAGTCATTAAACACTTCAGACATCTGGTTCGCACCACCGTTGTGAGCAATTCTGAGTCGGCAAGTTTCTCTAGAATGGAGCTTTTCACATCAAACCACTCTAAATGACTCTGCATAAATAAAAAAAATATGGATTTTCCCTTCAAAACATTTCTGTTGCTTGCTTAATGCTGCATACTGTACCTGTAAATGCTGGTGTTATGTTACTTTTGTCCTACTTGTTTTCTCCATACTGGTAGGTGATGTATATAATTTAACATCTTAGTTTATTGGTATGGACTGGTTTTTACAATAAATTTGCTCCCTGATTCAAATTGTAACTTGTCTTTTGTAGTCAAATCACATCAGCCATCCAGAGAGAACTGTAAACCCACAAATTATAACTTGAAATACGGCTCTTGCAATTGAAGGAAACTTCAGAAACGTCTTCTTGAAAACATTTTATTTATAGTATAAGTAACTACGGCTAAAACAAAGGAAGAACCTCACCGTGTCTCCTAGGATCGCAGTGTAAAATTACACAAGCACTCAGATTCTGTGTACTTAAATATTTATGATCTGACGGGTAAAATAAAAAAGGCCTAGTATGAATGGCTGCCTAACAGCAAAAAAATCAGTCATGGAGGATAAACACACACACACACTTCATAATACTGAGAGGTATGAGAACGAGGAACACAGTAGTTGGACATACAGAAAGTTCAGGGATAAACATCACTAAGTCAAGTATTTATATTTGGCTCATGGAATAATTGAGGTTCTATTCTGAATTAAATCTTTAAGCTCATAAGCTCATCGTGGCTGACATTCTTCTGGCTTTTAAGCTTATGTGATGTGGTTTTGTTTTCGTTTTTATGACTGCTCATTTGTGCTGCTCCCGTGGCCGTTGAGGTGATGCGTCATTGTTTCCTGGGCAACGGGACGTTCTGAATCTTCCATGCTGCCGTTTGAGGGGTCAGATGTTGTTGCGGGTGACCCCCAACTGTTCCGCCGATGAAACACCTCGCAAAGCGGCAACTCAACACCGTCCCACTGTCCACAGCTAGAAACGTTACACACACATACATTACAGACGTGCATACCTTTCCCCTTTAAAAAGGTTTACCCCCAAGAAAGCTTATTTGCTGATTTGAACACACAAATAGCCTTAAAAATTAGAAATGCAAGTAAGTACGGGGGGATACACAAAACATAAGAGGTAACCAAAGCACAATTAGAGGCAGAAAGCATCAAAAGCAACAGGGAGTTAAAAGCTGGAAGCGGTTCAATCAACTTAATCTAGGAGTGGGCAATATGGCAAAAATATTTCACACTGCACGATACATGGTGGCAAGCGGTATGACAATATTTATTATTCTTACGATGAATTACGTCACGTCACAATATGTTTTTCGGTCGATATCGTCAGTGTTTAAAAAAACTTCCCGTTTGCATGTTTGATTAAAAAGAGCATAATCAGTCCTGGTTAATTTCATTTGGTGTAGCATAGTGTGTGAAATGTTGAACACAAATCATTGGATTCATAGTTTTTTACAGATTTTTTTTACTGTGGCACTAACGTATGATATTGAATTACAGGATGTCAGATAAAATAAATATATATTGTGTATCATGAAAACTTTTTAAAGTATTGTGGTATTACATTTTTAGGCTATTTGAGTAACTACTGAATCCTACTGTTTGTTAGCAAGGTTGGCTGATGAACTACTTCTAGAGAAGGTGGAAAAATGTGTAAATTAGATTTTTTTTCAGACTTGTCCTTTATGTATAAACTAATAAGTAACTATTGTGTTTCTGCAGTTTTTGTGAGAGATATGTGGCCTAGTCTCTCATCTTTTATTGTAGTTAAAGCTATGAGCTTAAGTTAAAGCTGTCTGGTGCTACAGGTTAGTTGGCAGGCAAAAGCTTAAAGCAGAGAAAAACCTGAAGAGTGTATTCAGGTTGAAGCAGAGAGAAAAAAATATATTTCTAAGAGGAGTTCAAAAAATAAACGGACACTAAAGTTGCTCTCTTTCCTTACTGCTTTATTTGTAAAGTTTAACATGACCAATTAGACTGTAAAAAAATGGAATACATTCTAACACATTTTGAACAATAATGGATTTGACCCACAGCTAGCATCTCTCATTAAGCTACTCTGTTTGAAAATGTGACGAGACAATGTTTGTTTCCATTTGAAAAAGAAAAAAGTCATCTCTGCTTTAAAAAAAAACATGAAATATTATGGGCTATAACAGTGCAAGCTAAGATGTAACTTTACACAAATTTGCATTAAGCTGATTCTAAAAGGACAATTACAATCTCTTATACATGAAAATCATCAACTAAAATGAAAGAAATCACTGTAACATAACTTACATGTTTTAATCAACCTGACTGGTCTGTTGACTCCCCTAAAAATCTAACACTCCATGTTATTAAAATGTGCTTTGATGTGAACTTTTTTTGTGCATTACAACACTGATTTGTCTAATTCATCAGCACAGCATATAAAAAAATAAAATGTGTGAAATATCACAAATATCACCATTATATACACAACATAGAATCACAATAAACTGCGAAATCTCTGTATGTACTTCACCTACCATAATCCCCTTAAAAGAATGTGCCAACGTTTTTCAACTTAATCCCTATCTGCCGCATTTATTTTGCCCTATCAATTACCACAGAGAGTAATTTCAGCATATTTGAAAGAACAGAAACACTGTTGGCTCAAAACTGACTAATAATAAAAGCCACTGAGCAGGTGCTGAATTCTGTAAATAAACATTTGTATGTAAAATTATGAGAAAATGTCTTACCGGAGCTGCTCAATTAAAGTTTTATCCAATGATAAAACACTGGAGTAACACAGCAAAAAAAAAGCAAATCAAGTTACTTTCCATTTCTTGTGAAGTTTTCTGGGATACATGTGCGATCACTCAGAAGCTTCTGAAAGCTCCGCTCACACCACGACTGTGTTTGAAACTACCACTCTTCTCTTTAGAAAGCTAGTCCCATCTATGAAAGAATCAATTATACAGATTTACAGCTCATTTTACAAATGTTAGGGGTTTAACAATGCATTGTGACATTATGATATCTCAATACAAAAACTGCAACAATGAGCACTGTGGAGATGTGACAAGGCATTGTAGACAACAGACAGTGTATTAATTTAACTGTCTAATGCAACTGCCTCAACACCTCACTTTAGCACACCTCCGGCCTCCGAGCTGTAGTGTGATTAGTAAACGGTGCAACAACATAATTATAGTCATCATTTTTCTTAATTACATTTTTTTTTTGTTAAAAATATTATGAACCCAGCGTTGTGAGTTAAATCATGGGCTGAGTATCATTACGCCGCTAACAAATATCTTTAACTGAAGAATCGAGAAGGTTTTACACAAAATGCATGCTTTGCATAAACGTTTACTTACATAATGCAGCAACTGCCCATTTTCTGTTCTGTATAAGAAAATGTGTGTTAATTGTTGTCTGTGGTAACTGACTGTACAATACAGATGAAGCAAATATAAATGAGGTTTAAAAACACTGGAGTCTTCCTTTAAAGACAATTGAATCTTAATAGCAAACTACTGATACCTCTTTTAAAATAAGGCACTTTGGACACAATTTCCTCCAGCTTTTAGTATTTTTAACATATATTACTCTCATGCAAAATGCCATTACTGGAAACAGATGCTATTATTGGGAACAAATCACAGCCTTGGTTTTTGCATTAATAAATTCTCTCAATATATAATCAATTTCACATTTTTACTTTGGTTTGGGTTAAAATCTTAAGCTACTGTCGTCACAGTCTTGATAAAATATACCATACCCAAGGCACTAAGGTATGTGAATGATACATGGGCATGTTAGTGTTCAAGGATAACACTGGGTAAGTATGATGACCACAGATGTGTAGAATCCTTTCTGTAGAATCTTCATGAGTAACTACTCTTCTTAAGGCACAAAAGTATGTATTGTGTGTATATTTGTGTATGTGTGTTGAACATTATGAGACTCAGCTACAGGTGTGCAGGGTCTCTGGGGACACTATTTGTACCTGGAGGAGTAATACTCTTCCTCGAGCTCATACAGGTCTATGGCAATCTCGTCCCGCAGGGAGATGAGCTTCTTGTCGCATTCCTCCTGCAGTGCCCGCAGCTGTTGGTTGCGCAAGCTAATGGCTTCGTTTACAGAAGGGAAATCATTTAGAATCAGGAACTGCTTCAGATCAGACACCAGCTTCATCAGAGACTCACCGGCCCGCACCTAATTTGACAGAAAACAAACAAACATGGATGATATGAAGGCCATAAAAAGACAAAGAAACTGAACAACAGTTATTTATAATCAGAGCATTTCAAACTGGGATTCCCAGGAACTGAGATGCAGACACAGAGTATAGAAGTTTGTGGAAAATAATTACAGACAGCAATTACAAAAAAGTTCTTACAATGTTGGCAGCTCGAACGTGCATTTCATAGTGGTCTTGCTCTGCTTGTGTTGCCCTAGAGACCTGCGTTTCATCCTCTACCTGCCCAGATGATAAATTGTGATTTGGTCAGTGTGACTTCTCATACAAACCCACCTAAATCAAACATCTACAAGACATACCTTGGCAGTTTTGATGATTTCTGTGAAGTTGTCCAAAATGGACCTGATGTCATCTTTTAGCCTTTTGTTGTAGTTCTGAAGAAGAGTCTCTTTACTCTGTGGGAGGACGCGCTGGGTGGCCATGTTATTTACACTGCCCACTCACCTCACTGTTTGAAAGGGAAAAGGTTATATTGGACATTCTATGAATTTTACATGTAAAATAAGTAATTCAACTGATAACCATCCCACCTCAACTGCAGTGTTGGGCTGACACCTAATACCTATTAGAAATCATTTTTTCCCAGATACATACATACATACATAAAAACTAACAAGGAGGTGCTGAGATTTCACAGACCCTGATTAGGCCTAGTATTGGAACCTGGATCTGGGGAACCAACCCTAAAATATTTACCCACCCATGAACCTAAACGTGAGGCATGTAATCATATGAATAATTAGGGTTAGTTTCCCAGACCAATATGTCTATGTCAACTTCAATGCCCATTTAGTCCAGACTTAGACTTAATCTGGGTCTGGGAAACTAACCCTAAGAGTTTTAGCCACCTGTGAACCTCAATGTCAGCCATGTAATGATAAGCATAATTAGATTATATCAGATTATCTCAAATGATCTAATACTAAAATGTGTTGGAAGTTATGCAATACTGCTCATACACTAAAACTCACAAAAAATATTTATCATAAACTTTGGTACATCATTCATTTGTTCATTATTCATGGATTTTTGATATTCATTAAAGAAAATGGTTAAAAAGTAAGTCTATACATGTACAATTTTAAATAGAATTGGATCATTATATAAATATACTGACGGGACTAAAGAACACTTAAACAAAGAAAACTGTAGATGATTTTAAAGCCTTAACTCTTATTTTTCTCCTCTTCATTTAAATATGATACCTCTTCATGCATGCTTTTTCTTGACCTTATGGCTGTATTGCTCTAATTATTGATAATTACCGTTGTCATGTATAATGCAAAATAAAGCCAAAGAATTTGGAAACGCATCTCCTGTGCACTTTTGTACGGAGCCCCTAAAGGGCCTTTACGGAAAAAAACCTGCAATGACATTATATTCTCGTGCCAAATGATTACATTTCCTCGCAATAATTTTGCGTTCTAATGCAAAATCCACTGCATTTGCGATGGAACACAAGTCATATGCGAGGGAACGCAATGTCATTAGCTAGTTAGCTAGCTACCTTTTTTAAACCACGGCCCCTTAGGGGCTCCGTACTTTCGGTCTCCCAGTAAAATATCAATATTTTATCCTTAGTGACGCTTCCTAAAATACTAAGGGCTACGCTTTAACTAGTTTTACAGTACAGTGACCATAATGTGTGACCTCCAGTGACCAAACGCCGCAGAAAAGCAAAAACAGGAGAAAAGGGAGTTGGAGCACTTAGAGCTAGCGCCGCTACACTGACACCAATAGGGGCCGTAACGCCAGAAACCACAGCTTATATTCATTAATTATATCACTGAGATATGGGAAATGAAATGTGATACGATTTAAAGAAATTAAAAGAAAAAAGACTTACAAATCTGTGCATTTCGTAACTGCTCTGTAAACAAATATCAGCCTTGACGCTTCCCGCTTTGTTCTGTCGAACGCTAATGACGTCATTTCCAAATGCCCCGGCCCTTATAGTTACCCACAATCCCTTGCTTCCTCCTTTCTGTCTGAACCAACATGGTGAGTGTGTAGCTTACCTGACTTGGACTGAAACACTTTTAAAAATCTACTAACATCTCCCAGATACGGGCGTGTAGTCGCCCAGAAATTACATATACGCGAAGTAGACTATTCATATATCCTTTATGTTTGGGTATTAAGAAAAACTTGATGGCGATAGTTTAAAAACATTAGGTCTTAATTCATCGGTACTGTCCGGAGACCCGCAATGGTTTTTTTTTTTAAATAGCGCGTTTGTATTTAGTCTTCAGAGAGGAACATAAACCCTAGGATTTATTGCTGGTTTCTCAGAGAGATTATGGGTTGGACGTTAGATGTGTTGAGTGGAAAGTGCAGATCTGACTATAATATGCTTGTGAAATATGAAGTTGTTGGCTCAAGCTACTGCTAACGTAGCAGGCCACATACGAGACTTGGAGGTAGCCGGCTAGTTTGCTAACAAGTGAGGCTACGTTTCCTTTTTTTAGATGAGTATTTATACGTTTACCTTTTATGCAGGCTGATATTACAGATATAGGAGCTTTGGTCTGGTGTTTTTGTACTATAGCATACCTGCAGTGGTTCACTGAAAAATTATGCATGTAGTTGAGGTAAAATGGGACAGTTGGACCCACCGACATGAGCTTTTGCGATGATGTGTTGAATTTCTTCACCTGAAATTCTGTGTGGAGCACAAATACGAGCTTTTTAAATCTGAGCAAGAGCCACAAAACGCTTGGCTGCGTTGTAACTAATCGTAGTCTACTGACAGTTTAACCATTTTCTGCTCTTTTTAGCCTAAAGGAAAGAAGCCCAAGGGGAAGAAGGTGGCACCTGCCCCTTCGGTGGCCAAAAAGCATGAGGTCAAGAAGGTTGTGAACCCCTTGTTTGAGAAAAGGCCGAGGAACTTTGGCATTGGTAAGTAACAGTTGCGTCCAAGACCATGTGTGTTTGCCTTTAAATGTAATCCTTGGTTGTCTTCCAAATAGTTTGTTGCTCTGTTCAAAGTGGTGCAGATGATGTTAAAGAATATTTGCTATCTTATCAGCAATGCAGACAAGTCTTCCACCAAGATCGCTGATGCACACTGAGGTTACTGTTTTATCTCTCTTTTTGATATAAGGAAGTGCTCACAACTTTCACCCCTCATTTTACCAGGTCAGGACATCCAGCCGAAGCGGGATCTGACCCGTTTCGTGAAATGGCCACGATATGTTCGCCTGCAGCGCCAGAGGGCTATTCTGTACAAGCGTCTCAAGGTTCCCCCTGCAATCAACCAGTTCACCCAGGCTCTGGACCGCCAGACTGGTAAGATGCTGAAAGCTGATGGTTTTAGGGTCTGCAGAAGTGGGCTGGGGGTGGGGGGTAGATTTTGTGGATTACTGTTTTATTTAACTACAACCATGTAGCTGTTGTGCATATGATGTGAAAGAATATTTGCTATCTGAATAATGTGTTGACACTTTTCCACCAAGATCACTGATGCACTGTACCTCATAGTTTGTTCTAATACTTGCTAGCCTTTGTCATCAGTTTTTTCTTTTTCTCCTCCTTTTTAATACAGTGAACTTGATGTTCTGTTCTATTCTCCAGCCACTCAGCTGTTCAAACTGGCTCATAAGTACAGACCCGAGACCAAGCAGGAGAAGAAGCGCAGGCTGCTGGCTCGTGCTGAACAGAAGGCTGCTGGGAAAGGAGATGCCCCCACCAAGAGGCCACCTGTCCTCCGTGCAGGTGAGGCATTCAATACATTTTTCAGTTTCTGTGGAAAAAGATGGGCTGACGAACTGGCTTGTGTTTTCAGAAAACATTGTGCCAACACAGTGCTTAACACCAGTCTGTAGACAAATGGAATTACTTCCAGTGAGGACTGAATGGGAAATTCATAAGTTCTCACAGTGGCTGAGAATGGTTGCTTTTTGGAGGAGCATCAGGCTGTGTTGCCTGATTTCTGATGAGCTAGAAAATGTAGTGCTTTAGTATGCAAAATTGTTCTAATCCATTTTCTGGTCTTGTATTAGCCTACAGTGGCCCTCAATGTGGTATTACCATACAGATCAACCAGGCTTTGCTTGACCTGTAAATGTGATATTACATGGTAGTGTCACATGTGCTTGGTCGTGCCGTAAATGCCGGCAGCACCCACCAAATCTTCTCTAATGCATCTTTACATTCTGGCCATTCTGTTATTTTTGCTTTCAGGTGTGAATACAGTGACCTCACTGGTGGAGAGTAAGAAGGCCCAGCTGGTTGTGATTGCCCACGATGTGGACCCAATTGAGGTGTGTGCATCAGTTCTTTCTTTGAAGGACTGAGGAACATCCATATTACGAAGTATTATGGCTACTAAATCATATGGTTGTCTGCAATGATGTCTTGAATTTCTTCACCTGAATTCACTGTGAAGAAGTGTTTTTTAACCCTGAGCTACAGCCACAGTATAATTGTACATGCTATCAGAATAAAACTGATGTCTTGTTTGCTGTTAAAATGGCAAATGATTGGTGCAGTATTACTTTTGGTCAGTATCCATCATAACAGCCTGTTTTATTTGTGTAGCTGGTGGTGTTCCTTCCTGCTTTGTGCCGCAAGATGGGTGTCCCTTATTGCATCATCAAGGGCAAGGCCAGACTGGGAAGACTGGTGCACAGAAAGACGTGCACCACTGTCTGCTTCACACAGACCAACCCGTGAGTGGTGTTATTTAAAAACTGATCTCTTTGCATAATGTGTGTACATTGCCCTCAGCTATGATGACTGAATTTCTTCACCTGAACAACCATGTGGTTTCAATGAGCTTTTTAACCCTGAGCACAGAGGTTTCTAGCTGGTTTGATGCATGTTGCGATAAAGGATCTATAATTAACATGAGTGTTTCTACCTTCTAGTGAGGACAGAGCTGCTCTTGCCAAGCTGGTGGAGGCCATCAAGACCAACTACAATGACAGATATGAGGAGGTCAGTTAGCTTTTCTTCTGTGTGTTTAGTGCTATCATACTTCTAAACTACTGTTAAGTACTTTCTAAATCCAGAACTGAGTTTGAGCTTCTTTCAAAAGTGCCATCACAGAATTGCTGTAACACAAGAATGCAGAAATTCTCATGTACTTTTTCTTCTCATAGATCCGTCGTCACTGGGGAGGAAACATCATGGGTCCTAAGTCTACCGCTCGCATTGCTAAACTTGAGAAGGCAAAGGCTAAGGAGCTGGCCACCAAGCTGGGTTAAACTCCTACCACACTTACTGTTCATAAGTAAAACAATAAAAAAAAAACACAGAAAATTGAAGTGTTTTGCCTCTTTATTGGGTGGTTCTACTTCTTCTCTATTGACCACTGCATATGGTTTATACTGCATTTATATATTGGGAATCTGGGGGGGGGTGTCTAATAATCTGCTTGTATTGTCAGTCAGCAGCACCACTCAAACGGTTCAGAACAGAATCTGGTCAGAAAAGCAATGTGAGCAGCTATAATGTCATAGTAATGTAATAGTTTTCATTTACACTGATAAAGGTCTTAACTTGTTTATTCAAGTGCACTCATGGTAGTTCTGTAAATAATAAAAAAAAAACTTCATTTTAAAGATTTTCCCACAAACTCCACAGCAGCATGTAGTAAACATGATGTTGCCAAATGGGTTTATGGTACTTGTCATAAAATAAAAGTAGGGCATACTGTACAGATATGTAGTCCAGAGCCAGCTCTTGACAGATATATTTGACCATGGGTATTGTAGCTACACCTACAAGGTTTTCCTCCCCTTTTTTTTTAAATTTCTACATAAACTTGTATATACATAAGAATTCTCGATGCTGATTCAATAGAGTACTCAAAGACACATTTACTGGGCCACTGGTTCCAGACCATTCAAACAGAACAAAGCTAAAGTTTATTTTAAAATATTTGGATAGAACTTTTCACAGGACACAGTATTCAGTTGCTTTCATACACCAATGCGTTTGATGAACTTGGCATACCACATGTATGAAGTAGCCGCACATAGTCCATACCTACAAAGAAGACAGGTCAAAACTGTGAGTGTAATTTTCTCTCCCATTTACACATGTGCATTGTGTGGAGAAAATTGTAATGTCTCAGTGTGTGACTTTTACAATATTTACATTTTTTCTAGGGGTCGATAAGTTGGACAAACTAACAAAATGCACCAGACAAAGTAATACATTAAACAATCAAAAGCCAAGTACAATGTTCATTTTTCTCAGTTCACATAGTGTGCATCACTACATTCAGTAAAATGGTGCCAGTTGTGCTGTCTGACTTATCAGGATTCAAACTTGAAACTACCTTTGCGAGCCCTACTGAAGTCAGAAACATAAGGCTGATCAGTAAGACTATCCGTGATACTTTCAGAAAACTAATTTATGTTGATATTCTATTGTACACCCCTTGTATAGGAGCATATTAAGACAATGTAAAGACCTACTGAAGTCAAGTATCATGCTTAATCAGTAGTACATTTTTTTTTTTAAATCACCATTCCTGAAAAGGTTTAAATGTAGCAAAGTACATTTCCGTTGCTGATGTGATACGCACACATTTGATGGATCTAAAATTGGGCAAGGTTGTACAAGGCTACATAATCCATAGAATCACAGCAGCAGTATATCTACTGTGAAACCTGAAATATAGAAGCTAAATCAATTATATAAGTTAATGGCTCACCATGTAATGATGTACTGCATGTGTTCGTTCCGCAGGGTTACTCTTGTCTGGCCTCCTATTGGTCCACCTGGTATTGTGCTCTCTGAATGGAAATTGGGATATTTACCATTTAGTCATTGCTTTACCAACAATACTCCCTCTGCCAGATTAGTTCTGTCACTTGACCACCTAGAAGTATGACTAAAGATAAACTAAAACTAGAAATGAAGTTTTTCACTACTATTACTCTGTGAAGTCAATGGTTATTATGTTTTAGCCTGTGTGCATGGTAAATGGTTCAAAACCTATTGGGTATATTGGAGTTCAGCCGAATCAGTCTTTATACCTCTACCAAGTAAACTTGCAAACTCAGCCGTCTGATACATTGGTTTGTCCAAGGCAGAATGGGAAGCTGATGTTCTTTTTCTACCTAAGAGGATGCATTTTGCTGGACAGCCAAGAACAACACATGGCAGAGCGAGGATTCAAATCTAAATACAAGCTGCAGAATGCACTTCTGTTTTGATAAGCTGTGTTGTTATTGGGTAACTCCTTCTTAATATTTCAATGGAAAAATTGTAGGTAAGAAGCAGCTCTAACCTAGCACAGCATCAATGAAGATCTCCTCAGCACCAGTAGCCTTTGCCATGGCCTCCAAATCCCGGTAGTGCCACCGGTTTGCCTCCACATTGTTCTGAGGGACAAATGGTTTCCGCTGCTCCGTCAAACGCACTATGCCCACCAGGTCCACTTCTTCTGTTACCTTGAAGATGAAACATAGTGATTACATAGCAGAGTCCAACCCGTGAGGATGTGATGTGGTACAAGAAAGTTAAATCTATGCTATGTACATTTTAGGGGTTTGGAGACCTCTCTGGTGGAAATGTGCAATTGTATGCAGTACTTCTGACTCATTAATGCTACTTCTTTCAGTTTTATCAAAACAAAACACTTACATAATTCAGTTTTAAGAATAAAATCTATGTCTGCCATGTCCATGTTATGATCAGTTCCATAGTTTCACAAAATAAATCTGGGGTTTGAAAAGCAATTTGGTTTTTCTTCTTTCACTCTCATCCTCACTGGCTGGACTTTTTAAATTAAATTTTAATTTAATTTTGTAATTTTTTTAACAACATCTGCTGTAAGCCATTCTTACCACAATTAAAACTTAACATCAGCTTCTTTTCGACACTGTCCCACCCAACTCCAATCCAACAGAGGAAACACTAAACTGCAACAATCTATCAATCAAAAATGCCCAATGTTGTTCTTTATATGACAATCAGTAGTAAATTTATGTAGCACCTTATAGCTAAAAGCATAAATGAACAGATTAAGGCTATGAGTTGACAAGTTACCTGGCCCTTCATCCGGGTTTCTTGTCTAATTTTGTTTTTGGGGACGTAACCTCTGTTAACCAAGATTGTGATCCTGTGAGGTGGAAATGGTGAGATATAAATAAAAAAAAATGAAGTCTCGTGCATTGTATTATAAGTAAGAAGTTACATATATAGGCCGAGAAGTCAGCACAGGGGTACGGTCTGTACACACCCCAGATCAGTACAGTAGAACGGTGTGATGACATTAGCTCCACTCTCTACACTGGAGGACAGCCTTCCTGCCTCACGAGCCTCTCTCTCAGGATCTACTGGAGAACGGGGCAGGATGTACAGCTCCTGAGAGTGATCAAACCGCCCTCGCACCTTTACACGCCTGTACTCCAGATCCTTCAGCTCCACAGGACTGTCACAAGATCAAAAAACAAACAAACTACATTAATACATTTTCATACATTACACTCAAGCTATTAAGCAAAAATATAGGTAGAGCACCTGTACTTGAGTTGCAGTTTATCAACGGTATCTAATTTCTCTCAAGTACTGGATTTTTGTCCACCACTGCCTAGTTCCTGGTATACTTTTAATGTCTTTTGAGTACAAGCTATATTGTTCTTTTTGTTTTGTTGTTTTATCTCTGTTGGTTTGTGAATTTCTTACTTATTGCTATTATTGTGAACTTGTACATCTGTCTTGGCAATGTCACACGGTGTACAATGCATGTGTCTATACATACCTGTATTTTATTATTATTATTATTATTATTATTATTATTAGATAATAATACTACTGGATAGTAGTAGTAGTAGTAGTAGGGATGCACTGATATAGGAATTGTGGGCAGAAAACTCACATACATATGTGACTCTCCTACCACATTGTGAGCCTGTGGAGTTTTGATGGGGTACGGCAAAGTTGACAGACTCACTCTGTAGGAAGTGGAATTGGATCTGCAGTTGTTAAATTTTGGAGCTCTTGGATCAACTTCAACTTCCATTGCCTGCGCTTCACCTAAAAATACATGAATGCTGTTAATATATTTGACCAGTTGCATTTTCTCATGGCTAAAATGGCAAATGACAATACCTGCCATGTTCCAAGGCCAAAAGTGGTGACAGGAATCAACAGCAGGAGCCATTTCAGAAAGGAGTCTTCACCTTTTTCTGCTTGTGCAGCAGTAGAACTGGATTGCCGACCCACATTAACAAGTTTGACTGTAAAACACAACAGCAGCTGAACCGTTGGCTAGCCCTGCCGTGTCAATTTTTATTGTAAATTGTATACAGTACACACTACAGCATTATTAAGAAAGTTTGTAGACACCTGCTCATGCATTCCTTCTGAAATCACAGATATTAACAGGGAGTTTGCACCCCCTTTGCTGCAGTAACATCCTCTACTCTTCTGGGAAGGCTTTACACTAGATGTTGGAACATTGCTGTGAGAATCTGACTGCATTTGGCTAGGCATTACTGAGGTCAGGTACTGATAGTGAAGTACTAGTTTTGGATTACAAATGCCGTTCCAACTCATCCTAAACGTACTGTATAGTGATGCATAACTCCAGAGAAAAACGGTTCGCTCCACAGACCAATGCTGGGAAACTTTATACCTCTCTAGCCGATGCTTGGTGACCTTAGGCTCATGTGCGGATGCTCCAGAGCGTCCCATTCCACTGGAGTTTATACAAGCTATGTGTGCAACTAAACACCTGTGTCAGTAAAAGGTAGTAAAGTAGCTGAACTCACTAATTAGAAAGGGTGTCTGGAAACTTTTGGGCATATTGTGCAGGTGAACACAATTTACATAAAATCTGTCCAATACAAACTGGCAGGCCTGGATAACCCAAGTGTGTCTGCTTCAATACAAAGACAATTCTAATGCTAGTCTAAAGAAATGGAATAGTGACAACATAGGAAAAATGGTTTTGTATGTTTGCCAATATACATACATATTCTTACCATTCTCACGTTTGAACAAAGACTGCCTTGATTGGTCGAAAAGATTTCTCTTGGGAATCACTGTCTGAGCCTAGAAATAGGAAAGATATATAATCTAACACTGATAAATACTAATAAAATGAGTTTTTCAATACAATAAGCTGATGTTCACATTTGCTAGCAATAGCTTTTTTGTAAATTAAAAAAAGACAATATCATAACAAATAATAATATTTTACAAGTAAAAGCAAATAAATAAAATAAAACTTGGAATTGGAACTGCCTTTTTAATGAACAATAAAAAAATAAATAAAACAACATATAACTATTGTAAAGTATAATAAATAAATAAGTAGATTAAATAAATAATACATATCAAAAAAAAACCCAAAAACATGAGTATAATTCTATCAAGAACAAGAACAACAAAACAACAACAACAACAATAATAATAATAATAATAATAATAATAATAATAATAATAAATGTTTTTTTCTGTATTTTTCATTTTTGTTACGAAAATCCCAAAGTTCTTTGCCCAGGAACACAAGCGTTAAAAATTATTAAGGTATATAAAATATCATGGTCTAAATGAAATAACAACACTATTACGAACAATAGGAAAAAGAGACCTACATTACACGTGCTTTAAAGAATGTGAGAAGATCCTTAACCTACAAAAATACGTACAAAATTTACCTGCTAAGCCGGTTTACTTTGAACAACTAGGGCCACAGCCTAGCTAACTAATGTGAAAATAAACTTACATTAATCCGAATGATCCTGCGGCTGTAACTGCCTAACGTGAGCATACATTTAAAGCCACTCATGATTACAAAATGTGAAAATTCCGTTGGCTTATCTTCTAGATGCGACTATCAAACAGGTCAACTACATAATATGTTCACTACAGCCTGTGTGCAGAGGGAAGGTTTTTACTGCAACCCTATCCGGAGAAAAGCAGCTGTGCGCATGCGCGATGTTAAACACATGGGCATGAGTTAGAGGAGCTGTTTTCGCGGGGACACGTTTTTAAGTACTGTACATTGTTCATAAGTTTAGAAATGTGAACGTTTTGAATGTTGCAGTAATAGGAGAAGAAATGAGATGCACGACAAACGTATTTGTATTTTTCCTCACCGAGTCATAAATTAGTTCATTAGCTCCCAGTCGGTCATTGTGGGTTTTTGCAAGCTTGGCTGTGTCGAAGGTAAATAAAGTGAAAACTTTTCTCTGACTTTGTGTGATTTGTTTAAGAAAGATAATTTTTAACACCTGCTTTATGTGCTGTGCTGCAATTATTTCTGCTGTCAGCACATATTATATCTACGTTACACGTGTCTGGTCTCTCATGCAGCTCTATGTATGTAAAAGTGTGTGTTTAGAAATGATCTTTCTGAGGATCAATTTTATGTCATTTGTTCAGTTTCTTCAGCAAAGATGTCCAGTCTCGCAGCCAAGTACGACTACCTGGAGAAGCTGACCCGCAAAGTGTGCCATTCTCAGACGGAAGAGCCTAAAAAGAGAGCCTACGGTAGAGTTCTGCTAAGGGCTAATCAGTTACACATCCAGTAGCATGTCATTCTGACAAGACTGACATATCACGTCTCACCCTTACTCAGTTCGTAACAAACCGGTGTCATCGTTGAGGAGCCTGGTGTTCTGCTGGTTGTTGTTTTTTAAGTGGCTCATATTTAACGTTTGTCTTTTATTTTTCCCTCTTGTAAAGATTTATTCAGTCATGATAAATCTTTACATAACCTTTCCGACCACTTTGTATCCCTTAGAAAGTAACAGGCTGTTTTTGTCACTGACTTTTAGACTGATGTAAATGTAAATTAGCCATATTCTGATTGGCTGCCTCTTATTGCGCCTTATTCAAAAAGGAGTCTGGGGTGCAACAGTCCTTATAACTACATCGTTAATGGGCGGGGCTAAACATCTGAAGGCTAAGTAGATCAATAAAAATCACCCAGGTGCTTTTTTTTTCTCTTTTCAGTTCCATTTCAAGGTGGTCGTGATGGTGAAGGTGGTCCGCCCAAAAAGAAGCAAAAGAAGAAACAGAAGCCTACCAAAGGAAATAATAACACTAATGACAAGAAGCCAGCTCCAAAGACCATCCAGAAAACAGCACAGAAACAGGCCAGTGCAACTGTACAGAATGCTCCCCAGGTCAAAATTCAAAATGGGAACCAGGTGCACATGCAACAGAAGACTGAAGGTAAACCACATGTCTACATTTGAATTAGTCAGTAATGATTCCTGAACCGTAATAGAATGTATGTGGAGGTATGTTCATTAACGTGTTTCATTCAATTCCAAGGAGCAAAGTCGGAGGGGGAGTTTAATGCAGTGGATATTTTGAGGAGAAGACTTCACCAGAAGATTGAGGAGTCTCGTGGACAGGTATACAAACCAGATAGAAAGAATCTAGGCAGAACCAAAGTACTGCTCCGTTTGACATTAGATTATAACATAGACTTGCTGGACAGTGTAGTAACTCATAACGTATGGAGTATTTATTGGTGCCTTCATGATTACTTGTTTAGACGTGATTTCTTGATTTTAGAAAAATCTGTTCAAATTTAAGTTCTTGATAAACCTGCACTGATTGTCAGTTTGCATCACTGTAATTCATATTTTAAGTGCTCCTTCTGGTCTCTGTTATAGTAAGAAAAAGAGGCTGATGAACATACACAAATGGCCTGTATGCATTTTGCCAAATTTTACTTGGCTTTTATGAGTCTTGGTGCATGGTTTGTCCATCATTATTGCTTGGGCTTTTTTAAGAACTCTGATTGTATGATTAATCGTCAAAATATTTGGAAGATCTTCCCCCACCCCTGTTGTAAAATGCAATAAAAAGTTGATCACAAAGGAATAATTGGAAGATTACCCGATTTAGGGCTGAACGTTTTGGGGGAAACTGTCTATTTGCAATTTTTCTGACCATTATTGCCACAGTGATTTAAATTGTGCTTATTATTTTCTAAGTCCAGGGGCTGTATTGCAGAAATTTCTTAAGTCTGAAATCTTATCTGCTCAGTCACCATGACAGCTTCAGTAAGGACTGAATTCAGGACAGAAACAGTTCTTAAGTTCATAATCTTATCCTAACTCCAGATAAGAAAACAGTATTACATTAACATCCTAACTAGACAAAATTTCCTAAATTCTGTCCTAACTTTAACACAACACCAGAGGTGTTTTAACTTCTGTTTCTATTGTTTTATGCAGTGACAGTCATGTGCTATATCTGGCATAGCATAATGACGTTACATTCATCTATATCAAAAATGTCTAACTCATGTACAGGTAGTTCACAAGCTCCAAGTTATTAGGTTAAATTTCCCTATTTTAAATTTTTTAAGGCAACATTGTCGATAAAGTGTGCTATAATTAAAATTGCAGCTCTTGTAGGTTGAAAATTGCAGTCTTTCAAATTGTGGTTGATGTAAACTTGAACTTAATTTAATTACTGTTTTAATCAGTAGTAACAGCCATACTGACTTTTGTCTGACTTTTGGATATTTGAGGCCTTGACTGTATTTTTTTTTTCACTTTAGGGCCCTCCCAAAGATCCCTCCTCTGAGGAGGTGCAGAAAAGACGAGCAAAACGCAAGCAGGAGAGAGAGCGCAAAAAGAGGAAAAGGAAAGAATTCCTTATGAAGAAGTTAGCACAGAGTGCTTCCACTGAAGCAGAAGATGAAGGCAAAGTGGTGGAAGCACCCACACCTCCAGACACTTCTACGGAAACCAAACCTGCCAAAAAGGACACAAGCTCAATAGTCTTCAACAAAGTGGAGGTCGGGGAGGAGTATGTGGACAAAGGGACAAAGCTAAAGGAAAAAAAGAAAAGGAAGGTGAAAGGAACCCTCACTCCACTTACAGGGAAGAACTACAAACAGCTTTTGTCTCGAGTAGAAGCCAGGAAGGCTCGTCTTGAGGAGCTCAGAGAGAAGGATGAGGAGAAGGCCAAGAAGGAGGAAGAGAAGATGAGGTGGACCAACATTCTCTACAAGGCTGAGGGCATGAAGATTAAAGACAACGAAGAGCTTCTACGTGCTTCTTTGAAAAGGAAAGAGAAGAGGAAGGCTCAGAGGAAGAAGAAGTGGATAGAGCGGAGCCAGCACGTGGTGGAGAAGATGCAGCAGAGACAGGACAAGAGACGCAGAAACATTCAGAAACGCAAACAGAGCAAGATTGAGAAGCGTAAACAGAGGGCCAGGAAGAAGGGTAGAGTGATGCCTGAGGATCTAAAGAAGGCTGCTGTATAGAGAGAAAAAGAGAGAAGGGAGAGACGGACAAAGCAAAGAACGAAAAGAGACTATAAAGAACATGTGAATAAAGAGAATGACTTGTGCTTCGTGGAAAGCCAAATCCTTTGTGTCAAAACAGATGTAAACCAAGTAGTCAATGAATCTGTTTTTTCTACCACGTTGTGCCAATACTTTATGTAAATATATATAGATTTGTGCATGATTAAATCGTTAAGATTTATGAACAGTCATTCAGATTGGTTTGATGTGAAATGCTCCATTCTAGAGAGGCCTACTGAGTCAGAATTGTTCCCAGCAGTGGTGATAGGAATGAGATGTCTGAAGTGTTTAATGCCTCCAAAAGCTATCTCACAGAAAACCTTTAAATAAAATGTTTATGAATATACTGTCTGATGCCTGAGGCCTTGCTTCACGATAGTTGTGAGATAAGCTTATGAACTAAAGCATATTTTTTTAAACACATTAATGGCAGAGAGGTACATGCAGAGTGATGAGGCAAAATAGTACCGAGAGAAAGCTTATTTTTTCAGATTTACCACTGTTTTGCCATTATCAGCATTACATATAAAAATGCAGAGGATGTGTAGGGTCACTGGACATTTCAGATTGTAAATAAAATTACTATGTTTGCACTGCAGACATTGCAACCCCTGGTTGCTATCACCACTAATGTAAAGAATTTGGAGTCGGTATGTTTCTCTACAATTAAAAATTTCACATCAAAACACTCTGGATGACTTTATATACATCTCAGTGAATGAATTATGTAGAAATTTTGAAAAATCCGAGGAATTCCCCCACAAGGACTGTCTGGCAAGTTTGATGTAGAGTGGTTTGATGGTTCACTGTAGAGCTACATACTGATTTGGATTTATTTTTTCCTAATGATGGTGATGGGGGAGGTTGCATTGTCTACAACATAGACATAGTCTGTGGTTTTGGAACTGTGTCCTGCCCATAAAGTTGTGTAAAGTGTCTATGAGGTAGCTTTTACAGGCAGTAATTGCTTAAGATGCCTGGTTTCTATTACCACCACTGTGAACAATTCTGATTGGATGTTTCTCCTGAAATACCACACTTTGCATCAGACCACTCCGAATGACTTTGTTTTTTCTTATCAGTTGAATTATGCAGATTTTTTTTTTACTCGAGACCTAATTATCTGCAAGTTATTTATATTGTTTTTGACTTTTTTCATAGTTAGTCTTTCTTTGATCGCACCACTCCTGACTTACCTCATCAGCTGAGGCTAAATGATTGTGAAATTAGGGGGAAATTAACAAAATTTCATGTTCAAGGAACTCCAAGAGCAGGATTGGGAAATGCAGCATTGGACTCCAGAATCTCTGCAGTGAACAAGTTTTCATCTGCCTTCACTCACTATGTGAAAACAGAGCCCAAGTTTAACTGACTGGCCTAAAATTTTCACTGAAAAATGTTCAAAGCGTGTCCTTTAGTTAACATTTTCCAACAGTTCAGCCCTGAGAGAGTTGATTTATTATATGTGTTTGTGTGTCACAGTTTCACAGTGTGTGAAATGCTAATAAAAAACAGAAAGCAGCAATAAATCCTGTTTGACAGCACAAATGGTACAAAGACACTATTATATGCTTTACCTTATGAACTTAATGATTTTTATGAACATACACTCATTTTAAATTTGATGCCTGCAACATATTCCAAAAAAGTTGGGGTGAGAACATGTATATCACTATGTTACATCATTTTTTCCTTTAACAGCTATTTATAATCATTTGTGGACTCAAGACACAAACTGACCCAGTTTTGAAAGTGTACTTTTTTTCATTCTTCGGTCATACAAGTCCTCAGCTGTGCAACCTTGCAGGGCCTTTGTTGTTGTATTGTGAGCTTAACATGAGACCCATTTACAATAAGAGACAACTGAATCTTTTAGTTACATTAACTACATTTCCATTTTGTTTTTTTGCCAGCGTTTCCATCCCTACTGAAAAACATGAAGCTGGTTTATGCTGGTCTGATTTTGGTTTAACTGATCACCCAGCATGGTCATGCTGATTGACCAGCATACCAGCATGTAAAACACCACATATGCTGGTTTTGCTGGTGACCAGCTTTGCTGGTTTTTCTAGCAGGGATGATTTCCTGCGTTATGGTATGAGGTTATTAACTTCACTGGCTGAGCCACTGTAATGAAAATACTTGACTCTCAAAGGTTGGTGTGAGATATATCAAAGGTCAGCTTCTCACATTAGAACTGTAAATGTTAATAGTTGACACTGAAAATAGTTGACGCTATACAAATGTTTAGCCTAGCAAACTGGTATATAAGTCAGGAATGAGAGATACAAGGTAGGTGTGCTTAATAGACTGTCAGCTCAGTGTATTCTTGCTGAGTGTAGTGTCTTACTGTATATTATTTGAATTTTGCTAACATAACTGTGAAGCACAAGTGCTTTAATGTGTCACAGACACGACTGAGAAGTCTGCAGTAACTTAGTGTGGCTGGGCTAACCATGATAGCTGAAGGTAGGAAAGATATTTCTCTGTTCTCAGTGTCACCTCGACAAGCCAGTATGTTTCCACATCATTCACTGAGCAGAAAATAATTTACCTGGTGTAGAAGACGATGACTGCCTCTCATCTAAAGCTAAACTGTTAACTCTAGCATTAGCTTATGTACTTTCTTAACCCACAGTGTCTAAAAGATCCCTTTGCCTCTAAATGGCCGAGGTAGTTTGACTGTGCAATAAATTATAAATAAATGTTTATTGAAAGTGCAGAACAGGTAACCTAAAATTAGCATGCCAAAACATTTCTTGAATACACTACTCTATAATTATTTGTATTTTGAGGACTCATACTGTACACCGGAGAAAGTATATCGGCTTTGGAGTGTTTCATTTGCCACATGATGCACTGCAAGCACACTTAATTGACATCATAAGACTGGTAACCTCACCAAAATACTGGTAAGCTTTGTCCAAATTGGTAATTTAGAGGATTTGGCATTTATATGCTGCACATTTAGGAGCTTGTGGTAGTATATAATAGTATTGAGGTTTAGTAGTAGACTTACTTTCATGCCACATCATCAAGTGCGCAGGAGTGTTAGCTTGCTTGTAGCATATATGTATTCTAATACTCTGCTATTGAAAGAGGTACTGCTTTCGCACAAGTTGTGGTGCTTTATTTTCCAGCTGTGGTTGGATAAGTGGTTTAGAAAATGTCTGTGTGTGTGTGGTTATGATTTCCTTTGAATTTGATATAGCTAAAGTATAACATATAAAGTATAATAGTTTTAAAGCATGACTAAGGCTACGTTCACATTACAAGCCTCATTGCTTAAATCTTATATTTTGCTCAGATCCGATCTCTCTCACATGATTGTTTACACTCGTTTAGGTAAGTGACTCAAATCTGTAATTAATGTTAACGAACTGGCGTCCTGAAACGACCCGCATGCGCACATCCTAATTAGTAATGTCACATGAGTGCATCACGTGTGTCATGAACATCAAAACAACCAGCAGAACGAGCCTTTTCTGCGAGGATAATAGACCACTGTAGTCCTCGTTATGCCCACATTAGGAACTCCTGGTCTAAGCCCCATTTCTCTATGGCCTGAATGAATACGGTTTTTGAAAAATCGCCTCTATCACACCCTGTGTTACATAAAAATGTTCAGAACCCGATACGAACCCGACACGATCCTGTGTACATTTTTCTCCCAAATACCACTGGATCCTCTGAATTACGAGGTCGTTAAAGAGGTAACGTTACAACACTAATATTGCTACATGCGAGCTAAAGCTACTGCGCATCAGTTTGATGTCACCAAGCTACATGAATCTAAGGGGGGCTGTGGCGGTGCTCTGACGAGTTATGCTTACAGTTACCTTATCAAAATCTTCTACCGTAGTGCATATTTATAGGTATACCCGTAAATAAAACCTCTAGGTAGGTAGGATATTTTGATAGGCTAAAACTCCATATCAAAAATACTAACCGTGTTAAAACTACGAGGCTGAATTTAGCTTCTTTTTTTCGCAGCTTCTTGTTTGAATGTTCCCGTTCCACCTTAAATGGTCCAGCAGCTGTGACTAGCTATCACAAACATTAGCAAATGAGACAAAATACTGCCCTGTCGGTTCTGTGAAGCAGCAAAAATAAGTTAATGTTACTCTGTTAAGCGAAAATATAGAAACCTCCTCATACCATGCCTTTCAACCCTCCATGAAGCTTTTAGCAGCTGGCTAACTTGAAGCAGCGCTCCATCACTCGCACAACACGGTGAACTGATGATACTGTAGATCAAACAAGACACGCACCGCTTTCAGTTTAAACAAACCTAAAAGGAGGACTCCGTTTGTCTGGTGTTAGATATATTGCGGTTCACCCCTCAAACTACTACGATAGAATAGAGAGATCCAGACGTCTGCTAGCTGGTGTTTGAATACTGTGAAATGCTCTGACATGGATGTGGTAGGAGTGATGACAGTAAGGCAGTGTGATCCATCACTGACCTACCGAGCCAGCTAACGTTTGCTGTTCGTACTAAGTTGACGTTGTTGAGAAACTAAACAGTTTAGCACTGTTGTTGGCCACTTGTTTAGCATTTGTAACGGGATAGCCCAGCACTTGTCACCAGACAGCTAAAAATAATCTTTTCTTTCTTAAATTATGACTATTACGAAAACTGTGGCCATGCTTTTCCAGCTGGTAAAAACAGCTCACCAGACACTTTCTCCCACTTTCCCATGACAGATTTGTGAAATTACCCACTGTTTGGCTAATGTTTGTTGTGTTCCGACCATAAAGGATAGTTTAAAACAGCAATTAACCACCCAGGAGCAAAAATCAGCCTTCAAAACTTGAAAGAAATAATGATTTGACATTTATCGCGATATGTATCGAACGATATGAATTTTGTTTATCGTATAACATTTTTGGCCATATCGCCCAGCTCTAACCACAAGTGGCTCAGGTCGACTTTGAAAAGATCAAACTGATTTACAATAAAATATTATTCTTAGTGTTGTATTTATACCCAGTTCATATTTCGACTCAGTTCAGTCATTCTGTAAGCAATCTCAGAACCTGCCAAGAATCTGTTGAGGCGAACTTTAAAATTTATTTGGAGCATTTTCAAATTTGTAATACCAACGTTCTAGACAGGTAGCGCGCATTTAGATCACTGTAGTCGTGTCGTCCTTTTGTAGTCGGCGCCATGCTCTTATGCCCATATTAGTAACTCCGGGTCTAAGCTCCATTTTTCTATGGCCAGAATGTATAGGGTTTTCGAAAAATCGCCTCTATCGCACCCTGTGTTAAATAGAAATCTTCAGAACCCGATACGTTTTGTCCTTTGAACATTCTTCTCTCGAATACCACTGGATCCTCCAAATTACGAGGTCGTTAAAGAGTTGAAATATAAATATTGCTACATGTAAGCTAAAGCTGCTGCGCACTGAATTCACGTCATTAGACTGGCAGCCTCTTTAAGCAGATTATCACTCGCTGATAAACTGATTTAGGCTATCAGAATATCCTAATTATTATTTTAATGTTGGTAAAAAATTTTCTGAGGACATTTTCTCAGGACATTCGCCAGCTTTTTGTTGAACTTTTTCCGTTCCACCTTAAGTGGTGCAGCAGTCACGTTCTGAAATGCTGCGCCATTTAAGGTGGAACGGGAAAATTCAAACAAGCAGCCGGTGAAAAGGAAGCTGACTTCAGCTTCATGGAGGGTTGAAAGGCATGGTATGAGGAGGTTTCTATATTTTCGCTTAACAGAGTAACATTAACTTATTTTTGCTGCTTCACAGAACCGACAGGGCAGTATTTTGTCTCATTTGCTAATGTTTGTGATAGCTAGTCACAGCTGCTGGACCATTTAAGGTGGAACGGGAACATTCAAACAAGAAGCTGAGAAAAAAGAAGCTAAATTCAGTCTCGTAGTTTTAACATGGGTAGTATTTTTGACAAGGAGTTTTAGCCTATCAAAATATACCACCCGGAGGTTTTATTTACGGGTAAACCTGTAAATAAGCGCGACAGTAGAACATTTCGATAAGGTAGCACAGCTCGTCAGAGCACCGCCATAGCCCCCCTTAGTTTCGTGTAGCTTAGTGACGTCAAATGGTCGTCATTTTGTAGTCGGCGCCATGCTCTTATGCCCATATTAGGAACTCCGGGTCTGAGCTCCATTTCTCTATGGCCAGAATGTATAGGGTTTTCGAAAATCGCCTCTATCGCACCCTGTGTTAAATAAAAATGTTAAGAACAAGATTCGTTTTGTCCTGTGTACATTCTTCTCCCGAATATCACTGGATCCTCTGAAATACGAGGTCGTTAAAGAGTTGAAATATAATTATTGCTACATGTAAGCTAAAGCTGCTGCGCACTGAATTCACGGCATTTGACTGGCAGCCTCCTTAAGCAGGTTTTGGCAGTAAACATTTCCAAGTACAAACTGAGGGCAAATGAAAAGAAGTCAGAACAAAATCAGCAGGTTTCCTTGCAGTTCTCTGTTCTTCATCTGATGCTCACTCAAACACGATAGATCTTTGGTTTTAGGTTGATTTGAGAAGATCTACAAACGTACCTGCACTCAGGCTAATCCAGTACAGACAGATGTTACTGCTGACCCCCTGATCAGCTGATTTAGGCTATCAGAATATCCTAATTATTATTTTAATGCTGGTAACATTTTTTTCTGAGGACATTTTCTCAGGGCATTCGCCAGCTTTTTGTTCGACTTTTCCCGTTCCGCCTTAAAAGCTGCAGCAGTCACGTTCTGAACTGCTGCGCCATTTAAGGTGGAACGGGAAAATTCGAACAAGCAGCCGGCCAAAAAGAAGCTGACCTCAGCTTCATGGAGGGCTGAAAGGCATGATATGACGAGGTTTCTCTATTTCCGCTTAACAGCTGAGTAACATTAACTTATTTTTGCTGTTTCACAGAACCAGTGGGTCAGTATTTTATCTCCTTTGCTAATGTTTGTAGTAGCTAGTCACAGCTGCTGCTTCGGAGGATCCAGTGGTATTCGGGAGAAAAATATACACAGGACAAAACGTATCGGGCTCTGAACATTTTTATTTAACACAGGGTGCGATAGAGGCGATTTTTCGAAAACCCTATTCATTCTGGCCATAGAGACATGGGGCTTAGACCGGAGTTCCTAATATGGACGTAACCATAGATATACATTCCTAGATACCGCGTTGCCTGTTCTCTATGTGAGGCGATACGTCTGCGCGTCCGCCATATTGGTGCGGTCAAGATCCGCTTGTGAACAAATTCACTTGTATTGAAAGACGATGAGTCTCAAGATTAAATCGGCCACGACTTCCTTATTAGTCAACTGATTTTCATTTCTTTAATAACTGATAACCTAATTTAAGGTTCGTATAATAAAATGCTAATCAATTCTAAACATCTACACGGATTAAAGAGTGTACGGACTATTAAATGAAATAACCTTAATATATATATATATATATATATATATATATAAATCACATCAGGTTCTCTGTGCATCACCAACCACACGGCCATAGATCTACACGTAAACTTCGCACAAACAATACGAATCACACAAACATGAGCGGGGATCGCTGCGTTCCCTCCGTTATATAATCCTAAATAATTTCTTAAACTGCTGCTCTGTAATGGTACGGAAAGCAGTCCAGCAGCGATGTTGACCGCCCTAAAATGGCAGCGCCGTTGACGTGCCTGGCTGGCCCAACGCGGCATCTAGGTATCTATGGACATAAAGAGGACTACAGAATGGCGCACGACTACAGTGGTCTATTGGTCTATTGGGACGTTGCCCTAGTAGCTCCGCCCACACAGGAAGCTGTCTTAAAACAAGGGCTGCGTCCAAAACCACATACTATTGTACTAATGAAGATGGTGGTATACTGCTTCTGACACATAGATATGTTCTGCCATACTCACTAGTGTGGTCGTATGCAGTTTTGGACGCAGCCAGGATTCAAGGTTGAGGAGGAGTGTCTGTGGTGTTGTGTACATGTGACGTCGTCAGCTGATATTGTAATGCAGAAGCTGTCTTGGAACTTTCGTTCGGTAAATATCGAATTCTTAATATTGTATTTAAGCAATGCAAAGACAGGACGCACCATCAGCCTCGCTTTCTTTGTGTTTGTAAACTGTCGAGGCACAATGTATTGAAAGGTCGCTAAAGTTGTTTGTGCGTATGTGAGTGTATCACTGTCGGCCTCCGATAAGAAACCGGCTTTGCATTGGTAACGGTACTCGACAAGTAACTCAGTGTGAAAGTCTTTCCAAATTCACAAACTTATCATTTCCTACTCTCGTGGAAGGCACCATTTATGTACTGGTATGCTGAGGAGACCGGTGCTTAATTGGGCTTCAATTTGGAAAAGATCAGTAACGCCGATTCTCTCAAGCTGCCAAAACAAGGTGAGAGATGCTAAGTTAGCTAACTAAGTTTTTTTTTCTGGCTACAGTGATCGTATATGAATCTGCTTTAGACATAACGTTTCACTTTTAATTTACTTCTTATTCAGACAATCATGGCTCGCCAGTTGCACGCTCGAAGGCTCGAGGGAGTCGACAAGAACATTTGGTAATTATTTACCTGCAGGATTTCAAATGGTTTGGAAGAAGACCTAAATAACAAAGTTCGTGAGATCAGACCTGTATATATTTTAGCAAAATATGTCTCAAAACTAACGTCGGTTACTGTATACCAAATGGCAGTGTGTACAGCTGTAGACATTTCTCCTGGTTGCTTCCCAGAATCATGTCATTATGAGAAGATAACAAGCTAATGTGCACTAGAAAGTTACTTCATCTTCTGAAGAATCTGATTAAATCTGGTGAAGGCCTTGCCAAGTGGGCCGAAACATTGTTTTCAACCAATTAAAGTTATCCTCTTTTATGTATAGGATGAATCTTTTTTTTCTGGCTGGTTTTTTTTATTTCTGTGGCACCTAACCTATAGTTGGTGGAAGCACCTTTTTTATTTCATTTCATTTTCTAAATAAATAAATACTAGGAAACTCGTCTGTGAGTGTCTGAAATTAATCTTAGTGACACCACTGACCTGTAGCTTAGGTCCTGAGTATTTCTGTCAGGTTGTAACTACTTATTTTTGTCTGCTAGGGTGGAGTTTACACAGCTAGCTGCTGATTATAATGTGGTGAACCTGGGTCAGGGGTTCCCTGACTTCTCTCCTCCCAGCTTCATCCAAGAGGCTTTCTGCAGTGCCATCACTGGAGGTGCCTCCATGCATCAGTACACACGAGCCTTCGTAAGACATTTGTTTTTTATTTTTTTATTCTCTCCCAGCTTGCACTCTTCTGTGCTCTCATTGGCTGACTTTTAGCATTTCCCAAAAAGTGTTTGGCAATAAATAATTTAATATGAACATAAGATTAAAACAAAGAGTCCAGAAGTGACATGCATTCCCCATTATTTTTTTCAAGGAGAACCAGGCCTTATCCACTTCTATAGAATAAGTAATTGGGCTTCATTCACCAGCTGTTAATGAGAAGAAATGTCTTCTTAAAACCCACTTATACAGTTTTCACGAAGATTCTGACATTCACCAATGATTTCTTATTTGGGATTTATTCTTAGAATCTACGCACACTCGAGCACAAAGGTGCGAACAAGTCTGCGGTTTAAGAACATGGTATGAATCTGACGTAGACATTTACTTAGGACATTACTGAAGAACAAATTTATTAGAGAAAACGTAGTAAGATGTTGGTGAATGAGGCCCACTGTTATTCATTTTATTGAGGAAAAGTGTAATGTGACCTACAGGGCCACCCAGCGCTTGTCAAGATCCTTGCAAAGTTCTTTGGGAGGATTGTGGACCAGGAAATTGACCCTATGGAGGACTTCCTGGTTACTGTGGGAGCCTATCAGGCTCTTTTCTGCACCTTTCAGGCTCTGATTGATGAGGGTGATGAGGTAGGCTCAGCAAAGTGATGTTGGCTGTGAGGATTTGATTGCATTCAGCCACAAGAATGTTAATGAGGTCAGGTCTTGAAATTGAATAAATAGTTTTGGATTAGATCTCACAGACTCCACTCCAGCTCAGCCCAAAGGTATCACTCCAGAGGATGCAGTTCCACTACTTCACAACACAGTGCTGGGGAGCTTTATACCCTTCTCGCCAATATTTGACATTGGGCATGGTGACCTTATGTTCATGTGCAGTTGCTCCAGAGCATCCCATTTCATTGTGATTACTTTTATGTGGAGATTATACAAACTCTTGTCAGCAATGGGTGCACCTTTAAGTAGACGAATTAGAAAGGTTGTATGCATACATTTGGACATGTACCATATTTAAAATACAGACAATGGCTTAAATACTTTCTTTAATTCTTTCTTTCTTTATTGCTCTTATAGTCTGGTAGACTAATGTTCCTGACTTTCTCTCCTTTTTCTGTTATCCTTGTCCTATGTGTCAGGTGATCATTGTGGAGCCTTTCTTTGACTGCTATCAGCCTATGGTCACGATGGCAGGAGGAACACCTGTCTATGTCCCACTAAAACCTGTGAGTTAATTGTTGCTAGTTCGTCAGTCATTTAATTTATACACTTTGCACTTTTTACTATAAACTAAACATGGTGTTACTGGCATGTGCATCTATCCACAGAGAAAATCCGCTGGCCCTGGTTTGTCCAGTGCAGATTGGGTTTTATGTCCTGAAGAGCTAGCCAGTAATTTGAACTCTCGCACAAAAGCTATCGTCATCAACACTCCTAATAACCCATTAGGCAAGGTGAGTTTGGAATGATCTGTTTCCAGATTAAACATACGTTATAAGGGTCATTTGCTTAATGAAGCTTTTTTTCTCCATTTGCTACAAATGCTAAGAAAAAGCATAAGTAAAGGCTCATTTATAACTGCCGAGTGCCAACATGATCCCAAACCAGTGGATAATATGAAGATTAACGAAAAGAATGTTCAAATTGTAACTGCGTAAATGACTATCTTTCGTATGTACCTCTCTTTTAACCTCTTATTTTTCAGGTTTTTCAAAAGGATGAGTTGCAGATGATAGCTGATTTCTGTATAAAGCATGATATTATTTGCATAAGCGATGAGGTCTATGAATGGCTCACGTATGACGGAGTACAGCATATTAAAATAGGTACGAATTTTTTGCAGGCAATGAATTTTAAGAGATTTTTAGTTAACACTTTTACAGTCATTACATAATCGTTTACATTTTTTGAGAATGGCAGGCTCTTACATAGGTCTTTGCTGGGTAGTCTAAATGTTACTAAAATTAAGTGTGGCATGCAGTAGCAAACAGGTGCTGAAAAATGTTTGACTTCTATAATTCTATATGATTCAGTTACAATTCAATTTGCATATTTTGACAATAAAAACAATACATCATGATTTGTACATTTAAAAAAGAATAGCCTGAAGAAACAATTTTGGCCAAAACACGAGTGCACACTTTATTGAACATTATTAAAATTGCTTGTATTTAAATATAACATTCCAAAATCATTGAATCATTATGATCTGTGTTTTCTCTCTAGCTAGCCTACCAGGCATGTGGGAGCGCACAGTTACTATTGGAAGTGCAGGCAAGAGCTTCAGCGCCACAGGATGGAAAGTAAGCCATTAAAACTCTTGAAGTCTCTGTAGACTCTTCAAAATCACTCAGTTCTTCTATCCACTTGATTTGCTTTGTTGTCCTTACTGCTAAGATAAGAAGGAGCCCAGATAATCATTATCTCAAATTAGACTGCTACGTCTATGTATTGGTCTTGCTACATGACAAAATCTAAACTCTTTAACTCCAGGCCATTTTATGAACATAGTTACAGATCTAGGAATATTTGTTTTAGCCAAGTTATTAAATGTGATGAAACTTGAGGCCAGAACAAATTGTTTGATTAGTGTTGGGGTTCCCAAACCCACTCCTGGTGAGTTCACGCTATACTTGTGTCATGTAGCACACCTCATTAACTCATTCAACTCGTTCAGCTAGCTAACAAGTGCCTTGTGGGCTGGGTCAGGTGTGTAGAGTAGGGAAAACACAAAAATGTGCAGAGCATAGTGTTGCCAAGACTGATACTGGGAACCCCTGGATTAGTTTGATTCAAGGGCCCAGTGTGCTCATGCTTCCATGTACTTGTGTTTTAGGTGGGTTGGGCAATGGGACCAGGCAACATGATAAAGCACTTGAAAACTGTCCATCAGAACTCAGTGTACCACTGTGCCACTGCTGCTCAGGTAAAAGACACCTCAGAATGCATATAGACACCTGTAGGATGATATTGATTCTGTCCAAATTAAGCTTTATATAGCATATCTGGCTAAAATTGTAATATAAGGTTTGACTGCTTCAGCTTGCACAGCTCATTATAGGAGAATCTTGTTTTATTTTTATTTTAAATAGACTAAAATTTGTGCAAGTAAAAAAAATAGGAAGAGAATTTATTAGGGATGTGGTGTAACCATTCTGTTTTGAGGCTACACAAAATGATGTTGTGGTGTGTGTGTGTGTGTGTGTTTTGTCTAGTGGTTTGCCTAGACCTAGGCCCAATCCCATTTCTTATTTTTACCCCTACCCCTTGTTTTCGAGTGTCATCTTGTCTCTTGGAACTGAGTTACATGGGGTAGTGGTTGAAATCTTCCCCTATGAAATGGGACAACCCTCAAATTAAAAAAGCACATTACTTCATTACCAGGCTACTAGCGATGCTTTGTAGGCGACCCTGCCAGTCTGCAGTGATGGCAGAGGAGGGTAAAGTCCAGCAGCCTCATTGCTGGGCTTTAGTTACATTTAGGGAATCGTATGCCTTCAAAGGAGGGGGGCAACTATTTTTTATCACCCACGTCTAATTCTTCAGTGAAATGAAACTGAAGTCAGCTAATTGCTAGCTTCTTGTTCGAATTTTCCCATTCCACCTTAAATGATGCAGCAGTACTGACACCATTTAAGGTGGAATGGGAAATTTAGCTAGCTAGCTACCGGTTTTTCTTTTTTTTTTTGTAACACTCTGTTTGGAGTGTGTCTCTGAAAAACCTCCATTTGGAGGGCCATGTAGCCCTAACACTTCGCCCTACCCCTCTATCTTAACAAGAATCGGGACACCCTACCCCTAGGCGTGAACGCACAAAACGGAGGGGTAAGGGCTAAGTGGTAGGGGTGAGGGGTAAAATGGAATTGGGCCCTAATCATATACTTTAAATTGATTCAGATACCAGAACGTAATGAAAAGAAAGAAAAATACAACAATAATGACAAAATGTTACAAGGCCTGTTGTTAATGGGTATGTCTGATTATGTAGTAGCAAATATTTTACGTATTGCCATATACTGGATTAGACAGTTTAAATCAGATGAGTGTACTAATGGTTGTTCTCTAGGAGGCTGTGGCGGTGGGCTTTCAGAGGGAATATGACACGTTTGGCACAGAAGAGAGCTATTTTAAACAGTTACCTGCACAACTCCACGCTAAACGCCTCAGGCTGGCTGAGTGTCTGAGGAGCGTGGGTCTGGAACCCATCATGCCCCAGGGTGGATATTTCATGATCACAGACATCTCCAGTCTGAGTAAGCATTACGTCTGGACTTTGCGGTATATTGAAGCATATTGAAACCTGAAAGTTGAAATTCACAATCAGTGGAAAATTTGTTTATTCTCATTCATCTCTGATCAGAATCCTTAAGACTGTGTGTTAGGATTGCACAATATAGAGAAAATACTAGTATTGCAGTACACTAATGTATTCTATACACATATTTATTATGTATTAAAATGGGTTGGTAAATCAGTAATGTGATGTGCTTATAGATGTGCTCACATTATTTTGACCAAAATAATTTACTTTTGTTGGGTTACGTTACAGCCTGACACATGGAGGTTTTGTGGCCAGTAATGATTTTAAAGGCCTAAAAATAGCCAGTATAATTTTATATTTATGTTTTAGATTTTAATGTTTTATACTCAAGTAATTTTGGGGTACAGTTTTTTTACCGACAGGCATTGTTGGTTGTCAACTGTGACTTGCCAAATATGACTCAATTTTTACATTTTTTAAAACTCAAATAAATATCTCAGTCTTAAAGTATTGTTGCACTTGGAGTGGGGCTGATACCCATAATTCTGGTGGTGCTGCAACTAAAAAATAAATGTTGGTGTGTTGCCTGCAATACTTTTGCCAATACCAATTAAATCTCAGGTAAAACCTCCAATACTGGGACAATATAATTGGCTAGCCAGGATATTGGTCAAGCTCTATATTACATAAATACTCTGATTCATCAGAACACCTACAGAAACACTTATCTGGAGCTGTGATTTGTCAAGAGTCCCTCATTAGGTGGTGCAAATTATTGTGGAAAAAATATTGTGATTAGTTAGAGGGTTCATTCAAGCATCAAGCGGCACTGTTGTGATAATTGACAGATTATCTGTCCTACAGTGTTTCCACTAAAGTGAATTCAGAAGAAGAAGCTAGCAATTGCATTAACCTACATAGGGCCTGCTACTCTATCACAGATGACTACTAGCTAAAGACAAAACTATAATAAGGGTAAATAATAAGTAATTAAACCCACTGTTTTGCAAGAAAAGCCCATATCGTTACGCAGAAAAGATAGGCATTGTGGATGTTCTCTGTGAAGTCCAAAAGTAGCCTGAAACCAGTATTAATTTGAAATGTCTGTCCTGTAGAGGTTGACCTGAATGACCCCAGCACAAAGGACGAACCCTATGACTTCAGATTTGTCAAATGGCTTATCAAAGAGAAGGTACACATAAATTCCTTTGACCAAAATGTGGAACAACCCTTGAACAAAGTCATACATGGAAGATTTTTATTCTGATATGAACAGGTTATGATCTGTATGTTTCCTCAGGGTTTGGCCACTATCCCTGTGTCTGGGTTTTACAGCCCAGAACACAGAGGCGACTTCCAGAAGTACATCAGGTTCTGCTTTGTCAAGGTAAATTGGTTAATTTGTATCTAAACAGTAGAAATAATATAGTGCAAATTAATAATAAATACTAATTATTGTAATTATTGTAATAGTATTATGGCATCTCTTCACAGATGATGATGATGATGAAGATGCATTAAAAAATGTTTTTTGAGTTAACTCCAGTACCCACAAGCTGAGAATTAAAAAAGAAAAAAAAAGTTTTCCTTAAAAAATTAAGATGACCTGACGTTTTTCCAGCATAATGTAGGCCTACTTTATCGTAATGTTAAACTTAATGTTTTTTGTATTTTGTTTGCTATAAACAGGAGGACTCGACCCTGAAAGCAGCAGAAGATATTTTAAGACAGTGGAGCATTACAAAATGAGTGTTGGCTATTTCTAACAGATAGAGAGGATGATACTGTTTCCGTCCAAAGTTAGCTTTGCACAGCATGTCTGACTCAAATCGAAATGTTTCCCAGCAAAGTCTGATTCAGGTCATATAGCCCACTGCATAATATTATTTTATTTTAATATTTGATAGAATTGTTTAAATGAAATCAGAATATTTTGTTCTTTTTTGTTGTTCTTGTCTGACTGCATACATATGTTAATAGTTATTGTATCTGATTGAATTGAACAGCTAGCAGAAACTAGGGATGTGAAACTTGAAAACTGTTCTGCTTAGGTGGAACGAGGGGAAAAGTATACTTATCTTGCCAAAAGAGGGAGCTACTAGCCTTCATTGAATAGAAATGAAGACGTAAAAATTATGCTGATTTTTAAAGACAATTAAATGACTGTGGCATATTAAAGAGTATACAACACAATCATAAATAATCATAAAGCTCGATGTTATTTTGGTGTTTCCAAATTGTTAATTCAGTGTTTTAAAAGAAAAGATACTTTCTCAAAAATGATTTTTACCTGAATTTATTTCCTTGGATTTTGCTTATTTCTGTTGTATTACTGAAACTACCCAGGTCATGCTAGCCCATCCAGCATCTTAACGCACACAAAACGGTGGCAGTGTTTATATTTATTTAGAAGCATTAAAACTACTTCAGGTATGAGATCCCTTGTAGTTGAATATATCACTAATGTGAATAACCACAAATACACTCCAGGAGAGAATAATTAACCTCATAATGTTCATTCACATCACTTGTGTAAGCCTGCATAGGCCTGTGTTTTGATTTCTATTCAGTTTACTTTCCAACCTGCTGATTGTATAGAATGCATTCTCTGACATGTTTCATTGATGAGTTGAACGATGCAGAACACAATAAAGTGAATATTGCTTTCAATTTTGACTTGTGTCTTTGAATATAGGCCAAAAATGTGAAATGAATGTTACATGAAAATTTTTGAAAAATCCTTAGATGTCTTACTCTGAATTGTTATTTCAATTTACACTAGGGAGAGCAAGTCAAAAAACGGCTAGCTGTGACGAAGCTGAACGGCTAAAAACACATTAAATAAGCCTGTTTCTGGTCAGTGTAAGACCAGCAAGCTGTTATCTATAGAAACTGGAAGGATTGATTAATTAAACAATGCAATGTCTTTGCTTTTTTTCTACAGCAAATGGTTTTTGAGTAGGTAAGGTGCCTACAGTGCTTGCTACAGTCTCTCCCCAAACACCCATCTTTGCAATAGAAAAACAAAAAAAAAAAAAATAGTGTATTTTAATGAATGCTTTGGTGTGATATGTTCTTATATTTTCGATAAATAAAAGCAAGTGATTGGGGATGATGACCAGAACCGTTTAGCAGTTTTCCTGCTTGGTCACTTGGTGCTGGAGTCTTACATCCTAAAAAGCCATTGCAGTAGAAAAGCAAAAAGATATTAGTGAGTTTTAATTAAAGTTGTGGTGTGAAATATTCTTGTGTTTTCCAGAAATTAAATCGAATTATTGCGATTTTGAACAGACCTATGTTTAATTAGCGATTTTCCTGCTTAGCCCAACATCTCCATTCAATACCGTTCATTTCGGACACGCCCCCTATCGTCTCAATGCTGTATTGCAGTAATGTTTGACTACAGTGGGCGGCGCTTTCCACAGACCGGCTCCGCTGTAGCTCAGCAGCAGCGTCGTTTTTCGCTCTCCGCTGCTGCCGCACAGATCCGCACCGCCGTTGCCCAGCCCCGCCGCCTCAGGTCGGGCTTACGTGGGAAAATGGCGACGGACAAACCCAAACATGAAGGCAGAGTAAAAATCGGGCATTATATTCTCGGAGACACGCTAGGAGTGGGGACGTTTGGAAAAGTTAAAGGTAATTCTCCTTGCTGGTTTGTTGGTTCGTCTTTTAATGGCACCGTCCGGATGATGTCAATGAGGCTTCAGGTGGGAAACTATCGAGTTAGCCATAGTTAGCCATGTAGCTCATGCGTTTGTAGCCTTTCGAAAGCATATTAGGAAGTTAGTCTGGGCGTTAATACTACAGACATTAAGATATATGCCTGGGATTTAATGCGACGTCTAGTGTTTGAGTTTTTACCTCATTTTATGACTGCCGCTTCGTAATTCATCTGCTAGCTAGTTAGTTAGCGAGCCAGCTAACTTAAGCTAGCTTTATCTTTTTAGCCAGCTGGCTGTGGAGTAACCTAACGGCAAGCAAACCTAGCTAGCAGTGGACTCTCAAACGATGTAACTTCGTTTTGTTCTTTAAGGCAGCGTGTTTTGATTTGTTGAAATGAAATGCGTGAACAGGTTTTCACCTTATCGTTATTGTTTGACAGCTGTCGAAACATTTCAGCCAAAACGAAACTATCTCTTGTATCTGTCATAACGTAGCTAACCTAGCTATCTATAAGACCGAAAATTAGCTCGATCAGTTGGCTCATTATGACCCAAACTAACAGTGACATTTTAGTCTGGCAATTTCGTTGGTCTTTATTATTGATTTTGCGGCACATTGCCGTTTTATGTTTCCATGAACGTGCCTAATGTTCTTTAGCTCGCTTGTAAGTCAAACGGGTGTCAACTTTTATGACTTGTTGTGTATTTGTATGAAGTCAAAGTCCGCTAGCTAGCTACTGGAAAGGAAAGTCCTTTGTAAAAGGTATTCTAAAAGCTTTTCAGTGATCATAGATGTGTCCACCTCCCACAGGAGTGAGATTTGGCATGCGGTTGCTGTTCTGTGCTTTTCAAGGAAGAAAAGCTAGCTAAAACCTGTGGTGTGCAGTGGGGCATTTGCAGAACGACAAGGATGAGTTTGGGTTTCTCTCGGTCTCACTTGATGTCATTTAATCAATGAACGTCTGCACTACTTCTACGGTGAATCATTTTTCCCTCCAGGGGATTCCAACCTTTATCAAGCCTTGCTATTGTGACTTAATGTACATGCTTCTTTTAGTGTTATTAGATGTTAAGGATCTAGGGGTGAACACAAATAATCACTTTCCTGCATACAGATATGAACATTTAGGCAATAACATGTTTTCTGACTTAAAAGGAAATAGCTAAAATACTACTGATAACTTTGAATTGCACGCATTGCAGTAAGTCTACTACAACTACATAATTTTAAACTGTAGAAATAGACTACAGAATAAAGTTTGTCATTGCCTTTTAAAGTGGACAAGTGGACTTGCATATCTTGCTTAGATAAAAGTATGTCATTTTTAACAGTATAAATCAGATTTTGCAAAGAGACCAAGTAGGTGGCCTGATATGTTGCCTAAAATCAGTTCATACCTGTGGAAATGTACAGATTTTTTACTGTCTCATACTTATAAGTGGAGATCTCTTAGCTTCAGAGTGCTAGATTTTCATTTTCAGCAGTGCAGTACTGCTCTCCAGCTGTTAAGGCCTGTATGAAACACACATTCTAGGTTGATTGTTCTCTTTGTTTATGATGCTGTTAGGTGCAGTCATTTGCAACCATGGCATTACTTTTCATTGCTGTGCTAATGACAGCTTTTACCTGGGCCATATTACATTTGTGACTTCAGTAAGATTGAGGCATGCAACTGAGGAAATTACAGACTGGATGTTGAGTCACTTCTTTTTAACCTGAACAGAACAGAACAGAACTACAATAACTTGAAGCTAAGGTTCTGATAGAGATATTGTAAAAATACCTCCTAAACTTTGATGGCATCTTGATCACATCCAGTATAGCCGTGGAAGATGTATTACCTTTGACTCATCTATTCTGTTGATACACACATTTGTAATTATTTTTAATATGATGTTCTTTTTTCATTCATGACATATTGACAAGCTAAAACATGGTTAGAAGCAGTCCAGGCCTTTATAGCTCAAGGTTAGACTACTGTAATTGTCTATTGATGTAGCAGCAAGTTCTTGTCAACGTTTTAGCCAGTGTAGAACAAATCTGCCAGAATATAGCTTTGATTGGCAACTCATTTCATATATATATATATATATATATATATATATATATATATATATATAATACATATATATTCATATTCACACACGCATACATATGCATATATGTAAGTGTGTCTAAACATCTTAAACTATTATGGGTCACCTTGAATACTGCAGTTAAGTTCATTACATTCAATACATTTCAGTGGCAATACCGATACCTTGACTTCTGGACAGATTCTTGAAAGATGCTGTTTCCAGTATCTTGTTTTCAGTTACAAACCGAAAGTCAATGTAGCTTAAACCAGAAATTAGTGTATGTGGTTTCCCGGAAGTGGATATATTTACTGACCACAATGGATGGCAGATTAATGAAGAAGCAATGATAGTAATAACATGCATACAGACTGACCGTAATTTAGACAGCCAATCAGCGATGTAGACTTTGGAATAAACGTACTTACTGGAGCACTGATATACCAACTACTTATGTAACTTGGACATGAAATGTCTTGATAATCTGTACATAAAAGTATTGAATTCTGACTATAAGTAGGGTTGTAGTAATGACAAAAAAAACCCAAAAATCTTTTATACAAAGGGCAGTACAGGACCTAAGAAAGCATATTTAAAACCACAAATATTGGTTAATATTTAAGATTTAAAAAAGCTGTATTAAATTTGTCAAAGCTAATATGTAACTTTACTTAGGGTGTCTTTGAGACCCTTGAGGTTGAACCTTAAATAAACAGATATTTGGTCATTTTTAACAATCTAGATTAGTATTTTTATCCAGATGGTGGTTTACAACATGATTTGTTGTTTACCATTCCCGAGTCTGTGTGTATTTGTCTAAACCAAAGTCCTGAGGATAATTTCATTATCCTATATTTGCTTATAGAGACTGTATTCTGTATTCTGGTTCTGCTCTTCAATAGGCTTTGCAAACTGTAGGCCATTTACCCTCCTCAATGACTCACTCTGCTTTGGTTGACTGGCTGCCAGGTTAATGCATTACCTGAGGACTGGTTAAATCAATATGAACAATTTGTTTGAGCAGTTTCTCTTGTTCTCTCTCTGTTACCTTCCTTGTCGGTTTACCTTTCTGCATTTGTCCTTCTACAGATTAGAAGCATACTGCTAAATGGAATGCAGAAATTGCAGCCTTTTGTCATTATCACATTGGGCAAGACATTGTTGCCAAAATAATTCTCATAAGATGTCTTGTTCAGAGTTGTACTTCTTCCTGCCACATTGTGAGACGGTAACCTTTCCTGCCATAAGCATTTCTTCATCCTGTCTTGAGCAATTTAGAGTAGTAATTGAACTAAGCCTCCTGTTAGTCATTGCTAATTCCATCTTGCCTCTAATTCAGAGTGCTTAAAACATACTTTGGCAACTTTGATTACTGTTATTTTAAATACTTTGGCCAACAAATCTAAGATGGTGTATTCTTAGTTAAGGGCCAGCAATTATTGTGGTAAATTACACCACAATGCGTTTTTCTATTATCATGGATATCATCAGTACTTCTAGGACAGTGAACAACTGCTTGTATTATAATGGATTCATACTCTGTGTATTTAGACCAATTTTAGGTCAGTCCATTATGCCTTTATTTTATTTTATTAATTTATTTAACAGTTGTTAGATTTGTCATTATGTTCCTTTCTGAATTGTTTATTTACATTGAATTTAAAATGTTTTCAGAGTTTTTTTTTTGGGATGTCCCATTTTGATCCAATGGATCAGGATCAGGCTGATCCAGACACGTTTTAACTGATTGGATATCAATTAAAATAAGCTTGCTCCAGTTCCGATACTGTTCCTTTTTCGTGTTTACAGCACTGTGGTAGAGGTGCCATGGACAGGCATTATCCACAGCCTGCGGCAGTGAGACATGTTTTCAGAAGTTAACAAAGTGGTTTAAATGTCTACAGCTGTTTTTAAAGTGAAAATTGAAAACTTGTAACATCTACAATCCCTGCATTTCAACAGTGTTTAAACTTAATTTAATTTAAGGCTGTGACACCTAATCAACGCTTTTGATAATATTGATAATAGAAAATCGTTGGAAACAAATCTTTTCGATTTGTTTGCTTGATGACGTTTGCACTCCCCATTTATGTCACCTGACTGAAATGGGGAAAACACAGATGGCAGAGACTACAGTGCAGGGGATGCATCACGCACATAGTCAAAAATATGGGAACACCGCACTAACATCAAATGAGTTTCTGGAAATTGTGTAAAACCAGGTTCACCTATCACAGCAGCACAGCTGTCGTGTGAGGATCTAGAGAACACATTTATGGCAGAAAATAGCGAACTGTGAAACTGCTGTAAAACCAGTCAAATGATAAAAAAATCATTTTTGATAGCTGTTTTATTTTAGCAAAATAAACCCTGTGTGGCTCCATTTTCATCTAAATTTTCATCATAGCTAAATTACACTTATCTTTTATCAGAGTGTTTGTGGACCAATGCTCACAGACTTGCTCGTCCTCACAGATGTGGATATGTTTAAAACAACCTGTTTTTTTTTTTCTCTGTGCTTTGGCCTCCCACCGGCATGAAAATGGAGTTTCAGGTCACTAAAAAACTTGATGGAAGAAGTTCTCCAGGGTAGAGATTTTTACAACTCTGTTTTCTGTGTTTTCATGTGAATGGATGTCTTTGGAGACACTGATATCATGTGCATGTTTATTGCTGTTTCACATAGAGTGAGCGTATTTTAGAATACTGCAGGTCTGTTATTATGCCTTGATAAAATTCCTTTTTTTCGACAGACTGCTAGCTGCACCTTTTCTTTTCCTGATTAATTGAACCTGTAATGAACCGAATAACCGAGTCACAATTGCTTAAAAATAAAAGTATCACTAAAACATTCTGATTTATCTGCAGCAGTGCTGTGTGCAGTTTCTGGCTTAAAATTGTCATTCAACAGCAGTTTCCAAACCAAGAGAAAGGAGCAGGCTACAGCTAGACAAATATGAATTCGTTGTTTATTCCTAACAATATAAAATGACTATTTTACCTAAGTAGTCCACAAAAAACAAAAACACTCACTTTTATAAAAAATACTTTTATGCACATATCAAAAATGATCTATGAAAAATTCAAAAATCATATCGGTATTGGCCAGAACTCAACATTAAGGTACTCGGATCGCATTAGGAGCCAAAACAAGTGGATCGGGAGATCCTAGTTTTTCATTTGTTCTTTTTTGAAAACATAGCACTACTGTTTTGCTGGTACATTTTGTCCATTCTAACTTGTTTAGAAAACCTAGATATCATGGTATGTATCATGTATTGTGAAAATGTTTTCAAATACAATATTAAATTTTTGCCATATTGCCTACCCTTGTTCTTGGTTCATATTTTAATAAGAGGTGGAAATGCTGTTAAAGTGTTATGCTTTGACCAATGTCTGTAATGTCTTTTTTTCCACAGATCTTGTGTTTAATCCAGTGCAATGGACACTTTTTTGCTTGTGAAAGAGATTTTTAACTTGTTTGAATATATTCAATGAATATGAAATGCTTTTTTAATACGGAGGGAATCTAATATCTGCTTCTCTAACTCTCTTCCTGCAGTCGGCCAGCATGAGTTGACAAAGCATCAAGTAGCTGTGAAGATCCTGAACAGGCAAAAGATCCGCAGTCTGGATGTGGTGGGCAAGATTCGTCGTGAGATCCAGAACCTTAAGCTTTTCCGGCACCCACACATAATTAAACTGTGAGTAGCAGGGCAGCAGTGGAAGTTCAGTTTAATGGCCAGTATCCAGACAAGTAGAGCTAAGTTTAGATAGTGGGAAAGCTTAGATCAGCTTGGCTGTGCTTTTCTTCTTAACCTGAGTGAAAGCATACTGTCAGCATGTGCTCATCTGTTTGACACTGTGTTATTTAGTGATGTCCTGATCAAGTTATTTCTTTTTTTGCCCCAGTCATGTTCAGAATTAATTAATAACCAGATGTCTAACCAGATATTATACAGTTGCACAGTGCACACTCATACTTTAAAATGTTACAGTAAAATATTTATTTGTGCATAGTGTGCATTTAGTGCTTTATTAGATCGTGTGCTGCTGATGAAATTTAACAAATCCATGCGATGGCTGGGGGCATTGAGGAGTTCAGAATGAAGCCTGTGTTCTTTTAACTAGGTCATAACATCTCAGCTACTTCTTTGAAAAGAAGAAAATTTTGTTATGCTTTACAGTATTTGTTTTTTGCATTCTAAAGTTATATGTTGTTTTGACTGGCAGAAACTTACTACCCAGATAAATAGTTGAAAATGTTGTAATATAAATTTGAATCTATTTCATTCACCCCGAGGGGTAAATGGAGTGCAGTGAAGTAAAATATCCTTAAGAAAGGATTGGATTGGGCTCAATAAAGTTGATATGAACCCATTAAATATGCCTGACATGTCTCTGATTATGATCAGAGACTGTGTAGACTTTCATATCATCGGTTTTCTTTTAAAGATATGAGGTTTTGTTCTGACAGCAACAGTATTAACGTGAGTAAGAACTAAATGGATTTACTTGCTGTTTTGACTTGACTGATAAGTGGGTTAAAACATTACATTTGACAGCTTGTCAGCTACATCTAAGTGACATGATGGACAAGGCTTAATAAAGCGAGCCCTGCCTCTTTTTATTTGGATCTCGCTTGTCTTCTTTTGCTCTCACTTTCCCTTCATTTTCATCATCCAATTCGAATCTTCTCCTCCTGCCTAATGTTCTCTGACTCACCCAATTAGTCACATTAAGGTCCCCCCTTTCTCTTTTGCTGATTCATCCTTGCTGTTAAAGTGTGCTTAAACTCTGCTGCAGCTGATGATGCTCCTTGGGGGTTTGTTACAGTGTCAGAAGTACAGAGCTGCAGAGAGCCACAATGGAACATTTTAGCCCCTTTAAACACAAGTACATGGGCAAATTATCCCACCTAAATCCTAAAAAGTATCGGCCCTTTCCTTACCTTGGTTTTATAGGTCATGCCATGTTTAGTTTGGAAGGTGCTTTTGAGCTTAAACATTCTCCATTCCCCCTATTAGTAAAAGACAAATCAGTACGCAAGAGTAATTTCCACCCCTGTGTATTTCCGGGGTTGGTTCCCCAGTGACCAGGCTAGCGGTTTTCTCATGGCTCTTCAAAAGAGGGACAAAAGAAGTGGAAAAGAGGAGGGGGCATTGGGTTTTTTCCCCTTTGAAGGGTTGAGGCAACAACTTGGAAGAACTGTTTGCTTCAAGTAACACTCAGTTTGCATAATAATACAATGTACTATGTGTAATATAAGCTAGTTTAAGGCTGCATCACATCAGATGGTGGACTTCCTTCTGTATATGCTGTCATTATGGCTTAAATTACCTTCTGTACTTTGTCACACTCAGAGCTCCGTCTGTAATGGCAGTCTTGTTCAAATTGGCCTCGCAGTAATGAAATCCTGGTAATAGACATTGGCACCTCCGTTTTTTGGTCACCAGTAGACAAGGCCAGTGGCGCTCTTGGCACAGTTGCTTTATCCTTACATTCAAAACAGGGCTACTGTAATCTAAAACACGTTTAGTAATGGGTTCACATCTAAGTTGAATGAGCAAATTTTACTGGCCTAATGCTAATCTAGGTAGTATTATCTGGAAGTTAATTTTTGTTGTTTGTTTATTTGGATTGGTTTAATTCTTACCTTAACATTGAAGTGAATTTCTGGGTTATGATGTTTTGATCTAACCTACCTGAAGTAATCTGGGGAAATTACACAGATACTTGATCCTGTATGAATAAGCCATTTCCCTTACAAATTACATTGCTGGACCTCTTCTGGTGAAAGGAATCCAGCATGAATAGGTCATAAAGTGAGGGCTTTGACTGTTCATAAAAGGGCCCAACCAATATATTCGTTGGCTGATGGTACTGTATCAAGTTCAATACTGAGGTCTTGTGGGTTTATCAGTTTTGGTGATCATCCCGCAATTAAGGGACCTATGTTTGGCAGCTTGTTTTGTGTTACAGAAAGGGCCATAACCCATTCTTTTTTGAGGGTTTCAGGCTAATTTTGAAGATTACTAAGCTGGCAGTCGTTACTTGCTTACTTCTTACACATTTTACACATGATATTTAGCATGAGGGTAATGTTTTAACATTTTTGTGAAGAGAACTGATGGAGAATTAAGATAAATCATAATCATATCAGTCAGTAAAGCTCTGTAAAGCTCTGTTTAACTTTTTCAACTCCTTGAGACCACCGGTGGTTCCAAAACGCACTTCGTCATATTCTTCATAACTTTCACATTTCATAAGCTACATTCAAAAGGTGGGTGTCATATGAGAGCTGTAACTTTCCAGTCTTCTTTCCAGTCAAATAGATGGGTAATGTAATTTTAAACCCTTATAGTAAAAGAAGCTGAAACAGATGGTGTCTCTTCAGTGATATGCTCTGTAAAAATTATTAAAAAAAAAAAATACAAAGAGAGCTTTTTTGCTTTCAGCAGTAAATTGTAAGCATATAGCAATATGTGTATGATCATAAAACACATTTTCTGTGAATTTGAGGGGAACTTTTCCAAAAAAATAAAATAAATTCAATAAAAATTGCATTTATTTCATGCAGTTACTGAATAATTTGCCTTACGATTTGGTCATGTAAATACAGATGGAAAAACCAAAATATACCCTGGTCAATAAGAGGTTAAGGTTTTTAAATTATATTGACCAGTATTATGTTATCGAAATAGCTTCTTAAAACTGTCACAAAAATATGCCACAAAATATTTATCATTCTAGTTTATAGCAAAAACATTGAGATGGACGTAGAGCCGTAGCGAATACCACAGTGTGATGGGACTTGGAGGAAAAAGACTGCTACACAGTGTCTTCTAGTACATATGGAAGTCTGTGTAAAATGTTTTACAGAATGAAATGGTTCAGGATGGTCCAGGTAGTCCTTAAATGAATTGTCCTATGTACCCCAAAATATTAAGCTCATGGCGTGCATCCTGAGTGCCTCTGGTTGGAAGTCAAGTGTTTTCATATCACCCCTATCCGGTCTCATCTTTTAGCGTCAGCGATCCTAGCTGGCTAATTGTTTGTTTTGGTAACAGACAGTGCAGTGACTTGGCAAGGGAGTTTATGAATAGACTTACTCCCACAGTCCTTGAAAAATTCAAAAGGTCAGTGTTTTAATGTGGCTTGAATGTGTGGTATGACCATGTCCACACCTGTACCAAACAGTCTCTAAATTTGTTCCATAAGATCATTGGATTAGAACCATCATTGATTGTACAGCTCCATTGCAGCATTGAAGACTTTGAAGACTTAACCCACAAACATTACTAATAAGCTGAAATAAGTCAATCCAGTGCTAGTCAATCAATGATAGTAACTCAGCTGTCATGAATATTTCACAGACATCCCGCTACACTTGTTGATTTTAGCTTAAACTGTTACTGTTTTCACTACTTGTATTGCACATCTTGGCTCCTTTAGTCTGTTTCAGTAGAAGCACATCATGTTTTTTCTTACGTTGTCCATGCACATTATGTGGCCCTGCAGAGCATATAGTTTGAATATTTTCAGTATTGTGTGGTTGAATTTGAATGTTACCTTCCATTCTGTATGGGCTGCGTGAAATGGACATACGTGATCAAGTTGTTGGATATCACAATGATGAGAACCAATGAATTGTGATTGAGTGTGCACCGCTGACTGTGCAAAGTAGCAAAAAATACAAAATTACAAAAGCATGATTCACTGTTGTGCAACAAAAAAATAATAAAATACTTACAGCTATGTACATCAGAACTGCAAGCCCATTCTGGTGCACTGAAAGGCTGAACTAGGACACGGTGTAAATGTGACGCACTGCTCTTATAAGGCATGGCGCCCCTAATGGAGAATTTGTAGCCTGCAAAATGTGTTTAAAATCACATTTTTAAAATCAGTCAGGATTCCCTGTCCCTTTCTATTTGTGTTTGTAGTCAGGATACAAACACAAATAAAGATGTATATTATTACTCTCACTATAGGCCTACAAAAATGAATAATTATATATTTAATTTCCTTAAAAAGCTTCTTATGATGATGCAGATTTGTTGTGACAGTTGCCTTTACCATACAGTTTATACATTTTACACACAACACTGTAAAAATAAATACATTACTAGTAAACACAGTCTCATAAAGATGTTTTATTGCAGAAACTCATATAGCAATAACAATAAAAATAATATGCTTTATCGTGCACCCCTGAATCTCTCTGTATAACTTTTTTTTGTATTGTACTCACTCTAAACTGACGCTTTAATTAAGATTTTGTCTATAAACAGGTGTTGTCTATAAACTTTTTTGTGTCATATTGTGTTAATAAATGTGTTAAAAGTAATGATGCACAGTTTTTTGAGAGTGAATGGTACATTGTCATTGTGTATTAGAATGTGTTTTTATATTAATAATTAGGCATTCATGTTATAGAAGTAATATGTTTAGCAGTAATAGAATAGCGTTAACAGCACATTGTGGTGAATGTTGTTAGAATACTTGTAGTAATAATAACCCACTAATATTACTGTAACAATAAAATAGCATTTATCAAGCATTGTTAAGAACATTACCACATCATACAAACGTGTTATAATAGAAGTAAGTGCAAGAACTATATATATTAGTGCAACAGCAGTTTAATATAATAACCAAATGCAGTCCTTGAATATATCCATCTATCTTTGGTTTAGGATTCTGAATGTGTTATTACAGTTTCTCTTTGCTTGTGTGATTGCAGGTACCAAGTGATTAGCACACCCACAGACATATTTATGGTTATGGAATATGTCTCTGGAGGAGAACTCTTCGACTACATTTGCAAAAATGGAAAGGTATGATTTTACTTTTACTATTACTTTTAAAGGGTCAGTATTTTTTTTTTTTAAATAAATAAAGAGCTAAAGATTGTTTTAGTTTCAAAACATTCCACTCAGTCCCCAGTCCATACAGCTGTGTTTCAGTCTAGACTGGTTTTTGAATGATGCTCAATACAGGGCTAAAAAAATCAGAACAGAGATCAATTACATAGATTAGATTCAACTTAGAGGTACAAAGCCAATGAAATTCAGTTAGCATCTAACCAGAAGTGCAAAATACGGTATTATTTACATATAAAGTGCAGGAAAGTAGCTGTGTAAGCAATGCTAAAGTTACAGTATGTACAGTTAAGGATGGTGGAGTGGTATAAAATATATAGATATTGCAAGTATAAATATATACACAGAGTGAGCGGAGAGAATGCAAATGTAGAAGGTATGTACTGTGAGAGCAGCATATGAAAAATGAAGAGAATGTAGAGTAAGAATATGTACACTAACTGTCTGTGCAAATATGAATATTTCAGTAATAGAATGTACAAATATGAATAGTGCGATGATACTAATAAGCTGTACAAATATGAATATTGCAATAATATTAGGACATAAAGTACAGTAACAGTGCAGTGAGTGAGTTTGTCAGAGTCACAGCCTCAGGGAAGAAGCTCTTCCTGAGCCTGCTGGTGCGGGAATGGAGGCTCCTGTAACGCCTCAGTTTTGTTGATGTAGATGGGGGAGTGTGCCTGGCTCCTAACCCTCCTAAAGTCTACAATGATGTCCTTGGTTTTTCTGAGTGTTGAAGTGTTGAACACTTAGCCTTGCGGTGCGCCCGTATTTAGGGTGATGGGGGGGAGGAGAAGAGTTTGTTTATCTCAACAGACTGAGGTCTATCAGTCAGGAAGTCCAGAATCCCATTGCAGAGAGATGTGCTGATACCAAGCTGACTAAGCTTGAAGATCAGCCTGGAGGGGATCACCATGTTAAAGACTGAACTGAAGTCAATAACCAGCATTCCGACATATAAGTTCTGACAGTACAGGTGGGTCAGAACAGTGTGGAGTGCCGTAGAAATGGCATCTTCCTTTGATCTGTTGCGGCAGTAGGCAAACTGGTGTGGGTCCAGTGTAGCAGGCGGACAGGATTTCAAATGAGAAAGAACTAGTCTTTCAAAGCACTTGGAGATAATGGAGGTGGGTTCGACAGGGTGAAAGTCATTCAGAGCTGAAGCAGTTGCATGCTTCGGCACTGGCACTGTGGTGGCAGTCTTGAAGCTAGTTGGGACAACTGCCTGGACCAACGACAGATTGAAAATGTCTTTGAAGACCCCAGCCAGCTGCTTAGCACAGGCTCTAAACATGGCCAGGTACTCTATCAGCGCCAGCTGCCTTTTGTGCATTCACCTCGCCTAGAGTGTGACAGACATCCGCGGTGAAGAGTGTAAGTGGCTGCTCATGAGGTGGTAAATCTGTTTTGAAGAAGACCACCTTATTTCCTCTGTTGAAGCAACCATAGAAGTGGTTGAGCTCATCGGGGAGTGAAGCACCGTTGGTAGGGGCACAGTGCTGAATGGTTTGACGTCAGTAATAGACTGTATGCCTTGCCACATGCGCCGTGGTTCAGAGGAGTTAAAGAGCTCTTCAATCTGCTGTTTGTAACAGTGTTCAGCCTTTGAGATTCCTCCTCTGAGGTTGGCTCTGGCAGAGCTGTAAGCCTTCAGGTCTTGCTTTGAACAGAAGGCAAACCTCATGAGCAAAAAAATTTAAGCATGTTTAAAGGTGAGCGTGATCACACACTTCTTCTATTTAAAAACAAAATTTAAATGAGATTACTGTAAGTATTCTGTATCAGCTGATGTAATAAAATTTCCTCCTGGTTAAATGGAATAAGTGAGTCTGTAAGTGGTACAGAATTATTATAACGTGAGTGTTTGTCAATGTTCTGTTCTCCTCACCAGCTGGATGAGAAGGAGAGCAGACGTCTCTTCCAGCAGATCATCTCAGCAGTGGACTACTGCCACAGACACATGGTGGTACACCGAGACCTCAAGCCAGAGAATGTCCTGCTGGATGCTCATATGAATGCCAAGATTGCTGACTTTGGTATGCAACGAAGCGCTGACATTCCTTTTAAAACAAAAGTTTAGCAAAACATCAAATTTACAGTTTCCCCCCTTACACTAAACGTTGATCAAGCCAAGACTAGTTTTCTATGCTTCTCTAATTTTGCATTGGAGCTATGAGGCTCCTGGAGTACCTGTTTATCTGCACATTTTAGTGTTTTCCTTGTTGCCAACACTCCTGACTCTGCTTGAATATATTAAATGTATTACGTATTCAATATGCAGATGTTTGGAGCCCTTGACCAAATTGTTTTGCAAAGGTCATCCAAACAAAGTTATGTTACAGAATTATGTTTTGTTGATTTTCTAAGTGAAAATAAGTACACGTCCTTCACAGAACACACTTCTGCACATTGTAATGCACAATTACTGTTTATTTGCTGAATTTAACATACAGGGGGAATAAATAAAAGATAAAGTGTGGCCTGTACATACGATTTTTTTTTTTCCCAGTATTTTAAACTCAGCAAAAAAATAGAAAATGTGCACTGAAATTAGTAGAAAATGCTAGATTTAAGTTTTCACTGCAGAGAATTATTTTCACTTAGAAAATCAGCTTTTCAATGTGTAATTTTACTGCCGTTTTTTAAATTTTGCATAGGACTGTTTTTTTATTTATTTATTTATTTGTTTGTTTGTTTTTAATATGTTTTAAAGCTACTGAAAAGTGGTCAAACTCAGTGAACGTTGTAATCCTTTTATGTAGGGTTGTCAAATATGATGTCAGATGGTGAGTTTCTGCGGACAAGTTGTGGCTCCCCTAATTATGCAGCTCCAGAGGTCATCTCTGGAAGGTACAGTATTCATTTCTAATAACTTCCACTGCCCCTGTGGAGCACTTTCCTCTTTCTTCCATTCCCTCAATTAACTGCTGCAGTTCTTTAGCCCCCTACTATGTTCTTCCTGGCCATTAATTTAGACTTTGATTTGTGTGGTGCTGTTAATCTTTTGAAAATCATTCTAATGTAACAGGTCCTCTTGAGAGTTCCTTTTGACTTCTTTCTGTTGCCTATACTACATCCTGTGACTGAAACGTAAATATTTCTGAACTGTCTTATGGCTGACCTGGGAATTTTCACATTCAGGTTATATGCGGGTCCTGAAGTGGACATCTGGAGCAGTGGGGTGATCCTCTACGCTCTGCTGTGTGGGACATTGCCCTTCGATGATGACCACGTGCCGACACTCTTCAAGAAGATCTGTGATGGCATCTTCTTCACACCGCAGTACCTGAACCCATCAGTTACCAGCCTGCTCAAACACATGCTGCAGGTGGACCCCATGAAGAGAGCCACCATTAAAGAAATTCGGTCAGATTACTGTCTCTCCACAGGAGCTTTATTAATACATGAACACTTGTTTATATTTATGTAGTGTTGTCTGTAAGACTGTAATGTTTCTTACCTTGTCCCTGTTTTCTCAGGGAGGACGAGTGGTTTAAAGAGGACCTACCTAAGTATCTGTTTCCAGAGGATGCTTCGTATAGTACGACCATGATTGATGAAGAAGCATTGAAGGAGGTGTGTGAGAAGTTTGAGTGCACTGAAGAGGAGGTGCTCAACTGCCTTTACAGGTGTGTGTCTGTGAATTACTTCTGGATTATTTTAATAGAAATAACTGTGTACAAGACATTTACGTTCTACACGTAAAATAGGGCAGTGAGCAGTTCATTGTCCTTGTCTGTGCTTGCTTGACCCTATCCCCTTTTTTTCATCTGTTTTTTATTTTCTTATTTTTCTTTTGGTATTTGCCTCTTTCCCTATTTGATCTCCTTTTGCTGCTGTTATTATTTGTCAAAGTTTTCTATTGGCCTTGCTTTGTTTTTTTTTTCCGTTTTACTCTTGAGATATTATTGTGCTTCTTCGTTGAGCTCTGCTCTCTAGTGTTGATGCTTTGTAAACAGGCCTGTGACCAGTGATAGTTAACAGAGTTGCTGCAGGTAGCAGCCCCCAGTCACAGTAAAACTAATTTACTGCCAGTTTAAACACCCGTTGTTCATTTGTTTGATTTCATTCAAACCATAGGAACATAATTTAAACTTGTTGAGAGATGTGATAACCTACATTAATACCACATTTACTGTACCTAACTAAGCCGAGATTGTTGCAGAAACATGGCTGTTGAGCTGTGCTGTTTAAAGGTGCTCAGTGCTACAGGCAGACATAATGCCTGTAGAAAAAGCTGCCTATGGTATGGTGTACATTTTAGGACATTCTCAGACCACAGCATCAGGTTTCAGGTATCAAATAATACAGCTTCAGTAAAATCATGTATATCAGGCAAAATGTGCCAGGACTAAAGGCCTCTGGTGTAATGGCAGAGAGGAAGGCAACAGGTTAAGCGGCCTTAGACGGTAAAATTTGTTTGAGATTCACAATGTCATTTTGTATTACTAAATTAATTATAACAGTATTCTCCAACCACAACTTTTACTTTTATTTCACAAAGATTAAGCTTCAGCTCCCATGCTATCATTGTCTTTGCTCCATGTCAGTGCCAGGGACTTAAAATTACAGACAAAAAGTGTTGCTATTTTTATTTATTTAGTTATTTGTTTATTTATTTGCTGTACTTTTATATTGCTTTTAAAGTTGTTGTTATTGTAGTTATTACTGCTATACATGTAAAATAACCATTCTAGGGAAAAAGTAAAGCAAAGGAAAGCATATGGTTTAGTTCATTGCAGTTTTTCCCAGTGGTTACCTGAGTAAGAGGACTTTTCTGGTACAAGCCTTTTTGTAAAGTGACACTGGGCATTGGTTTTATATAAAAAAAACTTCTTGTTATCTCCAAACAGTCGTAATCACCAGGACCCTTTAGCTGTAGCGTACCATCTGATCATCGACAACCGCCGCATTATGAGTGAAGCCAAAGACTTCTACTTAGCCTCCAGCCCTCCTGATTCCTTCCTGGATGACCTGCCTGCGCATCACCATGCTAAGCCTCACCCAGAACGAGTGCCCTTCCTGGTGGCGGAAGCCCAGCCTCGGCCACGGCACACGCTGGACGAACTCAACCCCCAGAAGTCGAAGCACATGGGTGTCCGTCGGGCCAAGTGGCACTTGGGTATTCGCAGCCAGAGCCGACCCAACGATATCATGAGTGAGGTGTGTCGAGCTATGAAGCAGTTGGACTATGAGTGGAAGGTAAGCCATAAACCTTTTGCAACATCTTTTCAATTAATCTGACGCTTCTGTCCAGTGAAACGGTATGTAGTATTTATTTCAGTTTATGATGGGATATTAATTTCAGTTTTTCACCATAGATGTTAATCAGCCAAGACTTGCCTGAATTTGTTTCTTCAATTTAGCACTGGAGCAACCAGGCTAACATTGCCAACTAACTATGGATGCCAATGATTTGTGTTTGGGATTTTTAATGTTTCTTTTTTATAAATAATTGTTTATTTTCAAACTGAAATATATATGTTTACAAATCGAAACAACAGAAATCATGAATGTAATCTATGGTCCATATGTCCGCTTGACAGATGTGCACGTCAAGGGGAGTCTGATTCAGCGGAACACCATTGTCTAAAATGGCTGCCTGTAGAGTTCAGCTAGACAGTGTAGTTTTGTTCATTTTTATAGTAGGTCTTACTGTGTCCTAAACCATATCAACAAGCCTGCACAAATTTAATGAAGACCAGGATGCTTTGTGAGTGGGTTTAGAGAAATTTTGGGATTGAAGATTTGGGTGACTGTTGGTTTGTAGTTTTGGGAGCAACATTAGCCTCATAGCTCCAAAGCAAAATTTGGACACCAAACATGTTTTGGCTCGATTACATGTGGGATAACTAGAAAATTGTGTAAATTAGATTTTCTGCCAAAAACCATTTCTTTAAAATACAGATGTATGTGCTACATAGAAGCTGCAGCACAGAGATAAAACAAACATCCAAAACATAGTAAGAAAGACATCACAGTGTAGTCATTATAATAATAAAAATTATACAAGTGTAATAAATAGAGTGCTGTAAGATTTTTATATAGTCAGGAAAGAGAAATGGAGAGAGAATATAAGGGAGGATGTATGGGAGGGGAAATGAAGGGGAAATGAAGGGGCAGCTCTTGTTTTCCCCTATAAACATTAACAGTGCATTGCTTTGTTCAGCTGCATGGCCTCCTGTGCTTCTTGCTCAGAGGGTCAAGTTCCACCTTCACTACTGTGGAATGTTGTTCCGTAGCTTCCTACAGGCACTATAATTAGAATAGCTAACCATGCAACATGCATACTGACAGATTTATACTGACAAAAGTGTCACATGACATGTTTTGTTGGTGTTCTAAGTTAAAATAAGTTAACAGATTCTCTACAAGGAAGAAACTTAAATATGATGGGTTTTTGCAAATGTTATTGCACAATTTATATATTTTTTAACATATTGGGGGGGGGGGGATAAACCCAAAAATATAAAATGTGCCATAGCTTTTGCACAGGTTGTATTCCCCATTTCCTGTTTTTCCCTATTTTCCAGTTCTTTGGTTTGTTTGGCTACACTTCCATTTTTTTTTCCCTTTATTTTGCCTGGAGAACAATCAGGGCATTGCTGGGCACGGCTGAGCTTGGTCAGTTTTGTTTTGGTGGTTTGATACAGACAGTGTGTCTTGCATATGTATAATCAAGATCTTGGAACCATGTGTTAGTGCATGGGACACGTAAATTAAACATTTTATTCAGGAAAGTCATGGGATGCCAAAGAACAGTCTAATAGGCTTTTATCAGTCAATGAAAAAGGGGTGTGCATGTGTGTTTGAGTTTAGGACTTCTGGCTGAAGTTCATGTTAGATAGGTAGTGAATGAATCAGCAGCATTTGTAAAGGCAGTTAGCCGTGTGTGTCCCTTGTGTTCATTTTAGCTTTCATTGCTTCTCTTATCAGCATGTGGCAGCACTCTTATCAGGCATAACAGTGTTAAAACAGCATGTAAGTAGTTATAAATAGCTGGTATTTAGTATCAAATGAACATAGAATCATGTAACTAACCCAACCAGATTCAGCATAAAATTTTAATGGTAGGAGACTGGAAGTAGGGCTCAGTATAAACAGAACAGAGCAACGAAAAAAAGCATTAGGTGCTTTGTGAACTGTAGTACTTCAGTTTCTAATGAGCAGTCAAGCTATAAATGTGTGTTTAGTTGAACCTAAACATAAAATAAAATAAAATAAAAACATGCCTGTAGTAAAGGGGGAGGGTTCTTGTGACCTTTAACATTATGAAGTAGTATTATGTATGACAGCATTAGCAATTTTGATAGTTCTGAATAAACTATATTTACAGTTTACCATTAACCCACAATGTAGTCAGTCGACCAACATGTTTGATGTCAAGTTTGCTTCTTTAGTTTTGCATTGTGGCTTTGATGCTAATATAGCTACACAAGCTTCAGTGCAAAACTAAACACAAGTAATGGCATATAACTGCCACATTAGTGTGGTGCAAACTGCTTGTCTAAATCATCACACACTTGCCTCAAACTGTTGAATTGTAATCTCACATTGACTTGCCTGTGTGGTTTCTGACACTGAAAAACATACTGTTAATAAAATTTAAAAACTGCCAAAGTACAGAGTAAATTCAGACTTTTAGATGACTGTTCAGCTATACACCTTATTATGTCCAAAAATATCTAAATCATTTGGGGAAAAGTGAGTACATTTTTATTTATTATTTTTTTATTTATTTATTTCAAGGAAACTGACAGTGGAGAACTTCTGTGTTTTTTGTGGGTTGCCAGGTGGTTAATCCCTATTACCTGCGGGTGCGGAGGAAGAACCCAGTTACAGGCATGCAGACCAAGATGAGTCTGCAGCTCTATCAAGTGGACAGCAGGACCTACTTACTGGACTTTAGGAGCATAGACGGTAAAAAGCAAACTGTGCATTTGGATCCTTATTTTCATTTTCATAAATAATGCATCTACACAGTGCACACTTCAGCTACACTTAAGTGAGTAAAATCAATCCAGTTTAGGTTAGATGCCTCTTAAGTTAACTCTTTAAAGCCTTTCTGCATTAAAAGTATTGTTCCCCTTTTTGTAGTCTTTTGATATGTGAGCTGAATTTGTGTTTTTTATTTTGTTTGTAAAATATGTTTAAAAACACAAACACAAACTTACAGCCATCTGTAGCCAGGAGTCCAAGAATGCTCAATTGGCCTCCCTCTCTCTGGGTGGGTAGGGTGCGCCCCCTCCGCCCCATCACTCAGTGCGATGCTAGCTAGCGCAGACGTCTGTTAGCTGACGTAACATATCTAGCAGTTGGCGCTTTCCTCTGAGCGTGTTCAACTGTCCAATGACATTGCGTTAGCGTCAGTTCAAAAAGATGCCGGGGCGCTTCACAGGACTGTAAATTGAGGAGAAAATTATATAGTGATAAAAAATAAGGCAGCACACACAGCTGTATTTACACCCCTGTATTTCTCTAACATTTGCAAAGTACTCAGATTTGATGTACGGCTAGTTTTACTTTTTATCGAAAGGTTGTTGGCTTAACCACACTGCCATTGCATTTATTACAAGTGGCTGTTGAGCTGTTTTCATTGATCTGCCTCCTATTTCAGCCCAGCAACACAAAGCACAAACCTACAATTGACAGTACCCAGTGTCAGATTCATTTAAAGTTTGCTAGCATTACCAAGGATTGTCATGAATTCACTTTGTAGGGATGAGGTAGGCTGTTTTTTAGATGTAAATGATAAAATGATGGTATCATGCTAATCAGAAGAGCTTAAGAGGAGATCAAAATAATGAATATAGTTTGCATCTCAGTAGAGTACATTGAGTGTGTTTTGTTTTTTTTTGTTTTTTTCTCCTCCTCCTCATAGCTGAAACAAGATGATACTCAAAGTAAATACCATGGCTATAGGCTGGTTTATCTCAGATTGCTTACTTTCAGGAACAGGTCTAAAAGATATAAACATCAAGAGTGGTCTACAATACTGCTTACCCCCATAATGATTTATTCTACAGATGACATATCATTACATGTCACAGAGAAACTTTTCACCTAATCTTGTCCAAGTATTCTCCAAATACTTCTTTGTATAGCAGTGGCGTTTGGCCACAAAAGGTATCAAACTCCTGTGTCTCGTGTCTGGGGGGATTGCAAAGTCTGTATAAGCCTATAAACACTTGGCATTCAGTTCATATTGTTTTGCCACTTGATAATAGTCAAAAGTGTCCTGTTTTTCTTTATAGCCTCTTCAGCAACATTTGTGTTGGAACGGAAAGTATTTAGCTTTGTTACCTGCATGGGAGTTTGAACAGTTGACTAGTATTACATACATCTCCATTAAGGTTGTTCATCCAAAGCATTACTTTATTCGGCTCTCTGAGTGATAGATATATCTACTTGATTTGTTATATAAACTCTTTATAAATACCGAGTTCACAGAATGTTGCTAATTCTGCGTCCAACTTTATCCCTGTCACATGAAATAGTTCCATCTTCGAAAATCCAGTTATGATTCTTGTTTTTTTTTCTCGGGCACATAATGCATTTGTGCTGGTGCCATTTCCAAAACATTTTTTTATCATGTTCTACAGATTTTCCAGGTTATTTGTGCTAGTAAAAAAGAAAATCGACTAATGCACCTTTTAATGTAGCTGAAACCGACTTCAATATGCCTCAACACTTTTTTTTTGTATTTACTTTGATGTTTCTTTATCTCTCCATCTTTCTTGATGCCCTTTATCTCACCCTTCTATTCTTTCTTCCAGATGATGTTGTGGAAACAAAGTCTGGCACTGCCACTCCTCACCGATCTGGCTCAGTGGGAAACTACCGGACTGCCCTAAAGAATGACAAAAACGAGAGAAGCGAATGTGAGGATGGAGGGAAGGGGGACGGCTCTGCCCCCTCCACACCCCCAGTGGCTGGAGGCAAGCATGCAGAGGGTTCTCTGACCTCCTCACTCACCTCCTCAGTGGACTCGATGGGGGGAGAGTCATACCCCCGGCCTGGCAGCCACACCATTGAGTTCTTTGAGATGTGCGCCAACCTCATCAAGCTGCTGGCACGATAACTCTCAGCTTCTCTGACGCCTTGTCTCTCGTTCTTCTCTTTGTTTTTTGCCGTCTCTCTCTCTTCTTGGACTTTCTACCTCCTTGTCTCTTAATTTTATCTCTCTTTTTCTCTTGCTCTGTTTCTTTTTCCTCTCTGTATCTCTCTCTCAGTGTCTTTAGAGCAATAAGCATGCAAACAGACAACTCAAGCCTCCATGCATCCAACACACGTGAACAAGCTGATTGGTCTGTTGCACTGAGATGATCAATTTCAGCCTGTTTGATTGGTGGACACGGAGGGGAAGGCAGAGATAAGGTGCTAGAGAGAAGGTGGATGGAGTTGTCTTTCATGTCGAGACCTCTGAAAGATTGCTAAGCCACTTTATAGTAACCATAGAATATTCTTTTAGAGATTGTTTTACAGTTCTTTACTTATGGGTTTGTTTGACAGCCCATGGTTTCCTTACAGAGAGTAAGGCGTATTGAGATGTCTGTGCATTTAAATGTCAGAGTTATACACTGAGCTAGCTGTACTGTACACAATGGCACCACGAGAGAGTGAATAAGGCGGAAAGTACTT